TGAATGTGAAATGGAACAGGTCAAGGAATTTATGACTCATTGGGGTCAAGAATTTGGCTAATATTAAAATGTCGGTTTGGGAATATCTATGGTCGCTAGGCTTTAACTTTTCCTTGACTATGAAGATTTAAAAGAATAGCTTTAAAATGATGACAAGATGTATTCATATCAACTAAGTATTGCTTGTTGCCTGAAGTGTAGGAAATGTAAAAATGAACAAGGAGATTGCTATAGTATCTGGCCAGGTTTTTCATTAAATAAAAGGGACGATACTGGAGGAAGATTAAAAAAAACAAAAACCAGTGGAAAAAATTCTAGGATGTTTGATTATGTCTGATCCTTTATATGTGTGCATTTTGTCATATAGATTAATATAAATATAGCATGGTGAATTTGCTAATTATATGGCAGTGACTGTTAGAGTCTTTAATGCAAAATATTCGTAGACATACATTTTTAGAAGGGTGATCTGTCCTGCCTTTCCAGCCTCTGCTGGGTGATGCAACTTGGTAAGATCCCTGGTTTCTCTCTCTTGCAGTAGCATGAAGCAAAAAGGAAGGTGCAAATCTCTTTGGCTTATCTAGTCCCCAGTCCCCAAGCAGCCCTTCCAAATTAAATGATAAGTATATTAAAGAGCAAGGTGGAAGGTGCAAAGAAACAAAGACGTAGAAGGCAAATAGCATGCAAGGTTCACCACTGTCATGCGCTGGAATGTGGTAGTGATTGGGAGAATCCTATATTTAAAGATTTCAAAAGACAAGGGGGAGGCTGAGAGGGAACCCAGCAACCATGTGGGTGTTGGGGAAGGAACTTCTAGCCAATATCCCATTGATGACGAAGTCACAAAAGGTTGTCTTAACCCCTTCATGGGAGCAAAAAGAAAAGTGTAGCTGAAAAGTGCCACCCATCTTCTTCCCAGGAAAAAAAACAACACAAGTCCATGGCTGAGGGCAGCATGTGGTGACATAGGAGCAAGCAAGAGTTGTTGCAATGGAACCATTTTGACAGCTAAGCTGGAATCATTAGCTGCTGGGCTAATGTTCTTCTTCAGTTCTGAGCTTCAGCTCTACAAACAGGCATGCTGTAGAGTCTCCAGCTCAGAAGGCAGGCAAGGTTCAGGGCTCTCAGCCTGCTGCTGGAGATCAGGACCTCCAAAAGAACCTCCCACATCTGTAGGGACAAAGCCCAGGCCCTCGCAAACACCTTCTCTTGAGCCCATGTTATCAAATACCTCCCACAGAACCTCACCGGTCCAGTGGCACAAGGAAGGCACCAAGTGGGAGGCTAGGGAACAGAAGGGACATACCCATTCTCAGGCCAGAGTGTTGTCCCTTTCAGAATTGAAAGCGAGCAACAAAGTGGCCTGGGAGAAGTAGTCCTGGGGCAGAGGCTTCAAAAGGTTCAGTCTGCTCTCAGCTTTTATTGGAGCAAGTGGCTCACTGGGAGCTGTCTGTGGTCCTGCAACTCCTGCCCCGCCTTGCCCATGGGATCCAGCATCAGACCAGGACACGACCCTCTGGTGCCCAGCTTAATGGATGCTGGATGGCGGTGGTCGTGCTGACACGCCCAGGCACCCACTGGGTGTGGTTTAATTCACTTAGCAAGAAAAGCCATAGACTGCTCTAGGCCTGAACCCACCAGCAATTTTGTGCCGTTCAGGGCAATGAATCAATCTGCAAGGTATTCCGTATCCCCATTTCCAGCCAATGACAGGAGATCCTCTTTGAAGCTACATAATAGCCCTTGTTCCTTTTCAGTTGTTCTTTCCTTAAGCCCTCGGTTTAATGATGTGTGAGAAGGAAGTGGCTTTTTGTCTTCCTCCCTCTTCCTCCCTAGCTGCAGATTTATACTCCTGTTCCAAGAACTACAATTTAATAATGGCATTTCAATAAATTCATCTCTCTCTCTCCCCCCGCCCCTTTCATTCCCCGAGAATGGTATGTTTCTTTTCTTTTTTTAATGCTCTCTATTCCTGGTGCAAGCAATAAAATATTAAAGTTATTCTTTGTAGTTGCCCTATTGGAGGAACGCCACCTCTCCAAAGCCCCCATCTTTGACAGTGATTGAGGTACAGGAAACTTAAAATAAAATCACCACCCTTTTCCTCTTTCCTTTTGGCAACGGTTTCCAATCCGTACAGAGACAAATACTAGGTTTGAAATATTGCCTCAGAAAAAAGGGAGCCACTCCCAGCCCTCTGGGGTTGCCTTCATCAAGCTAGATTCTGTTGCTGAGAGATATCCATATAGTACATAAGGGCTTTGTTCTGGGGCTGATTCAAACCAGCCACCCTCAAGAAAGGCTGTGAACCAAACCAGAACCTCTCATATCTCTAATTTCCTCCTTTGTGGGCAATGTTTCCATCTAAAACTCCTGTTTTCCCCTTGTATATTTTCACCTGACAAGGGGCCGGCCCTATCATTAAGCGGAGGGAAGCACCCACCCTGAGACAACTGATTTTCCAAGTCATGAAAAAGCTGCAAAGTGTTAGTTATTTATTATCATTGTGTTATTACAGACAGGGAGAGGTGCTTGTGGAATATTCTGTCTTGGGTGACAAAATAACTGGGCTGGTGTTGGATATCATGTCCCTGGACGTGGAATGGGGAACCATTTGCCACTTGAGCACTGACAGCAAAATGTTTATCTGGCCAGCCCTGCAGGAGGAAATGTGACCTCTGTTTTGTTTTTACTGCTATACATCGCAAGCAGCGCCTGCCATAAGAAAAATCTGGGACAAGGAACATAGGAAGCCGCCTTAGACTGAGTTAGACCCCTGGTCCATCTAGCTCTGGATTGTGTGCTAAAACTGGCAGCAGCTTTCCAGGATTTCAGGTGGGATCTCTCCCCGCCACTCCACCGCCATACCTGGAGATGCCTACGATTGAATCTGAGACCTTCTGCATATAAAACAGATTCTCTGGTACTGAGCTACCCAAGGAAGTCAGTAGTCATTATCCCTGAAAGTTTTTCCCTCTGCTCACCCAGGCAAGCCTCTAGGACAGGCATCCCCAAACTCGGCCCTCCAGATGTTTTGGGACTACAACTCCCATCATCCCTGGCTAACAGGACCAGTGGTCAGGGATGATGGGAATTGTAGTCCCAAAACATCTGGAGGGCCAAGTTTGGACGTGCCTGCTCTAGGAAGTGGTGAATCTGTCAATCTCAGTTTCTCATTTCCCCAATCTTAAATTCACTTCTCCGCATTTCCACAACGGTTTATGAAAAACAAGTCTTCATGAAAATCCGTGCAAATTTCAGTGTGTGTGTGTGTGTGTGTGTGTGTGTGTAAGTGTAATTTTGCCTAGCAATACACATTTTTGTGAGTGAGTTTCCCCAACTATAATACATATCTCTGTGTTATTTTCACAAACATGTGCATTTTTTTTAATGCACAACTGACCTTAGTATATGCATTTTGGAGCCCATTACTTGACTAAAGAGCTGAATTGCAAAATTCTGAGAAGTGCATATTTCAAAGGATAGTCATTCCACTGTTTGCATATTGTTAGTGTGAATTTAGTCAATTCAGCTTTAAATGCAAACTCAATCAAATTCCTTCTTTATCTATACAAGACTCCTTCTGCACAATCATACATGCCTGATCCTAGTGCTGGAATTAACAATGGGGCCAGAGTGGGAGACTGACCCCCTTACATGTTGTAATGGCCTCCACTACTGTGGAGTAGTGATTTGGCTAAAATTGCTGGGGGTAGGACATGGGAGTGGAGAATTCACTAAAAGCTCACTCAGAACATTACCTGGTTCATCATGTTATAGCATGGATAGGCAAACTAAGGCCCAGGGGCCGGATCTGGCCCAATCGCCTTCTAAATCCAGCCCATGGACGGTCTGGGAATCTGCATGTTTTTATATGAGTAGAATGTGTCCTTTTATTAAAAATGCATCTCTGGGTTATTTGTGGGGCCTGCCTGGTGTTTTTTACGTGAGTAGAATGTGTGCTTTTATTTAAAATGCATCTCTGGGTTATTTGTGGGGGCATAGAAATTCGTTCATCCCCCCCCCCAAAAAAATATAGTCCGGCCCCCCACAAGGTCTGAGAGACAGTGGACCAACCCCCTACTGAAAAAGTTTGCTGACCCCTGTGTTATAGCATCTGCATTGTTATAGTACCTGCATAGGGAGTTGTTGTTCCTCCAGCGCATGAAGAACCAGTGGTAACCTATGAACTGGGGCTATAACTTAGATCATGGCAAACACAGCGAGCAAACAAGCCTCCTTATGTGTGCACAACTCCTCAAGAGACTCCACTGGTGGCATTAGCACTCCAGTGCATTGCAAGAAACTAGAGTCCTGGAATGTAAATGGCCTCACAAGCTTCATTTATGAGGCTCTGGGCAAGTGCAGGCATGATAACCTCTGAGAGGGCACCCCAGGATGTTCAGGGACGGTGCAGGCTAAGGTGCCAGAGAAATGTAACAGCAACAAGGTTTTGCAAGATAAGGTATTGGGCAGCGTGTTCTTCAACTCCATTTGCTTTGATATTGATTATCCATATTGACACAGTCTGGTGCCTTTCCAGAACTACATTAATCATTTGCTCTAGAGATGGGGTGGGATGATTAAAGAGGCAGTCATTTTCAGATGTGGGAAATAATATATGTATCATGTGAAAGAGCCGTTGAAATGAAAAGGGTGATGTCCCATTTTATCCATTTTGTCCTGCCTGAGCTGCATCCCATTCTCATCTAGGCAACCTGTAAAACCATAAAGACAATACAAATTATATGCAATAATGTCATTTTACTAGTTGGCCAACTTTACGAAAAGCTATTCTGTCCACCACTGTGCTGTTGTATGCTTCCATTCATTTCAGTAAAATATAATGTTTGTGGAGTGAGGGCGGGGAGGAAACCAGTAGTAGTGAATGCCACTCATATTAGTTCAAGTGATTTCTGTTCCTGACGTCAGACAAACATGCAGATTGTGACAATTTCCACTCCCATTTCTGATGACGTTCTCTGAGATGGCAGAGAAATGAAAATGTTTGGAACTCAGCTCTGCTTCAGAGACTGAACTTTGTCCCTTGGTAGCTACACCATGGGATAACTAACATTTGCCTATAGCCAGATGGCTTCAATTTATATTCTCAGGACTCTGGGCTTTCTTGGAAGCAAATAAGGGGTTTCTTTTGCAATGGCAGATATGTTGCCTGAATGACATCTTGGTTGCCATTATGAACCTTCCCCTGCAATGTATAGCCTCGCGGGATGAGGGTCAACATCAAGGCCCGACAGAACATTTGCTGTAGAAAATGTGTCAGAATCCTTTGCGAGGCGCTGACATTCTTATGAGGTGGCTCCTCATAAACCAATGTGGAGAGGCTTCCCAGAGAGTAGGAGGATTGGAAAAACACCACTCTGGACAGCAGCAGCAAGGCTAAAGACAGTGATTAAAAAGGTACCGGGATAAGTGACAAACAGGGATTGTCAGGGATAAGTAATAATTATCCAGGAGGTATCTGCCGTTTTCCTTTAGAGTAACCTGGGGGACATATGGCAGCTACCCAAGAGTAAAACAAATTTACCTTGTGATAAATGCTTTGTACCTATAATGTATTTCCCAGTCCTCAGATTCAAAGAGCTCCCCCCCTTCAGTCTGGTTGTGCATTTAGAGAGTGTTTATTTTTGCAAAAAGCTATTATCAACCAGCTGCTCATAAACTCTCCTCTGCAATGCAAGAATCTTTGTGCTGCGTAAGTGCCTTGCCTCTCTAAGTGCATATTCCACTGGTTCGAATTAACTGCTAACTCTTTATGATTATGGCTATCATTCATCTCCAGCAATTTCAGTCAGGTTTAGACTTAGCCGTGGTGACATCATCCTGCTAAGAAAGAAGCCTGAAGGGGCTTACTGTCCTCAAGGCAAGGCTGGACCTGTGCTGGATCCGTCTTCCTGCTATCTTTCAGGGTATATGAGATGTGCAAAGCAGAGCACCTCCCCTGCCTTCCCGAAAGTCATTTTGCTTTTAAATTATGCATCCCATTCAGATCATGCGCCTCTTGGGGACTTGGGTGTTACATCTAACTAAGTAGCTGCCCCATTTGCAAATGTACCGAAATGGATTTACCATCTAACCCAATAAAATTTGCACAGGGCATTCTTTATGTCTAGAGATATCTCCCCTTTAACATCTGCGACCCATTAAGACGTGTTTCTCCTGGCTCTTGAATAAACAAAAGCCATATTGTGATGGCCTGGGAATCCGATTCAGAGGCTGAACCGGAGGAATCCCAGCCTGCACAGGAGTCCCCGCCTCCAGGGCCGGCTGAACTGGGGCAGGGCCTTGATTCTGAAGCGCCTGCACCTGTGCCAGATCCTCAGGAGCAGGCACCAGGTGAATCTACTCTGGCTCCGGAGGTGGTTGAGGACTCAGTGCCTACAGGTGAGTCTCCCCCTGGGTCCAGTAACCCTTCAGCCTCTCCTGAACTGTAGAGGCGAAGGGCAGAGAGGCGAAGGGAACTGGTTTCTCCCAGGAGGAGTGCTCGCCTTAAGGCCAGGAGAGGCAGGTCTCCTGGGGGCCGGGGCCGCCCCTGGCCTCAGAGAAGATAAAGGCCAGTCAGCTCGGTTCCAGGTTGCGGGAGCAACGTCGTTGGTGAGCTGTTTTGGCCAGCATCCAGTCCTGTTCCCCCAGAGTTCCTGTCCTTGCCCGGCTTCTTGCTGTGGACCCCGCTTTGCCCAAGGAGGACTGTCTGCCGACCCTCAACTCAGGCCCTGGACCTCACCCCACGGACCAGCACACATATGAATGGTGTGTGTGTGTGTGTGTGTGTGTGTCCCTGTGTCCCTGCTGCCTCCCGCCACTCTCTCTCTCTCTCTGGACCTACCTTATATTATCCTTGATGTACAGGTTTTGGGAACCACAACTATTTGAGAGTAAAAACAAACATACACAAAACTACAGAAATGGATTGCAGAAGAATGACTGAGTCGGGCAACAGCAAGACATAGTGACACATTTATTGATCGAAGGAGTTGTAAGGGACATGACCAGTGCCCAGTCTTCTTGGGAATCTAAGGCAAGATACCCACACAGCAGAAGTTGCCCCGAGTTCCAGTCACCATACAAAGGCAGCTTAGGGTCCAAAATAGTTTGCTGCTGTAGAAAATTAGGCTTCAGTAATGCAGTTCCAGATGTTCATATATGCACACAGTTTGTAGGCTTTGCAGCTACAGATATATACAAAGCACAAAGCATTCCTGTGGCCCCAGCAATTCAAGATGTAACACAGACTGACTCACGGACAGACTCACTGTCTGACACCAATACACAGACCCAGACCCCAGCACAATGAGCTGATGTGTATTAAACACATATAGATGGCACTGGGCCGTTGCCATAGCAACTGGCTTGGCTGACTTTGCACCTGTTGGCTTATCTCATACATGCAGTCATTTGTGCTCATGAAGGAAATCAACCCCTTCTTCCATGTCCAGTTCCTCCAACAAGTTTCTGAAGTCTGAGATGGACCAGGGTGGGGGTGCTTTAGACTTATGCCTTACTGACGACCCCAGCAGTGTGTGTACTTCATTGCACAGGGACCTGAAGCAGGATTCCGCCCCCACCCCCGAGGTCACTTCCAGACTGTTACTATTTGGTGGGAGGAATTCAGTTGCATACCAGCAAGCAGGTCTGTGCTAATAAAGTGTTCTGGTGCGCTGGTGGAAAAAAACAACCACCAGCCTTTGGCAATAAGGAAAGTCATGTAACTTCCACATAAACAAATCAGGATGGATTGGTGCTCCCAGACAGGGGTCCCAGAATCTGAGCTTTCATTTTTTAAAAAAGTAAACCTAGCCCTCCTAAAAGAGACAGCCAAGGAAAAGAGTGTCATATATTAACATTAAAGATAATATTAATCCCAGAATTGCAATTATTTGAAACTGTTAAGAACAGGGGAAATATGTGCATGCTGCCTGTAATCTCTGGTGAGAATATAGAGGGAGCAAAAAAGTACTCAGAGAATGGGAGAATTCCATCAGCAAGAACTGATGGAGGTCACTGCTAATGTAAGCACTAAATTCTTTCTACTCATATTTAATATTAAAATACATTTGTTGCATTCTTATGTAATTTGCATTTTTAGAACATTTTAAAAGTGCCTTTCTGCATGCTTAAAAGCATGCAGTGCCCACCAGTGAAACTTTCTTGTAAAAGCACGGCAGAGGTGATGTGTATGTGGTTCTTTGAAACTTTCCTTCTACTGTAGGGGTGGGGGACTGCTGGCCCTTCAGACGTTGTTGGATTCCTACTCCCATCAGCCCAAACCAGCATGGGAACGATAGGAGTTTTAGTCCCCACAACATCTGGAGGGCCACAGCTTCCCCACCCCTCTTCTTAGGCCTCTGCTCTGCCACCTGCTACCACTTTCCCCTTTCCCAATGTAAGGCTTTTTGCTGGTTCGCTCTGCTTACCTGTGGGCAAGGTAGAGAGACTAGAGTAGCAAGAAAGGCAGAGAACAGCAGAGGAAAGAGGCAAACTCTGTTTGAGGAGGGGCACCTCTCCTGTGCTTCAAATAATCACCCCATACTGTGCATGCGAAGACAGGTTCCAGTGGACTGAGCAGACCAGACCAATAGTGGCTCCAACAGTCAAGAAGGTGGTTTTTGCATGTGCTATAGGAGGAAGTGAGGGGTGGATGGGGCTCATCAACATGGGAAGAGAGCCCATCTAGGAGAAGGAAAACTCTGATCCTAAACCTCCACTGCTTTGCAGGATATCTTTGGGAGAAGAAAAGGCTAAGGAGTACACCCTAGACAAATCTGGAGTGGAGTCCCTAATGCAGTTGAATGGTGCTTTGAACACCTCCTTCCAGCAACTCCTGCAGCCAAGCTGGTGCCAAATGTATTGCTCTGCTTTCCTTTGGACCACATCAGTGAGGCCAAGAGGGGAGTTTTGTTGTCAGGGCAGTCCAGGACTTCCATACACACTGCCCAAGCTTGTGCCCTGGGAAGGTCACTTGAGTGCTGCTAACCCAGCGGTTTGACAGAGGCACACTCCATTGTCTCTCAAGACAGACGGATGCCAATGAACAGCCACTATCCCTCAGTCAAAACCGTTTCTCCAGACCTACGCACAATACACAGCAGACTTCCTCTTCATACCTAAGGTTGCTCCAAGCAACCATTGCCACATGAGGAAAAAAAGTCTTCGTAATCTCCTGTCCTATCTGAAAGAATAACAAGCTGCTGCAAGCAAAATGAACAGAGCACAAGCTGTTTGCTGTCCTAGATGATGACTGCAGATTCCAAGGGTTTCCAGACCCCTCCTGCTGTTCTTTCTTCTTCTTCTTCTTCTTCTTCTTCTTCTCTGGACTGGAATTTTAATGGTTCTGATAAGAGAGAAACGCCACCTTTCATCAGATGGTTTGTGGTGTTTATTTTAGCTCTCTGCTTCCTTCCCTGCAATTGCTTCTGCACACAACCATGCGCTATCAGTTGAAGACAGGCAACCTTTTCAGCCATCCTCACTAAAGCACTTGAACCATCCATTACCCCAAACCTGTTTGCGATAATAATAAATAAATGAATTATCAGCAGTGGTAACCCCAGGGGGGAAATCTGGACAGGGGCCACAGAAGGGGCAAAGAGAAATAACTGTGTGTGTTAATGACAGGAGTTCAAAATTGAGGGGAGTGGAGTGGAAGAACAAGCTCCTCCTCTTTGGGGGGTGCCTGCCCCCCTGTCCCTATTATGTTATCAGCCGCACTTGCGTGGATGTCAGCAAAGGAAGTGAGGCTTCACCCATGCTTCGGTCTGTACTTGAAAAATGAAAAGAATGAAAGGTCAATTGAAAGATCAAATGACACAGCAATCCTGAGCAAGGAGAGCTATTATAGTTGGGGCACTGCAGGGGTTAAAGTTATGGAAGGCGAGGTTCCTGGTTCAAGTCTATCTTCAGCCACCAACTCACTGGGGCTGACATCCCTGGTCACATGAGAGGAGGAATCCACAGCACAGCTCCTCCTTGAACTTCCTCTTTTTCTGTTAGCTGTTGACACAGCTAAAAGCAGTCTTGCCACCAGATACAAACTGGGAGAGTGCTGCTGTTTTCAGGCCCAGCTTGTGGGCTTTTGGGAGGGTTACAGTTTGGAGGGTCAATGTGGATGATACCCATCGATCCCTTCCAAACCTGTGGTCATTGTGTGTGTGAGGTTAGAATATATAAGAGGAAACCTGTTGAACCTGTTAGATGAGTTTCTCTGTTAAGGTAATGGCTTCATCTGGCCAGTTCAGCACCACCATTTACGTGTCCAAAGGGTGAGTCCTGGGTGGGCCTTTTTGCTACCTTACCTGGCTGGATTCTACATCATCCTAGGAGTGAGAACAATAGGCCAAGTGGGGCTGTCTGTTTGCGAGTTTAGGCCAGAAGATGGAAGCACAGAGGCTTATTTTGCTCTATGCTGGATACAAAACTATGATTTGGGGATCTCCCACAGAACCTAATGGGGAGGCAAGATCTGTGGAGTGTTAATGATGTGAGCCCTTCCTTCCTATGCTCAAGTGTAAATAAAAGCACATATCCAGTCTCCATTGACCATCATTCCAAGGAAATGGAACCCTGGGTAAGTGCTGGAACCCCTGGAGTCTCTGACTTCTCAGAGACATGGAACAACATGAATAACCATATTGCTGATATTCAGGGTGGAAGATCTTTTCTCCCTCGTACCTGCAATGCTGCTCCAGTAGGGTTCCAGGTGCAACAAGCCCTGGGAAATCTAATATTGCATGTGCTGTTGTTATCTCAAGCCGTACGGGGAATGTGCATAAAGAGGCATCAGCATGCATCTTCAAACAACATTTTCACTCCCCAGCAATGTATGATGTGTATTTCTTTTTCATGGCAGCAAATAAATCTTTGCTTTTACTATGTTGTGCCAGCAAACAATCTTCCCTCGTTGAATCATTTGCCAGCCTGTTGCTGTGCAAAGATGCAAACAGATGTCATGCACTTCGATGTTCAAAGAACAGCCCCAGCCATCCTTGATGGGGAGCCTACCTGGCCGAAGGTTACATGATACAGCACTAAAAGTTCTGGAATGCCAGTAGAGAAATCACGCTGGTTACAGAATCATAGGTGCTAAGAAAGAAAGAAAATGCTTTCCTAATTGTTTTTCCTTGGCAAATCTTGCCCCTTGCTCTGGAAAAAGGATTTTGTTCATTTTAAGTAGTTTTCCAGAGTGGCTGTTAGATGTTTTTTTTAAAAAAAAATATATGGTAGACTGGAAGTTTTTAACGATGGGCTATTTATGCCTTTCTGTAACCCTAGCAAAATTGGTCTTGTTTTGTTAGTAGGGGAAAACACCCTTCAGTCAGAGCACTTACGGTCAATGGTCCAAAAACTCTTCTAAGTTACTGCTGTTCTGGAGCCTTATTTACCTCATGGATCAACTGAGTGCAGTAGCAGCCGTGGGTTAAAGGCTCAGGGTCCCATGTCCTCCCTTCAGAAGCATGTGTGTGGCTTCTGTTGAAATCAATGGAAGCACTGTTTATGCATCCAAAAGCCAAATTTGGCTCCGGGTTTTTATAGTTTCCCCATAGAGCTCAAATTGATTCCAGCGTAATAGCTATTTCTTTACTATGCAGACTACTCCATGCATCAAAAGGCTGGCTGGAGCCTTCACAACTTGATGGTAACTTCAGGGACCGTGTGTATTCTGATGAGCTTTTCCAGTCCAGCATAATCCTCTTCAACTGCCTCCAACTTTCTCTTCTTGTTGTTCCTTTCACTGTTTATAGCGTTGAGAGCAGAACGTTTATAGCGTTGAGAGCAGTGGAGGAGTATATTTCCAAAGGCATATTTTCACCACAAACAGGTAATTCTCTTTCCCCAAGAAACTCTGGGAATGATAGCTCAGGGTAGGTGTGCCAATTCTATTGGACCAAGATGACATTGAACACCCATAGCATTTGTTGGCAGGGGGCTGGGCCTGAGAAGGTGCCGCTACTGCCCCACACATCTCCCTTGCTACTGCTCCGCTGCCTCTGCCGGTGCCGCCTCCTCAGAGGCACGCCACCTTCCTTCCCTCCTCACTCTGGGCATGGTCATGGAGGCCTCCTCCTGATGATGCAGTCGTCTCATGTGTGACATCACACATGCGTGCTGATGGACAATTTGCTACTCTCTTTCTTAAGGTTAGAATAATAGAATCATAGAATTGTAGAGTCGGAAGGGACCACAAGGATCATCTAGTCCAATTCCCTGCAAGGCAGAAATCTTTCACGCGATGTGGGGCTCAAACCCATGACCCTGTGATTAACAGTCTCATGCTCTACCAACTGAGCTAATTGGAATCGAACCAGTTCTTTATCTTTAAACTGGATTTGGACCAGAAAGCCCTTAAAAGTGAAGACCGTCCTCTGTACGATCAGTAACACCTGGTCAATATGCTACAATTGTCAAGGCAAGTTGTAGTTCTGCCCTTAGTGAGCACTAAAAACGATCTTCTGGAAAATGCTCATTTTAAAATCCAAGTGAACGGAGTTCTGATAAAGCTCCAAGGAGTATCCAATCAATTAAAGAGCCTCGAAAGAGAAATGGAAAACCACATACTTCCAAAGCTTTTAGGGCTGTTTCCAATTCAAAACACTGGTTAGTTCTTGCAACATGGAAGTTCCACCTTAATTGCCTTTAGGGAATAATTGGACCAGATCAAGACAGAAGTTTGATGTTACGCATTCTTAAAATGCAAGGGAGCAAAAGATGAAAAGCAGCATGGCCATGGATTTCGGGACATCTTGAGAAGATGCAAAGAAACTGTGGACTTTGCATAAACATTTGTCAAAATCCAAGAAAACCAAACCAAGATGGTAGATTAGCAGTGAAAGCAATCAGCCATGAACTCACGGCCATTCAGTCCATCAGACCCTATGCCCAAGCTGCATGTCAGCCTCCCTGCTCTACAGTACGCAAGGGAGATGGTTGCATAGTCCATGGCTGGGATGAGTTTCCACTGATGGAGACCTAGTCCACACATAATACATGATTGCTGTACTTGATGTACTACTAGTCCACTGAAAACCATTGTGTTGAAGTGATACTTGGGTCCCTTCACATAAGCCAGGTTGCTGTAGCCATCAAATAATGCCCCCCAGTTGTTATGGGCCACAGCTATCATCACCCCTGACCATTGGCCATGATGGCTACTGCAGCTCGGAGTTATAGTCCTAAACAGTTGGAGGGCACCAAGTTGGGAAAGGCTAGCATGGAGCTTTGTTGCTATGACTACCATAGGCCACAATATTTTGCGGGGACATCTAATGATGCTTTATGAATGTTTGCAAGATGCCTTTAGCTAAGAACGAGCAGTGTGCAGCTAAAGAAATCATGACAACAATAGTCTTAAACCATTGTTTTGGCTTATTTTTAAAATGTTTTAAAGATTTTGTCTTGTTGCTAGGCAACAGCTCCTGCTGAGGACCATGATACAAAGGAGTAGAGCAGGAGTAGCCGACATATTGCTCTTCAGATGTTGAACTCTCAACTCCCATCATCCCCAGCCCAAGTGCCCAAAGATTAGGAAAGATGGGAATTGGACTGGAATTTTTTTTTAACACCCCTTATATAGCCAGTTGATCACAGAGCTCTGCAGGTGAGGGACCTCCAGAAACCTGGAGGTCCCTCACCTTTAGTGTTGTGGCCCTTTGGGATTCCCTCTTGTTAAATATTAGACAGGCACCGTCTCTTGACTCATCCACTCTTCTGCGTGCCATCCACTCTTTGCACCACCGCTTCCCCCCAGAAAACCTGCTCTTTAGCACTAAACCAGAATGGACAGTGATCTGCAGAACTGCCATTTGCTAAACCGCAGCTTTTCTTGGAGAAAAGTGTCATGGCAAGTGGAGGTGTGGCTAAGCCCACCATTGTCTTGTTGGTGCCAACTAAAGACCTTCCTCTTCCACCAAGCCTTTCAGATAGAGATCTTTCCTAGCATGCAGGTTGTTTGGATTGTTTTCCACATGCTTTAAAGGCTTTTTGTGTTTGCTTTACCACTTGTCCTTTGCCACCCTGGGCTCCTTTGGGAGAAAGGGCAAGCTATAAAGTAAAGAAAAGTGAACAAGACCTAACTTGCTTTTTATAATAAAAATGTGCTCCTTTGTTTTAATGCCACCTGAGTGCTTCTGCACAAGTCCTTCTAGTTTGAATTCTGAAAGGGGAAATAAGAGGAGATTATTCTCTTGGAGTTAGGGTGGAATCCTGGCTTGCGATATGGCCTGGAAACTTTTGCCCATTTTTCGAACAGACCTAGGAATTCTGGTTTTCTGCTTGACTAGGCAGCCTCTTCCATGGCACCTCGTTTGTTCACTGAAAAACATTGCTCAAAAACCCAAATCTGACTCATATGTTTGCTGCTTGGCAGCGTGAGTATAACTCTCCACTGTGTGGAAGCCTCCTTTATGCCACAGACAGTAAATAAATACAGGAGATGCAAACCATACTTACATAAACTAATACCACTTGTAAAAATATCAAGCGATTTAGCATACAAGCGATTTAGCATACAAAGTGCAACTGTTGAGAGGGAGGTCGAGATGAACAACGCCATTGTAATAAGGCTGTGCCATGGAGTGCACCTTTTTCCTTTACCAGGGAAGATATTGCCGCAACTTGCAGCACTCAGCAGAAAGTAGTAGCACATCCAAGTGCCAGCACGCTACTATACCAAAAGGACACCCTGCCTTTCAGACAGCAGAACTGTTCTAGATAGAAGCAATTCTGCTGTACAAGGTGGGGTCTGGGGTTCTGAGGAGGTCCACACATCCCCTCCAACATACCCACATGACATCACAGAGCCCAAAAGATGCACTTTTCTGGGGGCTGTGCTCGCAGGTTTGGGGGGAAGAGATCTTGGCATGAAATCACACAAGATCACAGCACTCAAAATGGCTGCTATGCTCTTGCAAGAGAAAATGGAATGTCCTGTTTTCCCCGGGACTCTTGTGGGGTATGCTGCCGGATGGATCTACGTCATAGGTAGTCCTCCAGATGTTGCTGGACTACAGCTCCCATCAACAACAGCGAGCACAGCTGATAATCAAGGATGATGGGAGTTGCAGTCCAGCAACATCTGGAGAGCACCACGTTGACTATCTCTGTCCTGTGTCCTTCTAGAAAGTCAGCACAACTCTTTGCATGACTTCCCTGCCATTTTGAGGGGAATTTCCTTGGCAAATGGCACGGCCAGAGGGTTTTCTCTCACTCTCTAGGGGTTAGGATGCCTGTTTGCTTACTTACTTGCATAATTAATGAATGAATTAATAGCATTTATATCCCACCTTTTTCTCCAAGGAGATCAAGGCGGCATGCGTGGCAACCCCCTTCCCCCATTCAATCCCCACAACAACCCTGTGAGGTAGGTTGGGCTAAGAGGCAGTGACTGTGAGCTTCATGGCCCATTAGGGCCATGGACCCTGGTCTCCCAGGTCCTAGTCTGACGCTCTAAACAACCACGCCACCCTGGCACTCATTTCATTTTCATTTCATTTCATTTATTATTCTTAAAGAAGTCAGAATTTAGGTTGAGAGAGAAAAAATGGAGGGGTGTGTGATGCGAGAAACCAAAACAGCAGCAGCCTTTCCCCATATTTGGTGCTGGCTCCAAGAGCCAGGTGGTTGACCTTGGCAGAAGGCACATGTGTGCACCTTGTGTTTCCTTTGCAGCCGCTCCCACAGGTTCTGTTGAGTCAAGGCAGGTAGGATGGGTGGTGGCGGGCAACTTGGCAGCGGCATCCGTGAGAACTTCTTCAGCACCTCCTATTTTACTGTGCAGGAGTGGAACAAGAAAGGGTTCCAGTCCTCCTGGAGTCTACCATCCCCTGACCACCTCCCTCTAGTCTCCCCGGGTACCAAGAGAGTAACCACCATTCCTCCAAAGCAACCTCTTTTGTTCCTCCTGGGTCATTGCCAGGCTACCAGTCGGACTCTGCTGCTGCTTGCCTATTCTTGCTCCAGACTGCCTGTTTACTCCTTCCTTTCCTCCCTCCTCTCCCCTCCTTAGTTTCTCCATCTAACTTTGAGTCTATCAGCTTGCCTTCCCTTTGGCTTACCTGAATCATTGCTCCTGCTAACACCCCACCTTCAGATGGACTTCCCTCAGGAGCTGGTGATGGCCACCAACCTAGATGGCTTTAAAAGAGGATGAGACAAATTCATGGAGGTGAGGGCTATTGAAGACTACCAGCCATGATGGTTATGTGCTGCCTGCACAGCTGAGGCAGCAATGCTTCTGAACACCAGCTGCTGGAAACCACAGGAAGGGAGAGTGCTCTTGTGCCTGAGTCCCACTTGTGGGTTTACCACAGGGTCCTGGTTGGCCAACGGCAAGAACAGGATTGACTAGATGGGCCAATGGGCTGATGCAGCAGGCTCTTCCTATGTTCTTAGGTTCTGAGCTCATAGCCTCGGCCCAGTATACCTGAAGGAGCGTCTCCATCCCCATCGTTCTACCCAGACACTGAGATCCAGAGCTGAGGGCCTTCTGGTGGTTCCCTCACTGCGAGAAGCCAAGTTACAGGGAACTAGGCAGAGGGCCTTCTCAGTAGTGGCTCCCATCAGATCTCAAAGAGAGAAACAACTACCTGACGTTTAGAAGGCATCTGAAGGCAGCCCTGTTTAGGGAAGTTTTTAATGACTGATGTTTTAATGTATTTTTAATCTCTGTAGGAAGCCGCCCAAAGTAGCTGGGGAAACCCAGCCAGATGGGCGGGGTACAAGTAATAAATTATTATTATTATTATTATTATTATTATTATTATTATTATCACCTGACTTACCATTGCTTCTGCATCCAACTGCCCCTTCTATGGATGGGCTCCCAGTCTTACTTCCAATTTGGGTCCCCAAACTGATTCCTGGGTGCTCCATTTCTTAGGGCCTTGGAAGCCACAAATTCCGCAGTGTCACACTCATTGTCGAGGAGATGAAAAATCTCCTGTAGCAAAGACAATCTACATATCTCTCATGCAAGGAAAAAGCAGATGTTATGCTTCAGTTATATTTTTCTGTTGTTGAAGAACAGACTACATGGGGAATTAACATGCCCAGTCCCTGCACAAGAAGGGAATAACCATAGCCATATAAGCTTGGGCATCAGCAGCAAGTGCCAACTTTCCATGGTTCTGGTGGCATCCCTACGTCAACAATTAGGCATTTCCTTTGTGTGATTTTAGGATAAAACATTCATTTCGAAAGCTTTTGCTTTGCTAGGGAGAGGGAGGGAGGGAGGGAAAACCAAGGAAACCTATAAAACGAGCCATCTGAGGAACAAAGACAGCCAACATCCACTGCAATATCCTTAATGGCACTTCCATGTGCTTGTTGAGGGGAAATATGGAGCAGGAAGCAATGTAAATGAGAATTGACAGAAAAATGATTTGACATCAAGTTCACGTTAAGCTAATGGATTGTAGCATCTCATAAATCCTCGCAGTGGACCTGAACTGATTTATGATTTCTTGCTGAAACTGTGAAAGCATGGGATTTCACATGGCTAGAATCAAAGGTGAGGCTTTTCTCTGATACCTTTGCTTTGAACCACAGGGATTTGCTTGCTAATATGCCCCATTTTCCTGCTTCAGAATTCTATGGCGACATGGATGGCATGGGTCCCCCTCTGTTCAAAAGGCCAACTGCAGCGGGTGAAAGATTATGCAGCCTTCAGAGTTGCATGCAGCTGGGACTGTGTGCAGTATGGTCTATGCCATTCCAACCTAAATTATGCTGCCGTAATAAAATGGTGCAAATAACTTCTGAGAGCTATGTTTTCTCATTGTGCAAAGGAGAAAAATGAATCTCTCTGTAGGTAGGGCATGGCCTACTTGTTGGCGAGAGACAATGGACACTAATGGCCCATTTGGCTGATCATATTCTAAGACATTGTGAGACATGCTTTAGAACATACTAACTTTCCAGAGTGCAGGTGAAGTCGGTTTTATATGGCAAAGTTGATGTGCAGAAATGTTTCTTTTTCTTTTCTGGATTAGAGGGTCCTGAAGATACCTTCTGTCTCTAGTGGTGCCTCATCGTAAGTAAAACTTGAAAAGTGCTCCCCATTTTGTGGAAATGAAGGAAACTATAATTCTCCCTCTTTTGTCAAGGTGAAGGGGAGAATCAAAAGAGCTGGAAATGTTATGACTGAAGGCCAACCTAGATATATCAGTTTGTGCTTTCTATCTTACAACGTCCAGGGTCCCTCCAGGTGTCCTTTTAAATCATGTGTTCATTATGCTATGTTCTTAAGATGCTATCAGGGCAGCCACATGCAACCCCACTTTCAGTTCTGTTTGTGTCTGCAGAAGTTTTGAGGCTTCATACATCTTCCAGTTAATGCATATCTTGTAATTTCCTGCTGAAATCCCACAACTTTCCATACCACAAATGTTCTGGAATTTTATTTTATTTTATTTTGCCCTGTTTTATTGTGCTATAGCCCTTCCAGACAGTAATAATGCAGCAGCATTGGGGAAGCATCATGGAACAACCACTAAAGCAGAATAAACCCACAACTAATGCACTACAGGGTAGGGACGCGGGTGGCGCTGTGGGTTAAACCACAGAGCCTAGGGCTTGCCGATCAGAAGGTTGGCGGTTCAAATCCCCGTAACGGGGTGACCTCCTGTTGCTCGGTCCCTGCTCCTGCCAACCTAGCAGTTCGAAAGCACGTCAAAGTGCAAGCAGATAAATAGGTACCGCACCAGCGGGAAGGTAAACGGCGTTTCTGTGCGCTGCTCTGGTTCGCCAGAAGCGGCTTAGTCATGCTGGCCACATGACCCGGAAGCTGTACGCCGGCTCCCTCAGCCACTAAAGCGAGATGAGCGCCGCAACCCCAGAGTCGGCCACGACTGGACCTAATGGTCAGGGGTCCCTTTACCCCTTTACCTTTAATACACTACAGTTGAAATAGCAATATCTCAAAGGTCTACTGGGTTCCCATTGTTTCTGCAGTTTTACAAGGTATTGGCAACAAATTTTCACATGTTTTTCTCTGCAAGCGTGGGAACATCCAGTTTCATGGAAGGTGAAACTCACACAGCCCTTCACTTATGGGGAGAGGCAATGTAAGAGTTGCATGCAGAAGATCCCATTCTTGGACCTTGACATCCACAATTGATGGCATACAATAGGGTGCAAACAGGCCTGTTTAAAGCTGCTGTGCGTCAGAACAGACCGTGCTGGGTGAGATGAGCCAATGGCCTGATTCAGCACAAAGTAGCTTCCTATATTCATAATTCTTCACTGTTAAACAGGTGAAAGGAGAACTGAGCTCTCAGCTTTACCGCGAAGCAGCTGTGGAGTCAGGTCTGCAGGCGAAAGGGGGAAAGGCGCTATAGGCCAAATGCTTCCACACAGACAATCCTTCTCTCACAATTACATGCTTTCTTATTGTTTTATATTTGTTTTATGATGTTAGGAGATTTCAATCAGGGCTGGGGAACCTGTGGCCCTCCAGATGCTGTTGGACTACAGCTCCCATCATCCCTGATCCTTGGCCATGCTGGCTGGGGCTGATGGGATTTGGAGTCCAACAGCATCTTGAGGGCTACATGTTCCTCACACACACATACCCGGCTCCAAATTGTAAATAGATTCAACATTTGTACTGTGCAACCAGAGATTAAATAGGGTTGAAAAGAAAAATGTAAAAGGAGATTTTAAATGTTTTTATACAAGCTCACATGTAACTGCCATGGGACCAGCGATCTAGATCAGAGACTGTGGTGCTTGTGATATCCATAACCACTTTGGGTCAGCTCCTAAAAAGAAAACATCCACCTCTGTAAATGCAGTCAACTGCTGCAGGATGTTTACTTCTTTACGCATTCTGCTACATTTTTCTTTAACCTTCTTTCTTTCTTTCTTTCTTTCTTTCTTTCTTTCTCTCTCTCTCTCTCTTTCTTATTTAGAGGACAGTAGCAAGATACAGGAAGATCTCTCTGGGGTTGTATAGCTGGCTGGAGTGGATGATATTTTAGCAGAAGAACCAGATGTTACTTTGGAGCTTTGTGGCTTAGCATGGATATTTCATTTTATAAGAAGAAGCTATTTTTGTCATACCAGGCAAATGTAATGGCCCTAAACTTGGGAGATGGAGGGGGCGGCGGGAAGGCGGCTTCAATTTCTTTTTAATTCTGTATGTCTTGGCCTGTTGCATCAGGCTTGAAATACTGTAGGATCCTCAGATTGTTCCTCTCTATTGGCTGCCTTTTATTCTTTTGATGCTTTTCAAAGGGCGCATCTGTTAAAATAGGAGCCTTGTCCTAACGCAGCAACAATGAATGTAAGGATTATGTAGACGATAGCATATTAGTTCCTGTCACTGGATGATTCGAATATCCAGGTGTTTCCCTAATCTTTCCAAGGTTAGTTTTAAGTACTATAAAGCTACTTGGGACCACACAGCTAATATCTGGATAAGCTGCTCATTTCAGGTCCAATTTATCAATGCACCCGGCGTATACATTCTACATGTGGTAGGTTGCAGGAATAACTGAACTTACTTTCCCCCTTGCAGCTCACTCTTAATGATGTTTCGTGGAAACAAATGCCCATGTGCATTCATTTGTATTGGACCACCTACCCACAACCCACCCATCACATGTGAGCACGAGGTGGGAAAATGAGTCCCTCAGGTTGGTTCCTGGCTTCTCCTGCTGCGTGTGGACACCAAGGAAAACAAAGGAGAAAGGAAGAACAAAGATAAAAGGAAGAGAGAAATATAAGAGAGGAAAGGGGGAAAGAGATAAAAGGATTTCTGATTTTCTGTCTGTCAGTTACATATTTTAAAAAATCAAAATAGGATGACACCCAGCTGTTCTACCTTCTGCTAATCAATACTTTCTTCATTCTTCAGACTCGGATATCTGAAATTCAATCATTTCCCTCAGATTTCTCTCTTAAGAACTGCCCAGCTCCTTGGGAAAAATTATTCCCCGTTATTATTCTAATAAGCCTACAGAGTCAGGCCTCCATCCAAATAAGCCCAATTAGAGGGTGTCACTCAGTGGCTATCAGGGACCACCATGTTGCACCACAACATGCATCATAACGAACAGGCTTCAATACTGGTGTTAGGTCACTTCACAGTGTGCTCCTTAATCACCTCTACGTACAGTGGTACCTCTGGTTAAGAACTTAATTCGTTCCGGAGTTCCGTTCTTAACCTGGAACTGTTCTTAACCTGAGGTACTACTTTAGCTAATGGGGCCTCCCGCTGCCGCCGCGCCACCACCGTGCGATTTCTGTTCTCATCCTGAAGTAAAGTTCTTAACCCGAGGTACTACTTCTGGGTTAGCGGAGTCTGTAACCTGAAGTGTTTGTAACCCGAGGTACCACTGTATTAGCAAAAGAGAGAAGGGGACAAATGAGAACAGACGTACACAGTCAAGCAGGGTGGGCTCCAGGTTTTGGGGGTCCCTTGTGCAAGATCTCCTCAAAGGGGTCCCCTCCACTAGCAGCCTCATCTCCTCCTCTACCTCAAGTCCCTCTCGGAGGAAAAGGCGGGGCAGAAATAAATATAATGATAAAAGCTTGCCCTCTCTCATCTTCGACCTTATCTACACAAACACTCAGAGAGGGAACAGGAACCATGCTGCTCCATCTCCTCACTCCTATCTCTGCTTACATGCTCAGAGAGGACCGATGAACAGGCAGCAGCAAGGAGCAGCAGGGCCAGGAAGTCCTACGGGTTGGCAGAAGGCCCCTTGGTATGACCTCAGCAGGCACCCGAGGATGCTGACATCTGATACCAGCTCTGCAGCCAAGATTTGTGGCTAGGGACCAATGGCAGGCCAAATAAATGAGACAAGTATTACAATACACAAGCCAGTCTACAGCTGGTTGGGCTTACTAAACCATTGTCTTGTATTTCCCTCATGCGCTCATGATGAGTGACCTTGATATGGCGTTCTTATAGAAGATAATTTTAACGGTTCTGTTTATTGCTGCTGATAAATGGAAAGGATATGTCCCTTAGGAAACTCGTTTAATCTTCTGGGTTAATTGAAACATCTGGTTAAAAATGTGTTTCTGGACTCTTTATTGTAAGGATCCCCATTTCTAAAGAGTTTAAGGCTCTCTAAGGTTCAGATTATTGGGTTATTAAATAAATCCCCAGTGCAAAGCAGACTTTTCCACTGACTCCTGACATGGCTCCTCATATTTATATCTGACATTTCATGCAAGCAGCCACCCCCTAATTATATTTGGGCAGCATCTAGCTGAACAAGGCCCAGAGTTTGTAGTCTTACAGGCACTACCACAGTATAAATGCTGACCATCCTCATCACACAACTTTCCAGATTGTGCAACTTCCTACATAGGAAGGAGGATAATCCTTGATCCTGCACGCTATCATTTTCCTTTCAGGGGCTTTAGGAATAAGAACACCAGCAATTATCTTAGCAGCAAATACTATTAGTGGAAATGAAACTATGCAGTGCTTGGCTAAATCCAGCCACAGAGTTTGACTTGCTGACCTTCTGCTGCATCCAAATCTTGCGGATGATTTAAGTTAAGCCGCTTACACTAGCAGCTTCTTCCTATGGTTACAATTTTCTCTATTTCCAGTGCATCATATGTGTCCGCTGTAGCCCTGTCTGTTAGAAATATTAAGAGAAATGAATGGCTGCTCCTTCAGCCACCATGGGTAACTAAAGACTGGGGAGAAATTAGATTCAGTTTGCATTTAAATGTGAACCTGTCTAATTCAGCAGGGTATGGGATGCTAGGGGAGGGGTAGTACCCCTGCTGGGGGACATGCCATCCTCCTTCTGGGGTAGTTTGTCCACCTTTGGTCCCCATCCTGCACTCAGCTCTCACCTTTGGCTCCTAGAAGCTGTCAGCATGCAACCTCAAGAAACAGCTACACATGGCCAGCTAAACCAGGTGAGGGTGGCCGATGGGTCTCAAACCCTCGGTGAGTTACATAGGTGTAGCCAGGATTTATTGGGGCACAGACTTTATGTTAGGAGGAGTAGAACCAAGTTATCTGTGACACAATACGTCAGATAAGTATTTATATGTATTTACTTGATTTAGGGGAGGCAACTGCACACCCCTCCCTGCACCCCAGGGCTACCCCAATGGTAAGGACTCCCTCTGCATGTGAAGGCTCCAGCAGATGGAGTGGATGAGACCAACAGTGGGTCCAATGGTCAAGGAGGCAGTTTCTGCACATGCTGTACAGGGAAGTGAGGGGCAGATGGGGTTCGTCAACCTGGGAAGGCAGCCCATCTAGGAGAAGGAAAACTCTGATCTGAAACCTCCACTGCCTTGCAAGATGCCATCAGGCAAAGATAAGGCTAAGGAGTTAAACCTTACACAAATCCAGAGTGGAGTCCCTAGAATGGTTGGATGGCACCTTGTACACTTCCTTCCACCAGCTCCTGCAGCCATGTTAGTGCCAAATGCATTGCTCTGCTTTCCTTTGGACCACATCAGTGAGGCCAAGAGGAGAGTCCTGTCATCTGAACAGCCCAGGACCTCCATATAAGATGCCCAGTCTTGTACCCGTAAAGGTCACTTTGGTGCTGCTAATGTAGCAGTTTGACTTCATCCCTGGAGGTGCAGTCCATTGTCTCCTGAGACAGATGGATGCCAACAAAGTAATTCACATCTAAGAGGCCACTGGTTCCCCACCCTGCATGATAGACCGCTTTAGCTTGATTGTAAAGAGGCTACTTTGCTGGTGCTGGTTGCCCCATAGTTACATACTATGGGCAGTGTTGGAGTGGTAGTGCATACTAGGATAAATCTAATCCTGATTGATATATCCCCAGATAACCAGCTCAAGTTCCACTATGTCCTGATAACTTTGCCATTACTTTAGAACCCAGTACACGATAACTGGGTGGAATCCGTGTCATTCTGCAGCATTGTGGACTCAGAATGACTGCAACTCAGATTAAGTTAGGTACCAGTTGTGCTAATTTCAATGGAACTTGAATTAGGGGTGCCATATTGCAAAAAGTGAAAATCCGGACACAAAAGTTGTTGAGCTACACTACAAAATCTATACGCAGTTTACCGGCAGTATACCGGCTATGTCTGGGAAATTCAGGACGTATGGCAACCCTAACTTGAATGCTTGTTTTACTTTTCCGGACCTGTTGAAATAAATGAGGCTCAGCACATCTAACTTGGTCCCCAGGGCTACTATACAGTTTCAAATCTTTTCCTCATTGGGTAAAGATACTTAACTAATGAACTATCCGAGACCAATGACTCATTGACTCAGTGAAAGGAAAGCAGAGGTGGGTCCTGAAACTGCACTATATGGAAATGGAGGGATGTGGAAGAAAATCAAACAGAAAGAGGGTGGGGAGGACAAGCATTCCAAAGGCTTTGCTGGGAGTGCTTCCCTCTTTCGTGAATGTAAAGCGCAGCAGTGAACATGAAGGTACATTAAACACTCGAAGAGGAAACAGATGGATTTGCCTCACCACAACCAGGCTGCCTTTATTTTTTACAAAGTATGAATGTCAAAAGGAACTGCCAGGAACATTTGCATTGGGTTATACATTTATGTGCACAACCTCACCTCCCCACACACCCACACCAGGATTCAAATAAAGATGTTAAAATCATGCTCAAGTAATGTTGGTAGTATAGCAACACACAAGAGTCTTTGGGGCTGATCTGCTTATGGGTTGGTACACTTAATCTTTTAGAAAATGCTGATTTCTTTTTTTAATCCAATGTGGGCAGCACACCATGTGTTTTCCTGAGAAACACATTATGGTCCCTGTTCTTTTCATTTCTGCAGTGCCTACTTACTCTCAATTATCTGTACATTTTTCTCCTTCATTTTTCCTGGGATAAAACTTACTAGTCTACATGTGGGAGCATTAATTGGCTGGTGCTCTCTGAACAGTTTCCATAGCTACAAGACCCACGGAGTCTTGATTGACAACCTAGGTGGATGAAATCATGGTTTATGTTTCCATATTTATCCGACGCCAGGAAGAAGCAATAGGAGATGGCCAACACCTCACCATCATGCCTTGTTTACGTTTGTTCATTGCCTTTAGAGTGCACGTTTCGTCAAAAGAGCTCAGGGTAATAAATTAAAGTTGCCCCCCCCCCAATTTATTCTTGAAATAATTCTATGCAGTTGGTTAGACTAGGAGATAATGACTGGCCCAAGGCCACCCAGTGAGGGGATTTGAACCTGCATTTCCACAGTCCTAGGCCAACACTCTGACCACTATACTATACTATACTGGCATAGCTTCTAAAAGTATCAGATAACTGGGACTCACAACACATGTGTTCCTGTCCAGTGTTCTGGCCAGCAAGCCTGTTATGCCTTCTTTCAGGATATTCCATTCCATTCTCCCTCTGGCTTCTATCTTTCCATTTCTCTCCCCCCCTCACCCACCTTCACCCAACACCCAATGCACATACTTGGCTCTTACTGGGCTATTTGGGAGCTTATTGTGCTCCCTGAAGTTCCCTCCTCTCCCTCTCCCCCGTATTTTTCTATTTTGGCAAATCCTGCAGAAATGTTCTACTTCTGCAAAAGCACAGTGCGGCTTCTGTTTCTAACTTTCATAAATACTTTTCTTGAGAGTGCATGACCTCCAGCAACCCACGCAGGCTTTCAGAGGGGCTATATCTGATTGTTGTTTTCCTTATTGTTTATCTGATTTCAATGCTTGTCACTTCTTTCCAATCGCATAACAATCACCCTTGAGAGATCTGTAAATGTTTGTCTCCTTTGCTATTCTTTTATTGTACTTCAATTTGCATTTTTTAAAAACCATCTGCAAATCTTGAGGTTCTTTCAAAGCCCACCTGCATCTCAGTAGCCCTGTTTTAACTGCACCTGAGTTCATTATTAGTTTAGCATCATCACATAAGGTGCACACATTGTTCGTTTGCCTCCAGCAAAGGACATTCTTATGTTCTTGTTTTGTAATACAGGCATCTAGTTGTTCTCAATTTAGTATTCCAAGTATTTCAGATTTCTAAAAGTGATTCTCCCACAACTATATCATGACCAATGGAGGAGTTGATGACACATTAAAATTTGTGAAAATCTTCATTAAAGAAAACCATGCTAATCTTGACCCCCAAAACATTCTCTTGCACAAGCCTCTTTGAAATGAAGACGAATTGTGCAAGATCATTTTTATTTGAGGACCAAGAAATGGCTCTGATGTGCAGAGGAAGAAATAGACCAGCTGGCTCCGCAGTTCAAACTGAAGCCAGATGCTAAGGATAAACAGAAAGGAAAGAGAAAAGCAGAAACCGTGTCCTCAAATGAGCTACACCAATTTTTCCTTTGGTGTTTTTCAACTAGCTTCCATTTAATTTCAGTGGAGAAACTCCCTGATGCATGGTGCCCATCAGCTAGGAGGAGGAATGGGGGAGAAAACTGATTCAATTCAACTGAACAGCAAACTTACCTCATTTGCACCTTCTGAAACAATGTGGGAACCAAAACAAGGCATCCTCTGAAATCCACCTCTCTTTGAATTTTGCAGTGCAGTTCTGGGTGCATAAAAACCATACATTAGTGAAAACAACATGAAAATGTTTATATTAGGGGAAACTGAATATAAAATGTATATATTAAGGAGACATTTAAACTAAAATGCTGATGAATTTTCATCAGGACTTAAAAAAAATGGCAAACTGATGTGGAAATGTGGAGAAGTTTGAGGAAAATGAGAAATTGGGAGAAACTGAAATTGACAGATCTGCCCATCCTTAGATGGAAGTTAGTGATATCAACAGGACATAGAGTTGATTTTTATGTTTTGTGTCATATTTGTATGCTGCTTTTTCCAACCACAAGGCTAAGCCCAGAATGCCCTACTGCAATAACAAGGCAATAAAACAACAAATTTCCACCAATATAATCATATCATTAAAACACAGTCGGTTGGTGGTGTAGGGGAGAGGCAAGGCACTCCTGATTGGTTAGAATCAACCACATGACCAGCTGAGGGCACATAGACTCAGACAGACTTGCATAATATCGTCACTCTCACTACCAAGTTCCTGATCGGATACGATTACCAGGGATGGGGCAAGACACTGCAACAGCAGCAGCAACCTTGCAAAATAATGGTTATGACCCAAACGGTAAAAACCAAGGGTTTGTCCCCTTTGGAAAGCACAGCATTCACCCCCAAAGTTTCTGCCACTGAATATTTGGTGCAGCTGTAACAGGGCCCATGATTTTTTGTTGCTACAGCATCTCACAGGATTTGCTTGTTTTGCGAAGAGTGGAATTTATGACAACATTTACCAGAGATTAGGTATTTAGCTACCCCTTTTTAAACCAGCAGGGGTATTGAAATGAAACATATGTTGTTAGAAATAGACAGAATCCATATCTCTTTCTCGATTAATTAATCAGGAATGAAAGACTTCTGCCTTAAACCAACAACCTAGAGACTCATAACTGCCACCCTGCCATTCCTCCTAAAAAGCTGCAGCTCAGCTTTGCCCCATTTTAATGATTGGCACAAGGAAAGATGAACTGTTGGATAATTAATTAATCACACCTGCGTTCATGAGTAGAAATAAAGGTTTGGCATGAGTCACTCACAAACAGAGCTCAAAACAAGATGGTGAAGTGACTTGTTGGATCTAGTTGAGGACCCAGGAAGTTACTTCTGCTGTTCAGCTTTTGATCATACAGTCTATTGAAGTAAATAAACATGAGGTAATGTATTTGCCATCAGGCTGGCAAAGCACTGGATCAAAATTGCATTGTAATCACACAGTCAAGGGCAGGCTCTTCTCGGAATATCCATCATCCAAGAGAATCCCATATTTCCAGTCAGCCTTACCCTATGTTGATTACAAAGGTACGATCTGCAAGGGTCCACCCAAATATGCATAATTACTGGAGGTGGGAAACACAGATGAAGAGAAAGTCCATGATGTTATTTCGTGAAACAACAAGGGCCAAGCAGCCAGATTATTACCATGTGTCTGCAATGACATGCGTACAGGAAAACCACATGCTCAGGTCTTTTAGCCGCAAGTAATGGCATGCCAAGTAGCAAGTGACACGTATATGAGGTGGGATTAGCAATAAAACAAGAGGCAAGAGCTTAGAATAAAGGAATATGCAGTATATAACCAAACAGAAAGGGCAATGAATTACAAAGACAACGATCTGTATTGAACAAGAAATTACTGGGTTAAATCTAAGAGTAGGAGAGAAAGGAGGACCCAGGTGCCAAACATGAAGAAGGCAAGTGTGGCAAAAAGTAGAAAGACCTGTGAAGATCCTAAGGGGGATAGGAAGTAAATAACTAGAAGCAGTACAGTATGGCTAATTCTCTTGGAAACGAGAGACATGAAAAGGAAAGAGGAGATTAAAGCACAGTTACTCCCTCTTTCAAGCTTAGAGTGAACAAGGGTTCATTTTCCAAGGAATGCTGTTGATCACAAGGTTATTACAGGTACCAGGATGCTGAGGTTGCTTAGGTTATCTCTTGGTGAATCAACAACAGGATCCTGAGGTAAGTGGAGCCCTTTTGGTGTGCAGAGTGAAAACACAGGCACTGCTAGGCTCCGTGTGCCTCTGGATCCCTGACCTTTAAAATGCCTCCCCAACTTTGCCTCCTACAAACTTCGTGGCAAAGTTGGATGGGGCATCTTGGCTCAGCATTACCTAAGTTATGTATGCACTAGACCAAAAGAGTCGGTGCTAAATGTTGCGTGTGTGTGCGCGCGCACACACATATATAAAATAATTTCTTCTGCTTCCAAAAGCCAGGGAGGGACAAGAGAAGCAGGGGATTGCAAGCATGTGGGACTTGGAGATGGAAGAAGGATTTCATCCTGCCTTGTTCTTTGTCCTCAGAATTTCCAGGGCAACCCCAGAGTCCTTTGCAGCATTTTAATGGCTTTCCACTTGGCCAGCGCTTCACTGGCTCTCTATGGGCAGGCCACAAAGTTCCCTGCACTATATTTAATCATTTATGGGTAGAAGCTGTTGACACTGGCCATGTTCACAGGTCATGCTCAGCCAAACCATGGCTCAGTGTAAATGGGTGAATGTACTGGCTCCCAAGATGGAGTCTGCAGCTATTCTCCAGACTTTTTAGGTCAGTGACAGATAAGTCAAGGTTTAGCTTAGCTTGCTGTCCCAACCTGAGATCTTGGTTAAGGTCCTTCCTCCTTAAGCACAATCTATACCCAAGGCTCATCCTTTGGTTACAGGTAGTTGTGAAGAAGGCAAGCCTGGGCTCAGACATAACACCAAGCCAAAACTTAGCTGCAGTCTCGCACTAATCCAAAAAGCCAGGGAGGAACTATGTGAGTGCCAACTTCTCTATGGGAACAAGCACATTTTTATGCAGTCATGGTAAACCATACTATAGTAAGTTTACTGTGATGTGCAAACCAGGCCACTGTATGGTTTAGTGTCTGGTCCAGGACTCAGACTTCCCACTATCAGAAGAAGAGTTCCAGGAGTGCCAGCTTGGCCCACAACCATGGGTGCCCAGGGCTGTGGGTGCCATGCAGCTGAAATTTGTGGGTGCCCAGCCCCTTCATGGGGAATTTTGTGGGTGCTCAGGTACCCAGGGCCCCAGGGAGCTGGCACCTTTGAAGAATTCAGTGGCACAAAGGATAGGGAAGACTCAGCTCATGAGAGAGCTCCTGGAGGAACTGGTCCACCAAAATTTCCCATGAAAAGGGCAGGGTTAGCGATACTTGCAACCTCTGTGCTGGAGGCAGCACTGGCTGCAGAATATTGCTGGAGAAACACTCTGCTTGTTGGTCTACCTCACACCTTTCCAACTTGACCACATATAACCAACTTCACAGCATCTGTGGTCCTTCTCACTCCTCAGCCTGTCCTGGATAGTTACTATGCCAGGCCAATTCTCCTTGCAGGATTCAGGCTGGACAGAACAGCAAAAGATAAATGGAGCAAATATTATATGTATCAGATGTAATGCAATAACTAACAACAACAACGATTCTTGTAGCACCTGGTTAAGTGGAATCTAATGTATGAAAGTTTATGTCATAATGATTGTATTAAGACTTTAAGTTGCTGCAGAACAGGGGTCAGCAACCTAAGGCCCATGGGCCACAAGCGGCCCACGGGGGTCGTTTAGCCGGCCCCTGAACCGCCCCCGAACTGGTGAGTCCCTGTGTGCTGTGCTAAAGCAGCACAGTGTGGCGCGGGGACTCGCTTTCGCGGCACCAGAAATTGCATCTGCACAGACGCCGGAAATCGCAGGTGCGCGTGTGATCTGGCCACAGAGGGATCTCTGCTGGAGTGAACCGGCCCAGGCAAGGTAAACCTTGCCGACCCCTGCTGCAAAATAACAGAACCTCAACCTCTGGAAACTGTTTTACAGCCTAACCTTTCTGGAGAACCAATGCCATTGCTAATTTACTTTCAGGCATATTTGCTCATCCATGTTGCTGCTGTGTAGCAAAATGATAAACTGGGTGGAGGCAATTGCTCAATATTTGTACAGGGCAATCACCTGCACCCAGGTGTTACCCAAACATGATATTTCTGTATCTTGGCCAAAAGTATTTAGTAAGATAGCAGGGCACAAAATCAGCTCCAGGGTACCTTTGAATGGTGCTGAGTTGGCTGTATGATGGTACCTCCTTGGGATTCGCTTGTTAAAGAAAAATAATTCTGTGCCTTCGGGGAGACCGTAATGTTGAAAAACAGATGATACCATAGGAAATCAAATAGAAACAAGCAACTAAGACTGCCATCTAATAACAGCTTTGGGGGAAACAAGGTTGTGCTCACGGCCCCAATCCAAAAAGCTGCAAGTTAAAACCCAAACTGTCAGTGATTCTGAGCATAGGTTATGTAACCCCTTTGGAGAACATTATGTAATTTCAGGTGTTTATCACTCTGTTGGATTCAGCCCAGGTGCCTTCAACAGAGGCTCAGACTTGCATTAAGAATGCTCTACTCATTGTGGGACTAAACATTTTGTCTTCATCTGCTCGGCATTTGTTCAGTGTTGACACTAAAGAGCAGTTCCTCCCTACAAAGGTTCTAAGCGAATTGGCAGCTGCATTTAATAATAAATAAGTCATAACAAGGTGGGGGGGGATGGAAGACCAGTTGCGGATTTGCTGTGCATTGGGCCTGCCAAAGACATCTTGCTGCCTGAAGCAATAACAGGAAATGACAGATATAGACAAGTCAAGGTGCAAAGCACTGTAGTGAAGTGTGTGAGACTTGTATACGCACCATCCACACTTTCAGCATTTGTGTGTTTAGGCAAATGCTGAAGGCTATCAATGGCTACTAGCCACAAAGGCTGTGCTCTGCCCCCATGGCCAGAGGCAGTAATCCTTTTTGTGGGAGTCACAAAAAGGAAAGGACGATTTGTGTTCATGTCTTGCTTGAGGGTTTCCCGCAGTTGGCCATTGTGAGAACAGGATACTGGACTAAGTACCTACTGGCCTGATCCATCAGAGCTCTTCTTATGTCCTTACATGTCTTCTCTCACAGTCAAATTCCTCTCACAGGGTTGCTATGAGAATAAAATGTGTGTTGGTAGCAAGTAAAAATATGTATATAAAGGAGAATTCCCTGGGTGCCAAAACCCAGGTTTGGGGCAAGTGCTCTTTGGTGAGAGAAACCCAGCAGAGATTTAAAATCACAAAACATGCAGCAAAGTACAGTGTTGAAATATAGGCTGTTAGGCCTTTAAAATATGCCCTTGTGAGTTCTAAAGTTCCCTTGTAGCATAGAAAAACACCACACGTTTGGTAAGTTTAAAAATGGTTTACTCGTGTGCTTTTCCATACATCAGTCAGAAAACACAGGCCGTAAAACTTGGCTTAGTTACAGTTAAGTGACAGTTCCTACATAGCTGGTATAGGAACTCAAGGGAGGCTTGTTAGAGCCATGTGGTCTGAGCTTGGAGCAACTAAGAACCTCTTCACTCATTGAGCTTCTCTGGTAGACTGAACGTGAACAAAGGCCTTGATTACCTTCCTCCCAAAGTGTAGGAGAGTGACTTAGCTAAGCCTGGCAGGACAGCTGACTCTGTGGCATTGACCCCTTCATGCATTAATTAGACTTGAGCATGTTGGTTATATGTGGCTGATTATCCCACAATATGGAGGGGAAACAATGTTCTTGAGCTCTGTGGAGGAAGAGGGAAATAAAGATGAAATTAGTGCTGTTCTATTATTACTACTACCAAATTATTATTATGGTTTGTTGTTGTTGTTGTTGTAATATCCAGTGGAGGAACTTATGTATTTCCCCTTTCCGTCTTTACACAAGAGGTGGCAAATAGAGGCGATGTGATTCACTTGGGCTTTCCCTGTCACCACTTCTGTATAACATGTGAGGTCTGGCTGAGCCTGAGGTGAGGAGCAAACCTCTTCAAAAGTGGATGGAGCCAAACTGAGAAGAGCCAGCTGGAGAAATTGAAAAGGGTTGGAGTCCAAGGTTGGGATGAAAGAGAGACAGAAATAGAGAGGGAGGATGGGCAACAGCAACGGTGTTGAAAGCCAGCAAGAACATTTTGTGGCCACCTCCTCCTTGGGAAGTTTGCTAAAGCAGTGGAGAGTGGTGAAACTGCCGGGATAAGATTACTGTAAAAGCCAGTCCAGAAAGCTGACTGTTGATTGGTGGCGATGCTGAGGAACTGAAATGGAGCAGCAGAATCAATGGCTGATGCTATGCCAGAGTAGAGGCTGGGATGAAGTCTGACCAGTGGCGCCATACCGCCTGCTGCGGCAGAGATTGTGCCAACACAGAGTGACCCTTCAGGCCTGGCTTTGTGTGTTTCTGAGGCAGTGTATTGGTTCAGGTCATTAGGAAACTGACAAGACTTCCTTAGTTACTGGTTTTGTAAGAGAACAATGAATCCTTCTAGGTCCAGTCCTGCCACTGAGGCAAATTTTCCACCACCAAGTGCTTTGACTGAGGACTATAGGATTAGAACACTGGGCAAATTGAGCTTTCCTCAGGGGCTCAAATGTGGCAACAATTTCTAATAGTTTGTTCGGAGTGCAGAGCCAAGCCAGACTAGTATAACCAGAGAATATAGCTAGATCCACAAATTGCTTCTTTGTTTTTGTGCTGCAGCAAACCCCGTTTGAAAAATATGTGTTATTTCCCACTACCACGTATCCTCTTGAGTAAAGAAAAGTACATGAAGTTATGGTTGGGTTTTAGAGTGGCTCTTTGTTAATTATGAATAAAGTAGAAATGCTGAGCTTGCAACAAGAATGTGAATGGTTTGCTATCTGTCTCTTTCTGCCTAATTTAGCCCTTGCATACCGTAGGTTAGGTGAAGATGTTTCAATAAGGCCGCACAGAGTGGGCCATAGCCAATGTCATAGCTCCGGTAGTGCAACAGAGCTTCCTCTTCCTCTCTTGCCTCCTCCAGCCCTTTGCATGCCCTCAAAAGCTGCTCCAGAGGGTATGGGGACCCTTCAGAGTAGATTTTGCAGGTGTGTGAGGGGAGGTGGAGAGCCAGTGTGGTGTAGTGGTTAAGAGCGGCAGTCTCGTAATCTGGGGAACCCAGTTCGCGTCTCCGCTCCTCCACATGCAGCTGCTGGATGATCTTGGGCCAGTCGCACTTCTCTGAAGTCTCTCAGCCCCACTCACCTCACAGAGTGTTTGTTGTGGGGGAGGAAGGGAAAGGAGAATGTTAGCCGCTTTGAGACTCCTTAAGGGGAGTGAAAGGCGGGATATCAAATCCAAACTCTTCTTCTTCTTCTTCAATAGAACTTGTCCAGCACAGCATTGGATACAACCCAATGTTTGCTCAGTTCCAGTCTGGGCTGAAATGGTTCTGGGGAGGGGGGGCATTATGTGAAGGCTCAACTTTGTTTTGTTTCTCTCCATGGCTGTTTTTGCCATCTTCTGCTGTTAGAGCACCATTGGTGCCATTGTCTCCAAGATCCCGTTCCTTGAAATAGTAATATGATTTATCCTAGCCAATCAGAGAACACGCGAATGTGCTCACAATGTGATGCTCTGTTGTGAAAAAGATCTGGTTGCAAGGAAGATCAGCTTGTCTGAGAGCACACAGCCAATTGAGTGAGGGGGCAATGCTTTCCGTATCAGCATTGCCCTCACTCTGAAGAGACAGTCCCAGGGTGTGGTCTGAAGGTAGACAAGGACGCCGCCTTGCTGAAGCTAAGCAGATCTGGGTTGAGTCAATTACTGGATAGGTGACCTCTTGGGAACCACATCTTTGCTAACTTGGGCTTCATAATGGAAGCAAGGCCAGAATAGAAAAGTAAGTTAAAAAAACAAATATACAAACCAGTTCCATATTATCTACATTGACTGGTAGCATCTTTCCCTGAACATACCTGGGATTGAAGTGGGCTTTTTGCACCAATGAACTCTGCACCCTTAACCTTCCAAGGACCCTCAAGTTTCATTTATTTGTTTGTTTGTTTGTTTGTTTACTCACTCAATTTGTACTTCACTTTTTGGTCTGGGCCAAACCCACAAGGTGGCTTACAATAAAAGCAACATGCAATTTTAAAAAATCACAATAGAAATACTAAAACAACTTTAAATTGCTGGGTTCCCCAGAAAGCCACTGTAGTAATCAGCTTGCAAACATTATAATCTTACTGCATGGAGGGCTTTCTTTTTTGTATTGACTCATGCAACACAACAGTTGGGGAAGATGACTTCACTAGATACTTCAGTGTTCAGGTTAAAATTTGTCATCCTTCTTTTTAAGGCATTTCAAATTGCGCAGATCTGGCAGTTGAATGAATCATTCCTTTATCTCTTTTGATTTGGAGATTGGCAAGATAATGTATTTCACATGTGGGTTGTTGCTGTTGGTGCTTTTAATCTAGAAAGTATTCCTGGCAATCTGAAACCCGAGTATTTTTCTGATGTTATACCCATTGAAACAAATGGTATCTGTACTGTGTTTTATTCCTATTTTATTCTTGGGTGAAGCTTTGCAGATGGAAAGCAAGTAACTGAACACATTCACCATCTGCAGAAGCTGATGAATTTTGCAGGCAACTTGCTGTCAATTTTCTTTGATGTGCAAAACAGCTCCTTCACCACCCAGGGCAAACTAGGTAGGATAACTCACTAGCCATATGCTAATAATAAATAAATAAATAAATAAATAATACTATATTAATGCAGTGCAGTCTTGTATGTCTAATCACCCGTCAGCCGCTCTGAGTTGAATGGGGCTTACTCCCAGGTAAGTGTGTATAGCATTGCAAGTGTAATTTCTTATACCTCAATGATGCATAATTTAGAGGTGTTGTCTCATCTTGGGTACAAGTTAAATTTTGTTGTATTTAGTTTGGGTAGTTATCACAAGAAAACACACTCTCTTGTCCAGCTTCCCAGCCTGGGGATGGATACATAAACATACGTCTTGAGAATGGAATAGGTGGTATAATACCTCTTAGCCTTTAAGTAAATCTTAGTGCTTACATTGCTGGATTCTTGGAAGCTTACATTGCTGGATTCTCTTCTGTAAAGAGAGCAAATCCCTGTTTTGACTTGATCTCGTTAAATGTTAAACCTTGGTGAAAATGTTACAAGAGAATGTACACTGCTGCATACTGCTAATGACTGGATAGCTCCGTTCCTCCTCTCCCATTATTTCCCAACTTCTCCTTCATCTCCCTCAAACCCCTGTTGTAATTCTGAACTGTCTTCTTCTTCTCTGGAAGGGTCAGGCTGGAGAGGCAGTCTCCACCATTCCTCCTCTGCTCAGTCCCTGACACCACCAGAACAATTGTCCCCTTCACCATTTCTTTGTGGTCTTGAGTTGTGCAAGTACAGAAGTAGCCACTGTGATGCCCTCTAGAGCTGTTTGGAGATGTAGACCACAACACCTGGAGAACACAAGGTTAACTACCCTTGTCCTATCTTATGCCGCCTGCTCAAAGTGCAAAGCTTCCAGTTAGGAGGTTCTGGGTGTGCTTCACAGCTTTAGGATGGAATATAATCTGTTCTTTATGACGATGGTTGTTGTTGTTTAGTCGTTTAGTCGTGTCCGACTCTTCGTGACCCCATGGACCAGAGCACGCCAGGCACTCCTGTCTTCCACTGCCTCCCGCAGTTGGGTCAAACTCATCGTAGCTTCGAGAACACTGCCCAACCATCTCGTCCTCTGCCATCCCTTTCTCCTTGTGCCCTCCATCTTTCCCAACATCAGGGTCTTTTCCAGGGAGTCTTCTCTTCTCATGAGGTGGCCAAAGTATTGGAGCCTCAGCTTCAGGATCTGTCCTTCCAGTGAGCACTCAGGGCTGATTTCCTTCAGAATGGAGAGGTTTGATCTTCTTGCAGTCCATGGGACTCTCTCCAGCACCATAATTCAAAAGCATCAATTCTTCGGCTATCGGCCTTCTTTATGGTCTAGCTCTGACTTCCATACATCACTACTGGGAAAATCATAGCTTTAACTATACAGACCTTTGTCGGCAAGAACTGTGGATTTTGGTTGTATTTCATCTTTAATTTTATTTTTACCACTCGGAGAGCTTTTCTGATGAAGCAGTTTAAGAACCTTCTCAATAAAAAATAATAAATTTGGTTCCCAAAGATCAGACCAGTGGCACCCTCCAGGTATTGTCAGACTCTAACTCCCATCAGCCACAGCCAACATGACCAATGGCCATAGCATGATGGGAGTAGTAGTCCCAGAACATCAGGAGGGCACCTACCCCTGTATCGGGCACTAGGGTGGAGCGTGGAAAAGACAAAATCCATGCTAGGAATTGGAAATAAAGCTGCCAATACCATCAGGTGGCCATACATATCTAGGGTGCCAAGCTCATTTGGAATACTCTTGCCTCACCTCAAAGAGGGTATTATAGAGTTGGAAAAGGGCAACCAGAATGACCAAGGGAATGGAGCAGCTCCCCTAGGAGGAAAGGTTGGTGGTTTGGGGACTTTTTAGTTTAGAGAGAAGGCAAATAAGAGGTGAACGACATGATAGAAGTTTATAAAGTTATGCATGGAACAAGAAGATTGGATTGCAGGCTGGATGTTATCAGTCACCCATGCATTTCAAAACTCCTTTTTCCCTGCAGTGTTTGGCCAGCCATAGACATCCATGATAGACTAATAGAATTGCAGAGTTGGATGGGACCACGGGGGACATCTAGTCCAACCCCCCTGCAGTGCAGGAATCTTTTGCCCAATGCGGGGCTCGAACCCACGACCTTGAGATTCATGCTCAACCAACTGGTCTATCCCACTATGGCTTTAGGGTTAAATATTCCCTCTGCAATCTCTCGCTCTTTAAGGCGTATCTACGGTGAGGGTTTTTTTAGCTTGACTAATGGGCCCAGTAGTGTCAAGGCCTGCATGTCCATCATAATTTATTTATTTGCATTTCTCATGTTGGAAATACCTTGGCAATATGTGCTATTTTTGCTACAGCGCCAAGTGCCTCTTCTAGCTTCAGAGGCTGTTCAAAGCACCTCTTAAAATGATCCAAACATGTCACACTCTTTCCCTCTGCCCCCCCTTTTTTGTACAGGCTTATAAATTGTAAGCTTTGCTTGCAGGCATCAAAGCTGTCAGCAAGCAAGTGGCACAAATGTTTGGTTTTTTCTGTAGGGAAAGTATAGAGTCACCAAGAAGATGAGAAAATTGGAGCATATTAGATAATATTCTTTCCTCCCCAAGCTCCAAGGCTCCTTTTGAGAGTTAGTAAAGGTAAAGGGGCCCCTGACCGTTAGGTCCAGTCATGGACAACTCTAGGGTTGTGACGCTCATCTCACTTTATTGGCCGAGGGAGCCAGCATACAGCTTCCTGGTTATGTGGCCAGCATGACTAAGCCGCTTCTGGCGAACAAGAGCAGCACACAGAAACACCGTTTACCTTCCCGCTGGAGCGGTACCTATTTATCTACTTGTACTTTGACATGCTTTTGAACTGCTAGGTTGGCAGGAGCAGGGACCGAGCAACGGGAGCTCTCTCTGTGGTGGGGATTCAAACCGCTGACCTTCTGATTGGCAAGCCCTAGGCTCTGTGGTTTAGACCACAGTGCCACCTGCGTCCCTTTGAGAGTTAGTACATGTGTTTATATACCAACAAAGACTTGTGGAAGCAGCAGAGGGTACAAACGCCTAAATGCCGCATGGTCTTCAACACGTTCCCCCTCGTATGTTCCTCCTCCTCCTCCTCCTGTCAGGTTGACATTGCATATATAGGCTCTGCTCCCATTCCCCTCCCCAGGGACCTAAGCCATCTTATATGTATAATATGTATGTATTCATAGTTCGTTTTTCCATAATTTTATTTGTACGCCACTTTCCCCAAAAAGAATCATGCCAAAAGCAGCTTGCGACAGATAACAACAGGAATGCAACTCAAAACCAACCCACACAAGAACAATGTCCATATTACATAATAGAACAACAATGTAATAGCAAATATAGCAACATGTTTTTTTTAAAAAACAAAAACCTAACTTTTCAGTATTATAAATGCAACAAGATTACATTAACAACATTACACTTTCTGGCAACAGCAAAAAAATGATGAGGGAGCTTGACAGTTTCAGCTGGGTCCTAGGAGCCGTGATGTTGCTCACAGTCCTGCAGCAGCTTCTTATAAGACTTCCATGGGTAAGGGATGGGGAAGCTGGAAACACCTCTCTCATGATAGAAGCAGAAGAGTTGGAAGGGACCCGTTGTGTGTCACTTCTGGTGATGGAGAAATGGAGACGGGCAAGGCAGCAGGGAGCTTGAAGTGGTGCGGGCATCGTGTCAGGAGTGCCGATTGGCACTGCCACACTGCCTGCACAACAGCAGGCTCCCTGCTGCCTCACCCTTCTCTCTCTCAGTAAACATGGAGCCTTGGAAATCCAGGTCCGTAATATAGCCCTAGCCATGACTGGGTCCTTCTCATCATTTTCAAGTCAACAAATCCTTTTTTAAAAACTGGAGGTTGAACTAGCTGATCCCTCTATCTCCTAGTTTTCGATGTGGAGGGGTAGGCAGGGAGACAGAAATTTAAAGTATGGAATAACATTGTCATATGAAGGGGGGGCCTGCAGCAATCTGAAGTAGAATAGCACCACCTCCTCAGTGGGAAACAGGCAAATGTGAGCCAGAGACACTCTCAAAGGCTGGAGGATGAAGGAGGCTGTAAATGGGGGGAGGGTAGTGCAGATAAATGTGAAGGGCTGGATTAGTATTATTACATTTACTGGTAAGTATTGGCTTGAAATAACCAGCCAAGTCTTTAGCTGTTGGAGGCCTGCCTGTATAATAAACTCCCTTAGCTGAGAGCATTTCTTATCAGGATGTCGCTAGGGCTTGCCGGTGCCTAATCTGAAAAGTGACAGCTCTCATGCGCTACACCCTTCGGAGATCCTTTCCCCCTGTCAATCATTCTGCCAGTTGGGGAAGAATTACACAGGGTTTCTCTGATTAGTTTCCCTTCCCGATTAGCATTCAGTTGCACTTAGGGGATTAAGTTCTTTGTGCTATGGTTTTGCCACCTGCACATATCATCCTAATGCGGCTCTTAGGATTTGTACTGATGCACGTGGACTACTTTGTACTGACATCTGCATTGCTGAATCAAGAAGAAACAAGGCCAGGTTTACCCCTGATGTGTTGATTCTGGTGACCTTCATCTCACGGAATAGGATTTCTGAAAGCTTCGGCTATTAAGAGAACTAGGGTACCTCAATCATCAGAAGAACATATATAGATCACTTCCAGGTGACCTGTTTCTTACGCGTTCATCCTGATTTATTTGTACAAAGTTTTGGGGACGTTATATGACACCAGTCATTTCTTGAGCATTCATTTCTATTTGTTTTGTGGGAAGGTTATGCAATGTCACATTTTTTGCAATTGTTATCCCGCACTTTCCAGTGTGGTTTTCTTACCACAAAGAGTCTCCCTTTGGAGGTGGAAGGAAACATGTTTGGTGCCCCAGAATGCCAAGTACACATCTCCAGGAAGCCAGAGAAAGATGCGTCGCCACAATTTCTAGACCCAAATCTGCTTCTCTTTAGCTTGGTCCTGGCCCCGTGTGCCTTCAGACCATCCTCTGAGACGGAGAGCTCCTTAAATCATTGTGCCAAACTCTAATGCAAACAGAATACAGAAGGCTAAACAAAGTGACTCATGGATCTTACTAGCTCAAGGCTTTTCTGCAGATTAGCCCGAAAGACCCAAGGGACCAAATGTAATTTTCTTTGTTCTTCCTGCTCCCGCTAACCGTTTGCATTACATTCTGGCATTGGCTGCTTCAAGGCAATCTTGGCTTGGACGGTGGCAGGTGGCATTAAAAGGGTTCTGCACCGAGCAATATTGCCAAGATGGCTTGATTTAAGTGGCTCGGATATCAAAGAGCTGCTTCTTCATTAGAGCACACATTTCGGTGATTAAATAATGGCCCAGTGCTTGATTAGCATGGTGCTGCTGCTCTATGTAACATCGTTCTAGCCTAAATGTAATTACTTTAAAAATAGCAGCAAGGAATCAGATCGTTATGGTGTTATAAATGAATAACACTGTGGCGGGAAGCCACCCAAACCACAGGCCCATGAAAAGGATGGGGGGGGGAAGGGGGAGCCGTAAAGGCAAGAGATGCTGCAAGATGCTTTTTATAGCTGGAGGCAGCAGCAAATTAGTCATGAACTGTCAATGGGATATTGAAGCAAAGACCAAAAGATACAAAAGGACAGAGTCACAGGGAAAGGCAAATGAAAGGAGGAGGGATGCTTCTGCTAGGCAGAGAAATGTGATTCTTGCTTTTAGCTTCCAAATAATCTAAAAGCTCTTTTAACAAATGGACCTAGTGCTTGTTTAGTGGGTATTCAATGGAAGGGGCTGCCTCAAAGGTGTAATGCAGAGGTTTGCAACCTTTTGGAGTCCACGGCTCCCTTGACCAACTACATTCTTTCTGCGGCACCCCTGTGGGGCACAGGAGCCCAGTTATGTCACCCCTTGCCTGCAGAGCCAGCAGCCCCTCACCCCTTTTCGAACACCCTCCCTTGTGGAGTGTTCCCTCAGCCTCCTCGCCTCCTCCCTCTCCTTGGGAGTCCTCTGGGCAGCTGCCGCCACCGCCCCTGGTCTCCGAGCCACCCCGCCCCCTGCCCAAAGAGAGGTGCCTCCTCACACCACACCACCCTGGAAAGAGGATGCCTCCATCCTTAGTGGCCCAACAGAGACTGGCCAAAGGTGAACGTGAGGCCAGCATCTTACTCACCTTGGGAGGCAGCAGTGGCAGCAGCCATGCAAGCCTTTGGGAGGCAGAGACGCAAGAGGGCATCAGAGGAGGGGTGGAAGGAAAGATGCCAGTGTTGCCTGACCATCATTCAAGGCACCCCAGGGTGTCACAGTGCTGAAAACCGCTGGTGTATGGGGTCTTCAGCAAGGGACCAGGCAGTGACAGCAACTCTCCACTAGGTGGACCAGGACAGCCCTATCATTAGAGACACAAGGCCCCTTCAAACTGGGTTTTTATTTTCATGGGTTTATTCTGAGACATGCCATTGGTGCAATAATAGTACAGTGGTACCTCGGGTTAAGAACTTAAATTGTTCTGGAGGTCCATTCTTAAACTGAAATTGTTCTTAACCTGAGGTACCACTTTAGCTAATGCAGCCTCCCACTGCCACCGCCACACCGCCGCCATGCGATTTCTGTTCTCATCCTGAAGCAAAGTTCTTAACCCGAGGTACTATTTCTGGGTTAGCAGAGTCTGTAACCTGAAGTGTCTGTGACCTTCAGTAAGTTCGCTCTTCCTAATCTACAGTTACAATAAAATTCTGGGCCATAATCCCAGTGGTTGTAAATCAGTGTAGCTGCTGAATCTGCAAGAGACCAAATAATCCCAGCCTGGCCCACGGTCCTGTCCCCACCACGTCCAACACACAAGGCTGCTTCTGAGGTGCCGTATAGCTTCTGCTGTTAAGGCTGGAAGGCGCTCCACAAAAATGACTGGTAGAAGTCAACAATTGATGATTTCAGCCCATCGGAAAAGGAACAGGAGACTTGGGAGTGACCAATGGCACACTGGGATTTGGGCATGGATAAGCCTCATGAAGTTTCAACTTTTACACATGCTCAGTTTGAGCGCTTCAATTGCACTCATATTAAGGCCGTGTTGACCACTTTAAAAATCAACCAGCAGTCTTTCAACTGATGAACAAACTAATGTTTGTGCCCCCTTCTCTGCATTTTTCTAGTTCAGAACATCCCCAATATGTTCCTGCATCAATTTAGTTCCCATGGCAGCATGTTACCAAGCTATCAACACTCTTTCATCAAGTACAGGTATTGCCTCAAGGCAACCCACACAGAGAGCCCTACTCTCAAGAACCTGATAGGAAATGGATAACATTTTCTCTTTTTTGCAGTTTCTACCACCAACCATAGCATGTAGGAATGTAAAAAAAAACCCTCATGGGCTTCAGGGTGCATGTTTCCTTGGCCCTTCTGCCAAGCAGGCAGGGGTAGCCTGCCAACTCTGCCCAAGGCTGCTGTGGTTTAAAGGACAAAGTCAAACCCTGCATCTTGGGGTTACTCCAGACAACCTATGTTGTCTGGAGTATTGTCACAATTCACCCTGTTTTGTTGGCACAAAGCTTATGCAGAGGTTAGACTATGGACACTTCCAGATTACCTGGTTTCTGTTTGCAGGGAGATTAAACCATGATGGCTATTCAATGAGCATTCACTCTGATTTGTTCATGGGTTGCCTATGCAACAATATCCCCATCACCTTCCTTATCTCAAAAAGTCCAATCTTTTGAGGAAGCTGGTTTGTTGTGCAAGACCTCCCCAGTCAACTATAACTGTGCAACCTGCATTTTCTGGCATGCGGCCGAATCCCACCAGAGAATAGCCACAGTCTGGGAGCGCCCTATATCTCGTCTTTGCAGATCATTCATCCAGCTTTGCTTGCACAAAGCTGACGTGTCGGTTAGACTATATCTGGTCTATATTGAGCATTATTCTAATTCATTTGTGGGGAGGTTATTCAACAGTGAGTGTTCATCTTGATTTGCTGGTGTGGTGTTTACACATCTTCCTGTTAATCCTTCATCCACCCTACACTTTTCAGGGCTTCCCCCCATCACATTTCTAACCACAAAAGGTCCATTCTGTTTTTAAAGTACTGTAGATTTGATGCACCAAGGTAACCGAGTGCTTTGATACACTTTAACTGCACAAATCTAAAGTTCTGGAGTGAGCTTGAATCCCTGTTCTGTTACTTGCCACCTGCTATATCATTAGTAAAAAATCATCTGAATTGTGGCAAGTACAGCAGAGAGCATGCAAGAGAGTGGCTCAGAATAATGTACCTGGGACCCTTTGCCAGAATCGGTGGTTTCAGATGTCCACTGTCTTAACACCTTCCAACAATTGCAACTGAAAAACAGGTATTCCTTCTTTCATTTAATGGATCTCTCAGGCACGGAGTAAACTGGGCTTCATAATTTTCATCCTTTGCAAATAAGTAATGGCTAGCAGTTAATAATAACACAGTGGTGTGAAACATACCTTAGGAAACCTGAAACTGGCAAGAACTTGACTCCAAAACTCAGCCCAGTTTTTTCCAAGAAGTTTATTATTATGGTCTGCAAACTGGAGCCAATTGTCGGCAAGGTCTCCAGCAAAATTGCTCTCAGAAAGGGCGGTGCCCTGCAGAGTCTGCTCATTTCTGGTGGAAAACATGGCAAGGAGAATGTTTTCAGTGGAGAGACTCCCATTTGAGCTTGAAACCCAATGTCAACTCAGGGAATTTGAACCCACAGAAAGCAAGCTCAGGAAACTGGCTCCACCATAATCCCTGTGAAAGAAAACTGCTGAGTGTCGCTCAGTTCCAGTTTGTCAAATGTCCTTGTTTTCCATCTACCTTCCTATGTAGTTATGAAACATAAACTTTAATTATAACTGACCAATTTGAATAAATAATGCCATGAACATTTTACCGTTTTTGAGGTGAAGGGCCTTGCTGGACCCTCACATACATTTATCTATTTATTTCTTGTTTTCTTGTTTGCATTTATATCCCACCTCTCTCCTCAAGGAGCTTGAGGTACATGGTAATACTCCTCATCATTTAACTACCACAACAACCCTATGAGGTAGGTTAGGCTGAGAGTGACTGGCCTGCAAGGTCACCAAGTGAGCTTCACGGCTGATTTGAACCCTAGTCTCCCAGGCCCAAGTCCAACACACTAACCGCTGTACCACACAGGCTGTCTGCAGCAATCTCAGCATCTTTCCTACTGTCCGGGAACTGAACATCAAATTATCCATCGACCATAGGGCAGGCCCAAATGTGAGGCCCTCTACTGGGTAAATGAGTCCCTCATTCTCATGACGGGCACCTGCTAGAAAGTTCCTAATGGGTTAAGAGAGCAAGAGTCGTTTTTCTTTTCCTTTGTAAACCACCGTCTTTTCTTCGAACACAATATAGGGCTACGGCTGATTATGTTTCTTGAGGCGAACCGTATCCGCGCTTGTATGAAAGGAGCAGACAGGCCTGTGCATGCAGCGAAGCCATATGCCTGAGTGGCATCTTGGCCTTTCTGAGGAGACAAAGTTAGCACGTAGGCCCTCTGTTTGCCACACGTCAGACTTTGCATAGCATTGTGTGGCTTTTTTGTTGCTTTGACTAAGCTCTGACCTGCTGACGGCAGGCTTGCCAAACACGCTCTGGGGGAGCGAGGCAGTCTTGGCAGGGTGGGATGTTTGGCTAATTCTGTACATGCGCACAGACCGTTCCCCAAAGCGGGCATTCTTGCATAACAACACATTGCAAGCAGACTTGGTGCCGGCTCGCCCAGTTGGTTCTTCTAATAAAAGACCCAAAGGCTATATAAGAGCGTAAGAAGAGTCCTGCTGGATCAGGCCAATGGTACATCTAGTCCAGAAACCTGTACTCAAAGTGGCCAACCAGAGGCCCATGAGGAGCCCACAAGCAGAACCAGAATACAACGGTACTTTCCTCACAATTCCCAGCAACTGGTATCCAGAGGCATTAGGCCTTTGGCAGCAAAGGTAGAAAAATAAGATAAGGATCCCCATTTTGAAATGACCAGGAAACAGCTTTAAACCATCAGTCAGCCGTGCAACTCACTGGGTGCCCTCAGGGAAGTCGTCTGCCTCAGTCTGACTGACCTCCGATTCTAGTGAGGCAGAAGCTGTGCTCTGGGCTCCTTGGAGAGATGATAGAACAGATACATCCATAAATAGTCCTGTCGTGAGGCAAGACCATCCAGCACGCAAAAATATGAAGGGCAAAACCAATTTCAGACACACACACAAACCCAAAGGCAAATTCCCTATGAAGAAAACTGTGTGATTTCTTTGCAAACATGCCCCAGTTTTTGGACTTTTGCTTTTCCAATATGCAAAGAAATTTCTTATTCAGGGGGGAAGGAAGTGCTGGGCTGGAATGCTCCCACCCACCTCCATTCAGCATTTTTGCATGCAGTCCCATTCAGCATTTTTTGGAGTTAGTGGGTGGGCAGATAGGGATGAATTTCAAGCATAGGGGCAAAACTGATCAATGGTCCTCCTAGTGCCTTGTGGCCAACACACACACACACACACACAGAGAGAGAGAGGGGGGGCTGTTGTGTTGTTCTGGGCATTCTGGGGAGAATTTTGTTCAAGGTAAATTATTTTGTTGCTTAACTACCATTTTAATGTCCTTGCCGCTATCTAACTATTTTGGAACTGTTTTTCAGTTTGGAAACTCATGGGGAAATGCATGGAAAAGTGTGGGATGAATGACTGGTTAATGGGGAAGGCGTGTAAACACTCTGAGCAAATTGGGATGAATGCTCATTGTTATGTAACTGCCCCATAAACCAATAAGAACAAATGTTCAATAAACAGGGCATAGTTTAACTCCTGCATAAACATTTTACAAGCAGATCAGGATGAATGTGCAATGAACAGGTCATCTGTAACTGCCCTGAGAAGTGGGCTAATATACAGAGAGATATGTGTGTGTGTTTCTGTGTGTGTGTGTGTGTGTGTGTGTGTGTGTGAAATAAATATTCTAAACAAACGAATATCATATGCATTTGAAGTAGCATCATGAACTAATACGATATTAATGAAATCCTATGTAGAAATCTTTATTCTTTCTCCCAGCCACAAATGCTTATACTACAAGCTCATTATGGCTATGGTCTTTATTGAGATTTAATTCTGATTTGTTTGTGCAGCAGCATTCTTCCTGATTTGCTTGTAGGCTATTTGTTTGTCTTCCCATTGATTCCACACCTTTTGTTGTGTTTCCTCATCACTTTCTTAACTGCAGAAATTCTGTTGTTGGTTTTCGTTTTTGTTGTTTTTGTTCTTTAAAGCGTTTGTTGTACTAGGGTGGCACGGCACTTTAATTGTGGAAACTTAAATTTCCTGGTACATGCTTGAATCCCTCCTGGAAAACATCGAGAGTCTGGAGGAGTCCCTTCAGTGTGGAGATGAACATATCTGTGCAGGAAGGGGCATCCAAGACCCCAGAGCTGAAAGCTGAATCAGAACATTCCTGCTGTCAAATTGTGGGCAACGATAAAGGAAGCAAAAGTTCCACTGGTTGAGCACAGAGGTAGACAGACTGCGGACTGTAGATTCTTCACAGCAGTTTAAATGTGAAACAAGAAGAGTGGATGAAGGAACACTGGGAAGCTCAGGGGCAGCTGGAGACCACTCACTTGAGATCAGCAAACCCTCAAATATATCAAGACCCCATGCCAGGCTTTTCTGACTTCTTTTGAGCAAGTTGTGCCAGAGGCTCCAGGACAAATGGGCTCCACTCGCTTTTGTTGATGATTATTTTGATGTCACTGTGATGTCACAGCTTGTTGTGGTGCAGTGGTTAAGGTGCTGGACCAGGGTTGTAATCCCCACCATGCCATGAAGCTCACTGGGTAATCTAGGGACAATCAGAGTACCCTAACCTAACACACTCACAGCGTTGTCTTGAGGATAAAAAGACGAGGGGGAAACCACATCCCCTATGCTGAGCTCCTTGGACAAAATGTAGGGTGTTATGGACCATTTTTATTCTCTGATTCTTGGGGGGCTCTTTGAGTCATAACAGTGGAATGAAAATACCTTGTGAAAGAAAGTGAAAGGCAAGGCAAATATAAGGATTTCCTTCTCGGGCTGAATTTATAATGAAGCTAATAGTTATGGTTAGACAAGAAATTAGACGGGGAAATTTTGTACCTCCCTGGGGTTTTTTAGGCTCTTCTGTAAGTTGGTTCATAAACTAGCCATTCTCCATGCCGTCTTCCTTTGCCAGTATGAGCTGGGTCTTTGGCAACTTGGCTTTGGGTTTTGTTGGCGTTACATAATGGGCCTTTTAAATTTCTTTGAGCACACCAGCAAATATCTGCCAGTGTTAACCAAGAAAAATAAATGAAATAGCTACTCAAACTGAAGTATGCACAAGTTAGCTAATGCACAAAGTATTCTTCTTCTACGGACAAATGTGCCATTTAGCATCCAAAAAGGAGAAGATGGGGCATGGTCAGTAACTATATAGTCCTGGTGCAACTGCATAGTAATTTTGTGTTCCTCCAGAGTTAAACAGCTTGGTAATTATATTCGATGGTTCCCAAAATATCATTTAACACGTGTCCTGGTTTGTAAGCCTAAAATAATTAGGAGTTTGCTTGGTGATTACATGGTACTTACCACATATATGTTCTGCCAATGCATGATCGTTATATACCCTGTTATTAAATGATCACCAATTTCGCAGGTCATAGAAAGGATTTCTAAACATATCCCTCCCTCTCATATCTATTGAGGCTTTATTGGAAAACCAGTGCACTCCTTCTCAGGGTGATTTTTCTAAAGGGAAACTTCGGAGATTGCAAGTCCTTTAGGTGATCTCCAAGCAGGCTTGCTCTCCTGGAGACATCTTGGGCTTTGATTTGTAAAGGGAGAAAGGTTTCAAAGGGCTGCCCCAATTGCCAGCCTGTTTACTCTCAAGTAATCAAATTCTGTGGGGTTTATTTCCAAGAAAGAAGAGTACACTTACTAGGCAGTAAATTCTATGGAACTTAGAGGGAATTTGACCATTTCATTTCTCATTTTTCCAGTTCAGTTTTCTACATTACCTCACCAATCTGAGACAGAGATAGATGATAGATAGATAGATAGATAGATAGATAGATATACACCATATTTTTCCATGTATAAGATGATATTTCCCCCCCCCAAAAAAATTAAGTTTAAATTGGGGGTTGTCTTATACACTGAATGTTGCAATTAAATATAGAAATAAATACATGCCGCCATCCATATTCTTTTCCCCCAGCCTCCCCTCACTATTGGCCTCACGACAAACCCTGGTCTGGTACTCCTCCCCCCCCCCCAGCAGCCCCCACTCCAGACATTGTCCCTTCCACCCGGTTCCCTCAGCCGCCCCCTGGCTAGCCAGACCCCCCCATTCCCCAAGAACACTCACTCAGGCAGCTCTGGCAGTTGCAGCTCCTCGATCAGCATTCGTATCTGCTGGCGCTTGTGGAGTAAATACAGTACATACCATAAACACTGAGACAAAAGTGCAACAGCCAGGCAGGAGAGCTGGAGCTGGAGCTGGAGCTACAGTGGAGTTACACTGAGCTGACAGGAGCAGCCACCATTACACAGCTTGCCTCGCTGTTTGATGTTTACGGTACTAAATATACCGGTGTACTAAATATTTAATAAAATATCAAAGTTGTTCTGTTTGGTGTTTAAAATATTTATTTCTTAATTTTGGGCTCAAAAAATAGGGGTCATCTTATACATAGGGGCGTCTTATACACTGAAAAATATGAGAGATAGATAGATAGATAGATAGATAGATAGATAGATAGATAGATATGATTAAAATTTCTCAGCATTTGGGTGCAGTATACACTTTATTTCTATGCCATTTTGACAGATATGCACATTTTGGTCAAATCCCCTGCACAATGCATTTTGCATGTTATTTTGCACAATATATGCACACTTTCTACTACATTGTGCATTTGTGTACACGTCACCTGGTTTAGCTTTTCCTAAAGCAGTGTACACCAGAGTAGTTCAGTTGACTAGGAAATTTAGGACATATTTCTAAATAGTCATGTGCCATGATCCCAGTCATAGACATGTCCACCTCACCTGCTGACTTCCAAGGAGTATACGTGTATGGAGGGCTGTAGCACCTGTGGCGCATGCAAAAGGTGCCCAGTTCAATCCCTGGCATTGCCAAGTAGGCCTGTATAGTGGACAATACTGAGTTAGATGGAACAATGGTCCGAATGACCATAAAGCAGCTTCCCTATAATAGCACATTCCTCTGAGTAGAGAATGCTGGAGAGCCTGCAGTGTTACTCATATGCAATGAGCTTTCAAAATAAGGGGAGGGTTTTGTTTTGCTTTTTTACAGAGAAACGGATGGCAATGTGGAGTGAATCTGATGCCATAGATGTTGGTCCTTCCTTTGCCCATCAGCTTATTTCCTACTCAGCAGGTGCATTTTTTGAATGGCTGGCTGGGGGTGGGGGGAGCAGGGGCTCAACCACAGAAGATATGCCAAGCCACAACAGACAGACCACATGTTGTGGCTTGCATTCTTTCTGCAGTAATGATCATGATTGCCTTCTTTGAAAGCCGCATATTTTCATTAGTCCCGACTTTGAGGGAAACCACCTTTTTCCAGTTATTTCTCAGTTTGATAGATCGCCTTGGGCTCTTGCCTTTTTAGGGACATTAAGGAAGCCGATTAATCTTCCTTATTTATCCCATTAAGCCAGGCACAGGGGCTGCGTTAGCCATTATGCTGAGTAAGCGGCAGCTCAGGACTCCAGCCAAATTAAAATGCCTTTTGTGGCATTTCGTTCTCCAGACATTTTTCCAAATGGAAGAGCAGTTTTCCTCCTTTTCACCATGATTCTAAGCAGGCTTATTGAGAAGTAAAGGTTGCAGCCCACTGGGTGTTACTCAGAGTAGACCCACTGAAATTAATCAACCTACTCTGAGGAGGACTACTGTTGGATAGAAGCCTAGGTTTGGCTGAGCACCAGTGAGACTTAGGGTAGAACCCTGTATGTGTCTTATTCCAATGGGTTCTTACTCCCAGTTAGGAATGGAAGGACTAGTCAACTTCAGTTTTATCAATCTCTCATTTTTCCAATCTTAAATCCTGCTCTCTACATTCCTGTAGGACAAGTGGTGCAGCAATAAAACAGTTAGCACATTTGCAAAGCTAAGCAGGGTCCTGCAAATATAGTTTGGTTGGAGAATTTGAATGAGAATGAATTTGAATGACAATGAATGGCTGTGTTTCAGTTGTCATAATTGTTTTGGAAAGTGCAGATTTGGGAGGTAAAGGTAAAGGGACCCCTGACCATTAGATCCAGTCGCGGACGACTCTGGGGTTGCAGCGCTCATCTCGCTTTATTGGCCGAGGGAGCCGGCATACAGCTTCCGGGTCATGTGGCCAGCATGACTAAGCTGCTTCTGGCAAACCAGAGCAGCACACGGAAACGCCGTTTACCCTCCCGCCGGAGCGGTACCTATTTATCTACTTGCACTTTGACATGCTTTTGAACTGCTAGGTGGGCAGGAGCAGGGACAGAGCAATGGGAGCTCACCCCGTTACGGGGATTTGAACCGCCGACCTTCTGATCGGCAAGTCCTTGGCTCTGTGGTTTAACCCACAGCGCCACCCGCGTCCCTGCAGATTTGGGAGACTCTGCTTTAAATTAGCACCAAAACTAATTTCTCCCCCATCGCTATTCCCAGGTACACGCAGGTAGAATTGTAGCCTTGACTGTGCTCAGGACTGTATCTCAAAATTCCCTAATGGAAAAACTGTCTGCGCCTTTGAGACTGACCAGTCAATGTACACTTGAACCTCTCTCAGTCCTGTATCTTCCTGTTAGGGTATAGCATACCAGTTGAATTTCTGCCTGGCCTGCTGCTGCTATTCAGAGCAATATATTTTCTGTAACATTTGTGTGTGAGTGACCCAGGAGAAATCACCACAGAAGTTGCAACCTGAGGTGATTATTCCAACACCCAGCAACTTTGAACCACATCTGCATAGCAGATCACAGCTACAACAACATTTTTCTGGCTCCGTTCTGTACAGTGCTGCAGAGAGAACTCCCACTTAGTCAATTCCATAACCTCACTGGAAACTGGAGGTGTGACCAGACATCCCTTATGGTCCTCTGAGGAGGAGAAATGAAGACGGTTCAACATCTGCTCCTCAGCAGAGGAACCAGAATGGCTCAAGTGTGCAATTCAGCCCATCTAGCTGACCCAGAAACAAAATCGCATGTCAGCATTTGCAATATTGTAAATCACAGTTAACAGCTAGAAATAGTGTAAGAGATACTAAACACAAAGATCGGTCTATAGCTAAGTGATCCTCAGGATACCTGTTGACACTCTGCTATTCATTTTTTTGGCGGGGGCAGACAGCGGACAGCTTTCATCACCAAAATGTAAAGTTTCTGGAATACTGTTATCTCAGCATTTTTTAAATAACATGCATACACGCAGACACATGCCCACAGATGGATTTTTTAAAATAAAAAAACCACCATTGTAAGTAGTCAGCCAAGCCTTTAATAAATGTGGCAATTGTAGATTTCCACAGGTGCACAGCAGACAACAGTGGCTGATGATCCCTCTATTCCTATTTCGAATTGCTTGAGGTTATCCCCCTGCTCATTTAATCCCCAATCATAGAACTGTAGAATTGCAAGGGACCTTGTGGGTCATCTAGTCCAACCCCCTGCAATGCAGGAATCTCAACTCAAGGATCCGTGACAGATGATCCTGTGAGGTGGGTTTGGCTGAGAGGCAGTGACTGGCCCCAAGGTCACCCAGTGAGCTTCATGGCTGAGTTGGGATTTGAACCCTGGTCTCCCAATCCATCCCCCTGCCCTCACCCTGTCAACTGCCTGCTGCATAAAACTATGATGCGGAACCTGTGGTCCTCTGTATGTAATTGGACACCAACTCCCATCAGCCCAACCGGCATGGTGAATGGTCAGGGATGATGGGAGTTGTAGTCTAACACGTGGAAGGCGATAGGCTCCCCGCTCAGGCTGTAGGATATAAAGGCAATCAATTGTCTTCTGAACCAAAGAACTGCAAAGGTTGGGGTCTTCATGTCAATCACATATGTTAGATACTTCAGAAGAGGCTATAACCCTTGCTCCACTGGAGGCCCCTTTGCTGAACCCGAACTGATGTTAGCACGCCTTTTGGGGAGCAGGGGCATTGTGTGTTCAGACCCAGAAACCTCCCCCCTAAATAAATTCACATTTGACTCAAATTTTGGTTTGGCTTTTTTGGCAGAATTTAGGCCACAATTTTATTGATTACAGAAAGTGACTGGTTGCATGGGCTCTGGTTCGACTAGCTCCCTGCCATGCAGGTAGCGCTGACCCAGGGCACCAGCATAGGTCAGCCAAGGGTGAACACCTGGATAAGCAGAAAGCTGGGAATGAGCTAACTCCGCCACCCAAATGTCCCCCTGGACTCAGGCACGGGCAGAACCCCCTCTCAGGGGTTGACCAAACCATCAAGTCCCTGGATTCCTTTAATGGAATACCCTTCACATAGGGATGGTGAGAGCGTTCTCCCATCTCTATCACCTGAACCAGAGCCTATCCGCAACCTTACAAGTTGTGATGATTTGCTACGCAGCAGGCGAAACCCAAATGGCAACAGCCAGTCAGCGAAGTGGGGAAAATTCCTGCCATGCCCCTGTCCCAACAACAGATGACACACGACGGCATATCAAGGTCAAGCGCAAAGCCCTAAAATTAGGGAGAGGTGGGCGGGTGTTCCAAATGCACGCTCCGAAAGAGGAAGCTCTGGGTCACATGCATGGGCATAAATAGGTCCCTCGAACTGTTTGGACTGCATCCCATTGGCCAGATTGTACCCAACTTTGAGGGACCTACCAATTGGGTGTTGTGGCTGACCAATCGTACCCACCCACAACACAGGGTGTCGGTTTTCCAGGTCTCACCGCAATACATGCCCTCTTTAAGTGAGGACCCAATTTGCAAAAACTGGAGTGAGCATGTTAGAGAACAGCTAAGGATTCTCCCCCCACCCACCCACCCACACACTCCCCCAGCAAAGCTGCATGCAGATTCTGGTGTGTGTGAAAGCTGACAGCACAGTAATCTAGCTGGGAGGTCTCATTTGCATTTCTAATCATGTGTGCTGCTAAGTAGGTCCCAGGGGTGTTCAGGAGTTTCCCACACGGAAGTAGTCTTAGAATTACAGCCGCTCTTTCTCAAAGACTCACCTCTGGGTGGCTAGTGCTCTTTGTTCTGGTCTGTGCCTCTACTATTGCTAGTGAACTAAACCACCCACATACCAGATCGGCTGCAACAGATAGCCCATTGGGGAGGGGACGACTTAATGACCCACCCACCCGCTCGCTCTCTGACGACACCTTTGGGGTCAGCAGAATCCTTTCTCTGGGTCTGAGGGCAGGTGCAAGAACACGGGGTGGTCTTTTTACCACCCCCTGACCACACAGAGTTAATATAGCTAGATTACATTCAGGAGATAGCATAGGGGCTGGAGTAATGGGCTTGGCAGGAAGAGATCCATATTGAAATCTCTGCTTGATCATAATGAAGCTCAGTGGGTGGCCTTAGGCAAATCCATAAGGCTCTGCTTAAACCTGCCTGAGAGCTCCTATAGATTGTGAAACTAACACAGAGATTGTATCATTAGCTTGCATTACCATTATATGGAGATATATCAGGAGATGAGATTTGGGATTAATAAAACCAACATATGCTATCCCATAGAGCTGTTATTAGTATCCTATCCAATGAGGGAGGCAACACTGTCTGTATCTATCTATCAATCAATCGCCACATTTTTAAGTGTACTGCTATTGAAAAGTTGCTGTTAATGTACTTGCTGTTTGATTAGGAAAAACTCAGGGAAAGGGGCAGATCTTACACACACACACACACACACACACATCATTCCTGGAAACGCTAAGATAATGTTCATGGTTCGATCACATACCAGGAAAGTCAGGTTACTCTGTTGTAGTTGATGGCGAGGGTCTTGCACAACAAGCCTGCTTCCCCAGATGATCAGACTTTTTGTGATAATGACAGCAAAAGTGAAAGGCAGTGGAAAGCATGGTGAAAGCACTTAGTGATGACACAGTCTAGCCTAACCTCCCAGCAAACAAATCAGAATAAATATGTTCATTATATAGCCAACATCACCCTACTTGTCCCACAAACAAATAAGGATGAATGCTCAATAAACAGGCCATCTTGAAGTGACCATAGTCTAACCTCCTTGTCATCTTAGTGCAAGCAAATCAGGATGAATGCAAAATATATCATGGAGTTGGAAGGGACCTCAACAGTCTGCTCAAAACGCCTGCTGATGCGGGGAATCCTCTCCTACAGCATCCATGATTAAGTGATCAAAAATCTCTAATGAAGGAGAGTCTACCACCTTCTGGAGCAGTCTGTCTTGACTGCTGAACAGCTCATACCCACCATGTAATGATAGGAATATACTGCATTGAGGTTTCTGAAGCTACAGTCCTATACACTCTTTCCTGGGTCAGATCCCATTAAATTCACTTAGACACACATGCATAGGAAGACGTTGAGTTAAATATATTCCTTTGTTTGATGTCAGCCTGCTTTGGATGGAGCTGCTTCTATTTCTAATGGCTCTAGCTGTGCACAGCCACTGTTTGCTGTCCCAGGTGGAAGAAAACACCCAGATGTGCATTGTCCTGCTCTTTTGCTTGACCTTCCTGGATTACAATGCCCCAGAGCTAGTTCACAGCCAAGTCTTCCTAGAAGTATCCAGCCAAGTTTCTTGTTAACTGGTCTTGACTCATGGAGCTAATGAAAGCAGCACCTCTCTTGTAAGCAAGCAGAGTGGGTTGGGATTTCTAACCCAGAAACCATTGAGTCCTGCTATTGCTCTCCTGTAGCCTATAAACTGCTTTCTTCTTGGGTCACTCAGCAAGCGATCGTATTAGGTTACTTAATCCAGAAAAAAATACATGTGATTGTGGGATGTTGCCACCAACCAGGGGCAGCCAATGCAATGGTCTTCAGGTGTTGGATTCAGCTCCCATCATCCCTGACCATTGACCATGCTGGCTGGAGCTGATGTGTTCAACAACATCTGCAATCTGCTCCATCGGCTCTTCTTGCCAGAGGCATTCTACAGACTGTGCAGTCAGGCCCACAGAGCACAGCATAGGCCGTAGTTCTTACATGCATCTATAGATCATGTCATTGCTGTACAATGTATGGCTCGCAGTTGAGTTTTGATCTACATCTGCATGTGGGTTACCGCTGTGGGTTTTAACCTGTGATGGCTCATTCTGATGGGCAAGTCACCGCTTGAAGCTGAGCAACAAATTTGCACATTTGACTCAGCCCCAAACATGAAATACACCTTGTGTGCACGTCTCTTGCACAAGTCCCATTCATTTCAATAGTGCATGCACCAAAGAACCTCTCCATAGATTGTGTCCAGATTCATTTGTCTGAAGGGCAGCACAAGGCCTCCCAAGACATTTTGTTGCCTGAGGCAAAAGACAAGATGGTGTAGTACCCACCAATCCCAGATACAGAAGCTGCTTGGACTAGCCATTGACTCTTACCTCAGTGCTGGTGATGGAAAAGTATCCTCTGCTGCACCTGAGGAAGCAGGCTAGCTTAACAAATAATAATAATAATAATAATAATAATAATAATAATAATAATGCAGTGATATTGCTGTTGTTGATGATAATACTTTTTTACTCTTACAACTCTGTTAACCACTCTGGGAACATAAATTTATGTTGAAGGTGTGCGATATAAATTTTGTAAGTAAACAATAAACAACACCTCAGCCGCGAGTCCATTCCACATTCTTGTGACAGTACAGTATGCGTCTCCTGAGGAAAAGTTACAAGGAGACGGGAGAGCATTGTGGCTCATTATGGTCCCTCATGTCTTTTGAACCTCTCCAAGTCCTGGCAAGTGGCATCAGAGACTGACTCAGAGCTTTGTACTTTGTTCCAGGACAGCATTTATTCTTTTAAAAGCGGCGGGGGTCTAAGCATCCCAGAACATGAAAGGACTGAAAGAGAGGCGTGGGGTGTTTCTGCCAAGCTTTGAAAGCATTAATGCAGCAGGCCCCAAAAGCCACCTGAAAACCGCAGTGGGAGACTTGTATGGCTTTGTTGAGGAAACAGAATTTGTTTCTACAGAATTCATGAGCGTCTTACGTGGGCTGGAAGCAGAACATGCAGTTTCCATATCACCTGTGCACATATTTCTTGCACACATGTCCAGCAGTGGGGAAATCAATGTGAGACCACACAAGTAGAGTTACCACTGAGTTGGGTTTTGTTTTGTTTCTAATGCAGGATGCAACCATGAAGATGGCCATTCATCCAGCTGCACCGGAAGGAGAAATGAAACAGCAAGGCACCCTTCATGGACTGAGCTGGCAGAAGGGGTGGGGCAGAAATCCAGCTCAGTTCCCGTTTAAAAGTATACTTACTTAATTCACACTTCATGAAACAATATGAAGACCAAAACACAGCCATTGTTTGGATTCTCCAAATTTTGAACTCCAGTCGAGTAATGTGTACAAAAAAATGCATTTATGAGGGTAAAACATGCATGCAAATCTATCTATTGGTGAAAATAACATCAAAAATGCATTCTATCAGAGAAAAATGCTTGCATAAAAATGCATATATTTTGAGAAATCCAAACTTAAAAACGGTGAATTTTCATGAGGACTTAAAAACAAATCATGAACTGATGGGATTGGAAAAATGAGACCCTGAGAGAAACTGAAATGGACAGATTTGCCCATCGCTAGCTGAGACCAAACACACTTTGTCTTCTCCTCTCTCAGAACTGTCTCCTCAGGGGTGATTCCACTTGGTAACAAATATGTAACATGATGTCAGGATGAATGGCACCCAAATTGGCTGATCTTCCTCTTCCTGAACACTTCCTTTTATGCCCTGTCTCTTCCATTGTAAGCCATTATTTTAACTTGTACACCACCTGCCCTAGACCTACATTCCTTCCAATAGGAGATCAACCCATCTGGGAACTGCAGTTTTCTTGTCATGGCAAAGTGAGAGATATTCCCAGCTGTGGCTCAACTCAGGGCACCCAGAGTTCGTCTCCGGTTTTCATAATCCACTTCCTGCTTCCATAACACTGTGAACAGCTTTCTTCCTTTATGGGAGATGGAAACAGGGGACCTTACATAACCTTGATGAGGGAAACAACTAGCCCAGTTCCCTTGCCATAGCAATTGTTTTCAAGTTGATAATCCAGGAAATACATGTCTTCTCTATTTACTCAGAAAAGAATTAATGGCCCTCGGTTTTTTTGATGGCATCCTCCCACACCTCACTGTTGCACGGAAAGCAGACACAACCAGGCTGCTAGAGTACTTAGGCAGCGCTCTATGACTTAAGCACTGTGTGCCATGCGCGATGGTTGCTAATGAGACCTAATAATTCTCTCATTGTTATTCTAACACGGTGCAGCAGGACAAGTGAGCCTGTAAACAGAGATCCAACAAAAATAAAACCATTATAATCACAGCCTGGGTTGTAAATCACAGGCTAGGGTGTTCTGCTGTGGTTTGACTCCAAGCCAGGGAATAGTCAAATAATCAAACTGCAGATGGTAGGGCAGCAAATCGACTTATATTTAAACAGTGGCAAGGCTCCAAACGACAGGCGGAAAAATGCTTTGCACGATACAGGAATTCTCCCACCTCCCCACTTCTTGTTAACTAGGTCTATAAAATAACCAGACATGTTAACCAATAATAGTGTTATTCCTTGCAAGTGCGTGTGCCAACCCAGGTTCACGAGCTCGGCCGATCCTGTTACAAGCACCGCTAAAGAGCTGCCATACTAATAATAATTAACATTTCATTTCCAGGCAACTGAAGGGGTTTCTTCCCTCCACCCTCTGGAAAGATGAATTCCTGGTGTGAGGAACATCCAGGTGGTTTAGCAGTTTTACAAAAGGTAAAGGCAGAATTCTAGCTTTGCCACATTGTTTGTTTGTTTGTTTTTGGATGTATATCCCACCTGTCCTCCCGAAGGAGCCCAGGGTGGCAAACGGATGCATAATTTTAAAACAGAGCAAAGCAAAAACATTATAAAACACTTAAAACATTCTAAAAACAATTACAGTGAAAAACATATAAAAGCAGTTTCAGTTAAAAACATTCTAAAAGCAGTCAACAGTGATTCTGGGGTTGCCAGAAACAGTCACCAAATGTCTGGGTAGGCAGGGTTTTTCCCCACATTTCTCTGGAAAGTTAATCATGATGGAGACAGGCGCATTCCACTAGGGAAGGCATCACATCTGGAGAGCTATCACTGAAAAGGCCCTGTGACAGGTGAATGCCAACCTGGAAAAATATTAGAATGCACAGTAGTTTTTTAAACCTCTAAAAGTTTAAAAAGAGAAGCATTATTTGGATTTCCATGAATTACCCTATGGTTGCCAGGGCAGCACAGGAATTGACCCTCACAAAATGGGTGGTAGCTGAACTGGACCTAGGATTGCTTTAAAGACATTTTTCTTTAAGAGTTCTCTACCTTTGTAATAACAGTTTGGCATAATTTAGAGCCCTTCTCTGATTTGGAACACTAGTCAGTGTTCTTTCTTAGAAGCTGGTAATTTGTGGACCTGTCCAAAGGTCACATAAGGCTGTTGGAGTAGACCAGGGGTCACCAACCTTTGGAGGCTTCTGGGCACCTTTGCAAACTGGAGGAGCAACAACCATGCACACTCACTCTCCTCTCCCCCTGCCTCCCACTGGAAATCGGGCTTGGGGAAAACCCTTCTGTTGTGATGAACCTAGAAGGAACAGCAGCAGGACCATGGCAAGGGCAAAGCTGTTCAGACACACCAGAAAGAGCTAACCTGGTGGTCCTTCCAGTACATTTGTACAGCACCAATTTAACTGCCAAAATTTCCAGGTACTCTGCAGCAATGCTAGCAACAAGAAGGTGGTACCACCCAACCATGCTATGCTGCTCTTGCTCTCTGGTCCAGTGTTCGAAATTAGCCAGGCGCCAGGTCATTTTGCACTTGGCTTTCAATCTCTTGTGACCACGTGAAGATGCCTGGGTACCAAGATGGCGCCTGACATCTTCCCATATCTGGGGATCCTTGGATCTGGACTGTTTTCCCACACTAGCAACACACCCTGTTGAATTCTATTGGTTGTATTTTATCTGCGCAATCGGAATGAATTTCTGGAACCAAGTGGCTTTTTCTGTGCAGCCGGAGCAGGAGCAAAAGCGGTCACCATTAAGAAAAAGAGGTTGGAACAGGACAATATATATATGTCGACTGCCCCTGGATCAAGTGACTTTTTTTCTTTTAGGTTCTCAAAACTCTTAACCTAGCTCAAGGTTGTCTTCTGAACCAGCCAGATGTCTAATGGAGAATCAATCACAGCCATCATTCGAGAAAGAAGTCTTTAGAGCCATCTTGCCCCAAAAGGGCAACTAGATGTTCCATTTTGGCAACTGTAACCTTGGTTTAAAGAGCCATTTGGGGCCTAGCTTATTTATCTGAATTTCTAACACTGCTCCAGTCATAGTCTAACACTCCAGCTACTACACCATATTGACACATGTTAAAAGTACTTGGACCTCTTCCATTGCACCTGAGACTAAATTCCTTCCTCTGGAGACTGAGAAGCATACAGCCCTGAAACCATGGTTGAGGTCTAGAATCCCAGAAACATTAAGATGGAGCTACTCGGGTAGATCCTGTATGGGGAAACAGCAGGTCTCACTTTAACAACAAAAGCAACCTTGTCTCCATGCGTCAGATTCATGGGTTGGGAAAACCAGGCAGGATGTTGAATTGCACAGGGACCTTCATAGGGCTCAGCACAGATGTTCATCAAAGAATAGCAGTTTGGAATCTCAAAGAGAAAAGTTGGTGCTTGCTGCTTCTTTAGAACCAGGAACTATTTTGGTGTGTGTTTGGATATACCAGAAGCTTTTGCTCCTGCACATAGCAGACCCTCCAAGTGTCTCTATTTTCCAGGTACGTCCCTGATTTAGAGAAGCCGTCCTAGTTTCTGATTTGATCCCAGAATGTCCCACTTTTCCTTGGGATTTCCCTATTATCATTGGAGAAATGCTGGAGGGTATGGAGTTATCCGACCTCCAAGTTGTGTGAAGAAAATCCTGTATAGGGAAGTTTGTTTAATGTTTTATTGTGTTTTTATATATGTTAGAAGCTGCTGGGAGTGACTGGGGCAACCCAGTAAGATGTGTGAGGTATAAATAGTAAAATTATCATTATGGAATGGGACGTCCCTATTTTCATCGGAGAAATGTTGGAGTGTATGACATTGATGACATTAGTATGGATATTTCTCCTTCAGGGAAAAGAACCCTGTTTATTTCTCTGCCAATCAAAGGTAAACGAAATGGATGGACTGCCTTGGCTCTGTTGAGCATGCCTCTCCAAACTGTCATGTAAGGTGATAGGGGAGTTGTGAAACACAGGGATCAAACACATACATGCTTAGAACTGCCATAAAGGAATCTCTTTAAGCATTTTATACCTTCACTCCCTTCCCCACCTTTCCCCAGCTCCCAGCAATATTTAGAGACTTCCTGTCAGTCAATCTGTGGTTTAAAAGGAAGCAACCCCCACCCCCACCCTTTCAGCAAGCAAACATCATGTAAACACTTTCCCTTAAAGCTTTAACTAGTAAAAGCCTGAGGACCATACGAGCAATTTCTTCATTTTTGTTTAAAAGAGAGACAGAGAGAAACTTGTGTTTTTGATTTAGAGAAGCCAATGTAAAAAAAAAAAAAAACACACACACACACACAAAAATACCGACTCCCAGATTGAGCTGCAAATTATAATTCTTGAAACATGTTCTAAACAAAATAATCATTTTGCTAAAAAGCCAGGGTTTTGCTAAAATCCTGAAGAACTGATGTTAATTGTGTCACAACCTGTTTCTGGAAAGAGGAGCTGATAAACAAAAGGAAGGAAGGAAGGAAGGAAGGAAGGAAGGAAGGAAGGAAGGAAGGAAGGAAGGAAGGAAGGATCAGTCTATTTATTTACCCAGCCTTCATCAACACAGACACTGAGGTATAAATAAAAAGGAAGGAATTACACCACATTCAGTTTTAGCAAGTACAGTGGTACTTTGGGTTAAGTACTTAATTTGTTCCGGAGGTCTGTTCTTAACCTGAAACTGTTCTTAACCTGAAGCACCACTTTAGCTAATGGGGCCTCCTGCTGCCGCTGCGCCGCTGGAGCCCGATTTCTGTTCTTATCCTGAAGCAAAGTTCTTAACCTGAAGCACTATTTCTGGGTTAGCGAAGTGTGTAACCTGAAGCGTATGTAACCCAAGGTACCACTGTAGAGGGGTATGGTGTCTACTGGCTCATCAGTTACAATTTGATCCATATGCTCACACTTAGTTAACCTTATGGGATTGTCCAGATTTGAATATGTACAGGGGCAGAGTTTCTTGTGGAAGAAATTGGTGGAACATGGGATATATACATTAGATCGATGTTTACAGAAATGCGTACGTTAGAAGAAAGTGTGCATTAAAATGAATATATTAGTGAAAATAGCATGTAAAAAATAAATTACATTGAGAAAATTTGCTTGCAAAAATGTGAGCAAAGGAAGCTTCCTTGGATTTCAGATCAGATAGAGAAGTAAGGTAAATAAAAAATAAAAAACCTTATCACTTGATAGTACCATACTGATACCTGAATTACCAAGTGGTAATCTGAATATTAGCAGAGACATCACCTTGCCTTGCCAACAAAGGTCCGTATAGTTAAAGCTATGGTTTTCCCAGTAGTGATGTATGGAAGTGAGAGCTGGACCATAAAGAAGGCTGATCCCTGAAGAATTGATGCTTTTGAATTATGGTGCTGGAGGAGACTCTTGAGAGTCCCATGGACTGCAAGAAGATCAAACCTATCCATTCTGAAGGAAATCAGCCCTGAGTGCTCACTGGAAGGACAGATCCTGAAGCTGAGGCTCCAATACTTTGGCCACCTCATGAGAAGAGAAGACTCCCTGGAAAAGACCCTGATGTTGGGAAAGATCAAGAAGAAGAGGACGACAGAGGACGAGATGGTTGGATAGTGTTCTCGAAGCTACCAGCATGAGTTTGACCAAACTGCGGGAGGCAGTGGAAGACAGGAGTGCCTGGTGTGCTCTGGTCCATGGGGTCACGAAAAGTCAGACACGACTAAACAACAACAATCAGAATATTGTGGTAAATTACCACTTGGCAAATCCATTCTGCCAGAATCCATGGCCATCAGGGGTTTAGGGAAGCACTTCTAGTTCATTTACTGGACAGCCTTGAAGCCTGGCATCTATTCCCCCCCCCCCCCTTGCCCAATGAAGCCCTGGGCACTCCTGCCCCAAGTGCGGAAGCTGCTGTCTGGACAAGTCCTTATTCCTGCTTCCTTTAAGAGGGACATTATGTTCCATACAAGATGGTAAACTCCCCGAGTTATTTAAAAACAAAAAACCTCTCCAATATAACATTAGACGGAAGCAAACTTTACACAGGAAAGCATAGATTTTAAATTATTACACTGGCTTGTACACTTCCAGTATTTCCTCTCTGCTGGATTGAAACTGACACATGTTCTCCAGCCTTTTTTTTTTTTTTTTTTTTAAGAACACCATTCTTTCAGCCTTAGATTTATGGTAAATCAGTGTTGCTCAGAGGAAACTAGTAGAGAAACCTCTGTTTCCTTTGATGCATTCCTAAGTCTCTTACTTGGAGAACAAAATTGGTCTGGTATGTGATTCAAGCCAGCTTCCTCTGGTTGCCAGCCAAAAGATAAAAGCAGCACAACCTTGCATCGTTGAGATGTTGTGCTTTATGTTACAAGATGAAGGCCATTTTTCTTGCTGCCCTGTGTACAGTCATTAGATCAAAATTAATTGGAATCTCTTATCAGGCACAAAAGTGAGGAAGAATCTCTGGCTTCCACATTTGTGTTCTGTGGTGCCAAATCAAAGAGTATCAATGAGCTGTTGGACCTGGAAAGTCTTCGGGCCACTCTTTTTCTCTCAGCCTATCCTACTGTCAGGGACACGGGGGGTGCTGTGGGTTAAACCACAGAGCCTAGGACTTGCCGATCAGAAGGTCAGCGGTTCGAATCCCCGCAACGGGGTGAGCTCCCGTTGCTCGGTCCCTGCTCCTGCCCACCTAGCAGTTCGAAAGCACGTCAAAGTGCAAGTAGATAAATAGGTACCACTCCAGCGGGAAGCTAAACGGTGTTTCCGTGTGCTGCTCTGGTTCGCCAGAAGCAGCTTAGTCATGCTGGCCACATGACCCGGAAGCTGTACAATGGTTCCCTCGGCCAATAAAGCGAGATGAGCGCCGCAACCCCAGAGTCAGCCATGACTGGACCTAATGGTCAGGGGTCCCTTTACCTTTAGTATCCTACTGTCAGAAGGAATCTGTGTGTAGGGCCCACATGTGGTGAACCACTGAACTGCAGGTGGCAGCCTTCTCAGTGGTTCCTGGTTTGTTTCCAGGCCCAATCCAGGTTTCATTTTATTTATATCCCACATTTTTAATGACTGCAATAGTAGCAAACAATACGAATTAGACCATGGCAATAAAATCTAAAACCATGCAATAAAATGTAAGTGGTTTTGATCTCCAAAGCCAGTTTTGAAATATTAGACTAAGCTGTCTGGTCTGGTCTGGTCTGGTCTGGTCTTGGAGCCCACTAGGCAAGGCTGGTCTTGTTCCAGCACCAAGGATAGCTCCTGGTGAGCCGCTTGCTCTGACAAAGGTTGGAAGTGAACAGATGCTCTTTGAGCTTTTGTCACCACTCCTACATTCTGTCCCTTTTGGAGAACTAGTCTCTTAAAGTGTTGGCCTGAAGACAAGCATCATCAAGCATCCAAGACAGGGAAATCTAGACATAATTGCTGAGGATCCATCTTATTATTGCCATTTCCCTCAAATTGTTAAAATTGCATGGTTGTCCATGTGGAATAATTTCAAACAAATGACTTCAGGGCTGCACCTAAGCAACTAGAAATTATGCCTTGGCCGCAGAACAAATGTCAGTAACCCAAACCTACAAGAGAATAGAAGCTGACTGGTTCTGTGTATTGACAACTTCCATATATAACGATGTGGGTTTGGCTTCTAAAACAAGTTAACCACTGCAACACGGTCTTCTGACAATACAAGAGATAGTTCAGAAAAAGTATATTTTAGGCACGTTCTTTAAGTAGATAGCGAAAAGAGGGAGGAGGGAGGCCTGATGCATCAGACTTAACAGATTTATTGTGGCAAATGTTTCTGTGGCTTTCGTCCAGGAAGGTTGATGCCGCTATAAATCTGATAAATCTTTACAGTAACACAATATTTTTTTCCTGTGTTTGTTGTAATAGACTAACTCGGCTACATTTCTGGAATCCGTTGATTAAGTACATACTTACTCAGCAAGTGCAAGAAGCAAAGAATCCCAGTTATGGTGCCATGTCTTCTGTTTATCTCCTATGCGGAAGGCCTTCAATCTTCTGCTGTCATTGCAATTACAGATGAGTATGTTTTCTGAATATGATTTAGCTCTGTAACTTAGGCTGAAATGCCAACCCACATATCTGTGAGTAGACCTTGTTGAATTCAGTGGGATTTGCTTCTAAGCAGACATGGTTAGGACTGCAGTCATATGCACATCCAAACATTCTCAGTAATTAGTGTGCTTCTCCTTAAGCCAGCAGACTTAAGGGAGGAACAACATTGCAGAGGCAGAGAAGGTGAAGTCATGTTGCATCTGCTGGCATGGCATCTTACCCATTATGTCTTATGATGAATGTATACAGCATTATTTGAGTTTTCTCTTTTTTATTATTTTTTTATTGGTTTTAATATAAGCAAGAATAAACAGAAGCAGCTATCCCTTTCTGCCACATCCTTGTTAAGAAAAAGAAACATTTCTCCCAAGGTGGGCATGCATAGCTAGTGGATGCCTGTTCTCTGTGTCATCAATAGAAAAGGATGTGAATGGATCCTAAATTTCAATAACATTGTCTGAGTCCTGGGTGTTATTTAACACCTTTATGGGTTTAGTCAATTTCTCCATCAAGGCTGTCGTCCAGACCTTTTGCCTCCTCTGTGTGAGATGAAGATGGCCCAAACTTTTCCAGTTCTGTGGAGCTGTCTGGCCACTGCCAGTAGGAATGTTATGAGTCCTTTATGCTGTAAGTCAGGTGTAGGCAACCTAAGGCCCAGGGGCCGGATGTAGCCCATTGCCTTCTCAATCCAGCCCGTGGACAGTCCGGGAATCAGCGTGTTTTTACATGAGTAGAATGTGTCCTTTTATTTAAAATGCATCCCTGGGTTATTTGTGGGGCATAGGAATTCATTCATTCTTATTTTTTTTTCAAAATATAGTCCGGCCCACCACATGGTCTGAGGGATAGTCGACCGGCACATGGCTGAAAATGGTTGCTGACCCCTGCTGTAAGTCATAGAATAATAGAATCTTAGAGTTGGAAGGGACCCAATGGTCATCTAGTCCAACCCCCTGCAACACAGATATCTCAGCTAAAGCATCCATGACAGACGGCCATCTAACCTCTGCTTAAAAACCTCCAAGAAAGGAGAGTCCACAACCTTCTGAGGGAGACAGTTCCACTGTCAAACAGCTCTTACTGTCTGAAAGTTTTTCCATACGTTTAGTCAGAATCTCCTTCTGCTCCTCATGGGAAATGTTCAACATAGCTAACTGTGGTAAGCTTTGAACTATTAGTTGTATTATAAGACTTACATTATATTCTAAATATTATATTCCAAAATTCCTCTATTCTATCCCAAGTCCACTACATATGATACATAGTACCCCCTCCAACAGAGAGGAGAGGAGGCTGAATTGATCTGGTTACATCCCAGAGCTGTAAGGTGCCATTTTAGGCAACAAGTTAACGATACTTTCTTGAATTTTAATTGATGAATCAATTTTTCTCAATTGAGTTAGTGGATGTAACCAGCAATTCTGAATGTGATATATATTTAATACTAAACTTCTAAAACTTAAAAGAAGAAAATGGCGTGTGACCATCCTTTTCTGGGTGCTGCATTCATTTATGTATTTCAGATACCCCACAGGCACAGGAAATACCTGATGAGGAAGAGAAAACTCAGCAGCAGCAGCAGAGGCGCACCAGCAGCAACGCAAACTACGAGAGGCCAGCCATGGATAACTGAATGAGAGCAGCGCCTCAGCTGCATTCACTGACAGGCATTGAAGGGAAGGAAGAGGTCACAAAGCTCAGCAGGGGGCAGATGGTGTGGCTGAGGGAATAGGAAATTTAGGAAAGCTTGCCAGAATCTAAAGGGTGAGGGGGCTAAGCAGTGAGATTTGGGAACCCCAGGTTCGGGGCAGGTGGAATGGCACACATGCAGATAAATACGTTTTTTGTTCGAGATACGAAAATACTAATGAGTATCTCTACTCTAGGAAGCCACATTTGAAAATGTTGTTTGATAACTGGTTAAAAATCCCCACAAAAAAACCTAAACTCCGCCTGTCTTTGAAATCACTGTCTGCAATAACATCTAAAAAAAAAATAAGTGGGGCAGAGGGTGTTGGGTGGGTTTTTCTTCTTCCAATTCACCCCGCTGCAACTACCAAAGCAAACTGAGATGACCTTTAAACAATCGTTTGCTTTTGCTCCACTGGATCCAAACAAAAGCTTTCTATTTCATATGCAAGCCTATGCAGCTGTAGATATTTCTATGGGGAAAGGTTAAGACATTTAGTGACCTTTGCAATGGATGACCTAATTGAAGAATCACCACAGACCACAGCCTCTTCCTTTCTTTCTCTCTCTCTCTCTCTCTCTTTTTTTTTTTTTTTTGGTTATTCCAGAGAAGGAACCAAAAGGCAGCCCAACTCGCAAAATGGTAGCTTTGTGGAAATTACTGGGATGCACTGAGCAGCTCTGGACTATTTAATTAACAAAATCTAGTCATTAATTAAAGTAATTGCACAATGTAAGCCTTGGGCGTGTTCATTGCAAAGCTGATCAACTTAAGGTAAGCACAATCTTGGTCAATCCATCTTTCTTTTTAGAGGATATTTGCCTTGGAAGAAACCAACAAGGTAATTTACAGGCACCCACCCTACCATTCTGCTTTCTGGGAATTGCATCTCTGTGGGCAATGGCTTAGGAATCTCAGTGGCCTCCCACACAGAAACTACCCAGCTTCTTTGGGGTGTGGGATGAGAAAGGGCACCATATTTCAAAAGGACTGTAGGTCTGTGGTAAAAGTGTAATACACACAGACACACATACCCATTGGAAGCATAAGCTGTTCAGTTGCATGGATTTGTCACCAAGTTCACAATTTAGTTCTGTGTTCCTGATAATAATGTGGTAGATCTTCAGCTAGGCTCAGTGTCAGGGACTGGAATTGTTGGGTAGCTACCAAGGGTCTCCAGAAGAGCCAACAGCTGACCCCAAATGGTGGTCACATCTGTTTAGACATGGAGTTGTTCTCAGTGCCACTGTTTGTCTTCTCCAGGCAATGGCAGCTGCCATTTTAATTTCCCCACAACGCAATTTAAGCCCCGCCCGGAGTATCATATTGGAGCAATGCTACATTGAAACCCTGAGCATTGTAGCAAGATTAGCTGATGGGTACCTCTACCTGAAACCCAATGTTAGTCAGAATGGACAATATCAGGTGAGATGGACCCATAGTCTGACCCAGGGGTAGGCAATCTAAGGCTCGGGGGCCGGATGCGGCCCAATCGCCTTCTCAATCTGGCCCATGGATGGTACGGGAATCAGCGTGTATTTTACATGAGTAGAATGTGTTCTTTTATTTAAAATGCATCTCTGAGTTATTTGTGGGGCCTGCCTGGTGTTTTTACATGAGTAGAATGTGTGCTTTTATTTAAACGCATCTCTGGGTTATTTGTGGGGCATAGGAATTCGTTCATTTCCCCCCCAAAATATATATATATATATATATATATATATATATATATATATATAGTCCAGCCCACCACATGGTCTGTGGGACGGTGGACCGGCCCATGGCTGAAAAAGGTTACTGGCCCCTCTGACCTGATACAGCAGCTTCCTAAGGCCCTCCCATCACACAGCTATCCTACCTTGGGTATATTTATTGCATTATAGAAAACCATTCCAAGAGTTAAATCAACCAACCGTGGTCCCCATTTTGGATCAAAGTTCTGCTCTTTTACTGTATAAAATGTGAATTGTGAAGAATGAAATCTTCCATATATCCAGTATTTGTTGGCAGAAATGACAGAAGTAGTGTAGTTATAGGTAAAAACTACCACTGGACAGTAGTTCAGTGGTAGAGCAACTGCTTTCCAGGCAAAAGGTATCCCTGGTATCTCTAGATAGGGCTAGAGATGTCAAGGCCTGGTGGGGGAGGAGAGACTGGAAAAAATGGGGGGAAATGTAAAGGTAAAGGACCCCTGACAGCTAAGTCCAGTTGTGAACGACTCTGGGGTTGCGGTGCTCATCTCGCTTTACTGGCCGAAGGACCCGACGTTTGTCCATAGATAGTTTTTCCGGGTCATGTGGCCAGCATGACTAAGCCGTTTCTGGCGAAACTAGAGCAGTGCACAGAAACACCGTTTACCTTCCCGCTGGAGTGGTACCTACCTATTTATCTACTTGCACTTTGATGTGCTTTCGAACTGCTAGGTTGGCAGCAGCTGGGACAGAGCAACTGGAGCTCACCCCGTCGCGGGGATTCAAACCGCCGACCTTCCGATCGGCAAGCCCTAGGCTCAGTGGTTTAGACCACAGCGCCACCCGCGTCACTAAAAAAAAGGAGGGTTTTCCCCCCAATTTTCCCCTGACCTTCACAACTCTCGGTAGGACTGGGAAATAATTCTGTCTGAAACTCTGGACAGCCATTGCTAAGTCAGTGTAGCCAATACTGAGCTGCATAGACCAACAGTCTGACTTGGTATAACGCAGCTTCTTGTGTTGAAACATAATTCTTAGATTTTTTGCTGTTTTCTTCAGTTTCTCAGGAAAATAAATATGTAAAAGCTAGACTGGATTGAATGTAAATTCAATTTAAAAATGGCTCACTTCTCATGCCTGTACAGCATTAACAAATAATGCATGCCAAACAAAGGGACATTCTAAATCACACTTTTGTAAAATACGAAGTCTTTCCCCAGTTTAGCAGGCGGTGTGACAGTAGCTCCCTTCCTCCATTTTGTCCCAAGAGTTGATCCCCCCAGAGCCCAAATTCATGGTCTTTTCAATAATTTGAGATTAACTCACTCTTTCTTTGTCCTGAGTTTTCTGCAATTGCTGTGAACAGAGCGTTTCATTACTTTTTGCCTCCTGCCATTTGCAAAAAGAATGTATGTGTGTGGCAGGGAGATTCTATTTTTGCATGCAGGAGAGCAAGGTTTCCGGATGCTCGTCCGCCTCTCTTGTCAGCATTTAGGCAGGCAGCAGAGCGAAGTCTTGTCTTCCTGCTGTGTTAATAAGCACTGTCCCCTCCCAGACATAGCTATGGGTTTGTAGAGGCTCAGAGTCCCTGCTGCGTTAATAAGCAGTATCCCATTCTGCACAAAATACACAGAGTGCATTTTTGAATGTACGTTCTGTAATTTTCTGTCGTCACCAGAGACTCACACGGATGTTGCAGGCCTGCCTTAAGATGAGGGCAGTATCTGCTGCTAGAAAACACAATGGGCTGCCTTAAAAAAAAAAAAATTGAAGTGTGTTAGGCCAAATGTGATTAAAAGTTGCTAAGCCTAAATTAAAAATGAGGAATGTGGCCAAAAAGAGACACAGGGCCTGTAAGGGAAAGGCTCGTTGGTTTTACAAGGCCCCATGCAACTTAAAATGAATGTAATAGATGTCAGATGCAGCTTTCAGATGCCAGAGCTGTCTGAAGGCAGTGAAACCCACCTTAAGTGAAGAGGCGCCCATTTTGGATACTTTTTGAAAGTCACTTTTATGACATGAAATCTGCAATCCTAAGCATTCTTAGTGGCAAGTAATTTCACCAAAATTAAGAGAACACACTTAAGACCGGGATGCAAATGAGTCAGTGTAGCCCAGCAGCCCGGGTGTTGAGGGAGGCCCACAGCATAAATTGCAATCCTTGGCTACATTATAGTTACTATGGCTCTGTCCAACTTACATGACCTGGTTGTTCCAAGGGTCAAGTAAGATAAGCTTTGAGTTCAGTGGAGAAAATGATGGGAAGCAACTGAAAAGAGTTATTGGCATAGGCAAATTTGGCCCTCCAGATGTTTTGGGACTACAACTCCCATCATCCTTGACCACTGGTCCTGTTAGCTAGGGATGATGGGAGTTGTAGTCCCGAAACATCTGGAGGGCTGAGTTTGCCTATGCCTGGGTTACTGGCTCTAGACTGCTCATTCACCCTTATCAGTTTAAGCTGTCACTTTATGCAGTCATGGCTGTGGAACTGCCTCCTTCATTATGCCCTATCACAAACTTCAAAACTAAGGGCTCATCCGGACTCCCACCGCTTTCCCCTGGGAAACCCATTCTTTACTGCTGAATCGAAACAAACTGCAATCAGGTTTTCCATGGCTTGTCATTTGCTCCAATTCAGCACTAAAGAGTGGGTTTCCCCAGGGGAAGCAATGAAGCAAACAGAAGACCACTGGGACCCATGCTTTCTAGGCAAGGGACAAGTGGATGTGGGAACGAGTCATTTAAAGCCATTTTATAATCGCTTATGGAACTTATAATTGCTGATGGAATTATGTGTGATTTATTTCTGAGTAAACATCCATAGGATTGGACTGTAAACTCTCTGGAAATACTTTTGTGCAAACCCGGAGAATGGTATTAAAAATGTGTGGTCTATCTTACGTGAAGCTCAAGCTAGAAGCTTTTCCAGAAGCTCAGCCCATCCTGTTTGAATTGAAATTGTAGGGCAAGTGGGGGTTTATTTTAAATTACTGCATTTTACTTCTGTAGTTCCAGTCCTTTAAAAAAAACCAAATGTTACTGGCAAATCATTCTTTATAATATAGGGAAGAACCTAAACAAAGTACATTTTTGATGAAATTCTTCTATTTGGATTTTATATATGAACAAGCACAAAAAAAATGGCTTCTAGGAATCAAAGACTTGATAATGCTTGGCCTATCAAAGTAGACTGTGATGAATTTAATAAATTGGAGGTCCATGTATATTTTTGTCTTCTCCAAGGCAACCTATCTGCAAGCTAAAAGCAATATTCCTTAAATCACGACACATCTGATCACAGCAGATGGTGAACAGTCTTTTGCCTAATTAGCATTTGGAGTCACATCCAGCTTTTTAAAAAGGAAAAAACAAACTATCATTCCTTCTTTGCCTGTTCAGAGGATATTAGGATGTTCCCTGACTACAAAAGGGATAGATAAGGTTGCTCCTAAAATAATCATTTTGGCTCTTGTTAGTAGCACTGCTTGCCTCCAAATGAGGAACTGAAAGTCTCTTAAGTTATTTTTTTTTTAGAATTCTAATTCTTATTTTACTCTGCTGGTGGTGGTTTAGAATTTCATTTTGCTAAGCGGCTTTGAACTGTTCACTGCAAAAGATGGGATATATATCCCTTAAATAAAGATGAAAATATTGGATCTTTTAGTATGCCAAATTGCTCATAGCATTCAAGTTCCAACAATTACCCACATCATCTCCCAGTATACCTAGAAGACAAAAGCTCTGACTCAACGCCATAGCACCTTTTGTAAGGAAGTGTTGCAATCCTGTTTAAAATAGTCATTAAATGGATGCCCCAAAGCCGATTCTTTAAAAGGACGGGGAAATCAACACCATTCACATTTTATTGACTTTTTATTTAATAAAAAAGACAGTATCAGATTAAAAATACAAACACTTTGGGTGATTATCCAGCTTTTTCCCCTGCCTCGTAGAGATAAAACCAAACAATGAGCAAAAGAAAAACAACAAATTATTATTTTTAAAGGTAACATTTTGGCCAGAGCTGTAAAATAATGCTGCACCAATTAAATTACACCAAAATATATTATTATACCTTTGAAATGGCTTTCAGACCAATAAATTAAAAGAGACAAATTCAAATAAAAAGTCAACTTTGAAATACAAAAAAAGTCCCAAATTAAATAAGAAAAAAAAAATACACAACGCTAATAATAATAACAATGTGCAGTCAAGTGTTCTGCTTCTTCTAGGAATGGTAACATGCCAGTAAGTCCCTACAGAACATTTTCCAGTTTGGCAGCAATCAGTCAATCATTCACATTTGTACACAAGACGGCAGGCCTGGGCAACAGCCTTGGGCAGACGTGAGGAACCCGGGGCCCTCTGAACGTTGGTGGACTCCAACTCCCATCAGCCCCAGACAGCATGGCCAATGGAAAGGGATGATGTGAGTTGTAATACAGCAACATATGGAGGGCCACAGTTCTCCCTGTGGGCTAAGTAGAGCTCAGATGTACGGGTGATTCCTAGTTCCTCTCCGGGGCAGTTGAGTTCCCTTTTCTTCACTACATACATCAATTAAACATTTAATTCAGCCAGATGGGCAGGCATTGTAAGTCAGTATTGTTCCACTGAAATCAAACTCCATTAGGTCAACTGAGACCAGTCACAGCTGCCAAGGGAGCAAGGCTTACGCGCCCGGATTAAAACATGATCTTCATGCTAATACAAAGTTTTATCCAAATTACCGCAGTACTGTTTCAAAAAAAGGCACAGTAAATCTTTTAGACTTCTGCATCCTTTCAAGGCTGCAATTCTATGCTTAATTACTTGACTTGTTTACTTCTTAGTAAACATGATTTAGGAGTGGGCTGCACATCGCACATGGGATGAATATTAGAGTTGCAATTCCAAAGAAGGTATATTCCTTTGCTTCATACTGTGACATATATCAAACAGTAAACAGAGAATCCTAACTCAACCACAGGGGATGGGTGGGTGAGGGGGAGAGATTCCATTCTTATGCCTAGAAGTCTGGGTATATGGATTTTATAAGGAATCAATGTCACTTTGACCAAGACTGGTTAATTAATTTGGTTCATTGCCTTGTAGAGAGATACAGCTATTCTGAAGAATTAGGAAACCTTTTCAGGAAACTGGAACTAAATAATTCACCCATCTGAATGTGAAGTGAAAGTGTTCTTACACAACATATAGGCAGTTCAGGCATACTTATGAGAAATATAAAACATTTCCCACCAGCTCAGGTATTTTCTTGTCTTTTACTCTGTAATCTCTTCAGTTTGGCACTAGTTCCCTGAAACATTTGGAGCCCCAAGTTAGAGTATGATAGTTTCTGCTTTCAGCTAAAGTCTTGAAGTTGGCACTGGTTAAACGCAGGAAAAGAATCTTGGACTATTTCCTGTAGTTATGTGTGCATGTTGACTTTGTTTTAAAGCTGCAAACAATTTGGTGTTGTAAGCTAATACAGTAATGCAACTCTATTTGAACTAAGAGCTGCTTACTGGAATAACCGTGACCAGAAGTTATTCTGAATTGCCCAGGCCTGTCAAACACATAGTGCCTATTTAAAAAGAGGCTTACATTCACGTAATCCAGTAGACCCAAGTGGTACCTTTATGGGAGTTGAAGCCTTTAACTCAAGGGTGGCTAATCTGTGTCCCTCCATGATAACCCCCATCACCCTTGATAACTGACCATGCTGGCTGGGGCGGAGGGGAACTAGAGTCCAACAAAATCTAGAGAGCCACAGGTTAGCTACCCCTGCTTTAGCTGCAATATTTAAATTAAACCCACTGGAAATAAATCTTTTGTCTTCTCTGATTTGACCCCACTGTCTATGAAACATCAACCCAAATACATACACATTCTTAAACTGAATCCCTCAAGTCTACTTTCCTATTACTTTCTTCCTACTCATAAACCATTCCCCCATTGTATTACATACTGACAAGGGCTCTGGACTTCTGTAAAACTCTTTGAAGTTTATAACTACAAGACTCAATTCATCCAACTAAGATTCTACCAGTTTATGGTATCATAAGTTTTGTTGATCTTTGTAGTTCACCTAAGTTTGCATAGATGCACACATGTCCCCCGCCCTTAGAATTCCTTGTTCCTTTAGTAATGGGAGACTGTATTGTCTCATTTCCAGACTGCTGCTGAAAAATCTTCAGTGAATTAAAGCTTGCCTGCATACTGCTTTATTCATTCTAGTTTCTCAGTAGCCATACATACATACACACAGGTATGTAGAGAGGCTACTGGCAAGTAGATACTTCTCAGTGTGCTTGTCTGGTCTTTCCTTGGCATTTTATGTAGCCTTACAGCGATTATACAATTTCCAGAGCCCCTGATGGAATTTATTTTGTATTATTCTTTTGCTTGGAAGAAGAAATCTTCCTCACTCCCAACACTTCATCCTTTTACTACATTGCTATCTCTTCCTAGACTAACTTTTCTATGAATTCAAATAACTTCCACTCAAATTACTAATCACATTTCAGCAGGCGACACTATCAAATGATAACTGGAAGTGTCAATCATTGGTTCGGCAACTATGCATGCAGCTGGCAGCCCTCTTCTGCATGTAAATATTCCTTAGGGCATATAGATATTGACAAATCTACCAGCAAATGATTTCTTATACTTAACAGTTGAATTTCTTTTTTTTAAAAAAATGTTTTGTTTTACTTTTAGCATTATAGATTTTCCAGTGGTTAGTTACCTTCTCTAATATAAATATATGTACCCTTTTTCCAGTTTACATTTTGTCTAGCTTCAACTTACAGCCACTGCAATATGATCCTTTTCTGTCTGCCAGATTCCAGAGTTTCTGCTTCATACTTTATTGTAACTTCTTTGGATACTAGGTAGTATTTTGACTGAATGAGCTATAAGGTTGCATAATGAGCATGAGATGAATTTTTCCTCAACATAACTTAAGTATTTCTGCTCAGTCTGTCTGCTCAACATCACTTCAATAACGCTACCACTGTCAACAAATTGATACTGGGCCAACTCCATCATAAAGGTACCCAAAACCCTTTCCTTCCAGCCCTGCTATCTTCCCTCTGCTAGTTAAGTTTGTTACAGATCTCCAGAGCTTTCTTGTAGACCTGAGTGACATCATCCATGTCTGTAAGCAGAGAAAAACTGCTATCGCCTGTCCGATTCCGATAGCGCTTCAGATACTGTGGCCGTGAGCGATTTTGAAGTCCTTGGAAATCTTGGATCTGGAGGAAGTTTTCAGCAGACACACAGCTCCTTATCCTAAGCCTGTTCTCTTGCAAATCCACCAAGTCAAAAGAGTCACTGGACAGGATGCTGTCATCACTAATCACGCTGGAAGGGCGGCTATAACTTCGAGATAATCCATCTCCAGGCAGGATTGCTTCCTCCATGGCTTCCAGCATCGGTGTGTCGGGGCTGATCAGAGCAGAATCTGTGCTACTGGTGGAATACTTGCTACTATGTTTTAAAATACCTTTGCGCCTGTAGGAATGACTGTGAGACTCTATCCTTAGTGTTTCAATAATGCCTGGGGACGTATCGCTATTTCCTGCCTCCTCATTACGGTCCAAGAGTTCTGAAGATTCGCTCCGTTCTGGAGATGAGTAGTAGCCAGATTCTCTCTGCTGCGTCTTCTTAAGGATTCCTTTTTTTGGCATTAAGGAAGACTGCTTAGTGCTGTATTTACCCGTTACCTCCCCCTCCACAACGTTCTTACTGGACATCCCTGTCCTGCATAACTCCTGCTCCATTTTGAAAGTGGAGGGTAATACTGGATTGACTACTCCTTCTATATATCCTGCACTATGAGAGCGATGTTCACTGTTGCTCCTTTTCTTTAAGATGCCTTTTGGCCTCTTGGAGTTCGGCTTGCATGCATTTTCAACTCCTCCTTCCTGGATAGACTGTGCAATGTCATTTTCCTTCTTTGATTTTTTCAGGGATCTCTGTCTCTCTAGTGTGACTTCAGATCCTTTTGGTTTGGAAAGGCACTTCATTTTGGTGTCAGTCTCTGGCTGCAAGCCGCTAGAACGATGATGCCAATCTATGAACCGAGAGAGCAGGGGGGACTCAGAGTCTTGCAGGGCATCACAGTCACAAACACTGCTCTTGTAGCCCCAGTTAACCCACCAGTGGTTGGCTATGTCTTCAATAGTTGCTCTGCGCTCAGGATTCACCATCAGCATCCACCTGATCAGGCCTCGAGCATCTACAGGAAAAGAAAACCAATTTCAACCATTCTACCACGACTTTTTTTTTACTTTAATTCTAAATTGGAAGCATGACATAGAAACAAGTGCAACAAAGCACTGCAACAGGTTAGCGTTATAGCTCTTTTGACAGCTATCTGCCTTCAGATATTCCCTAGCTGAAGACTCATGATACAAGTTGCCACTGTGTTTTAGTAATCTGAGTAGCTTTCCATATTAGGGTTCGTCTTGTGAAATACACGGGCTATTGAATCACTATGGCCTAGTTCTCAGTGAGATGATAAACCTGTGTCTGGGCTGCACCACTTCAGCCTGCTGGCGGGAGTTCACATGAATGAATCCAGACAGCCAAACAAACAGACAAGCAACACGCAGAGAGAAAATTAGATGTCATAGAGAACGGTAAGCTATAATCCTTCTCCTTGACGTTTAGTTTTCTATAGAGGGGATTGTTTTGTATGGAGAAACCCCCACCTGAAATTTGAAGTGGTATAACCCAAAGACAGATTTATCAACTCAGCAACAACTAGGTTAATGTGCATGGCAGATTCTCAGCGCACCCATGTTCACCTTCCTACACATGGGACAGGAGGTTTTTCATGTAACAGAAATGTTTACTATTATCCAAATGTTCTGGACAGGCAGAGCCTTCCTTATCTTCCTATTGCCATCTTCAGGCATATTGAAAACTTTATCCTGTGTGAGCCGTGGTCTGCCCATTCCTTTGAGCTACTACCAATGCAGAAACCATGCAAGTAGATGTGTTGTGCACCACTATGCCTATAATAAAGGTGTAAATGGTAAAGTATGTCATGCAAACTGTCTAACCTTCATTTGTATAGGGTTTACACAAAACAAGATTTCCCTCCACATGGGGGGGGGGGGACTTGTCTCATGCTGCAATATTTGTGTGCTTCCAAACTCCCAAAACACACAAAATATTACAGTGCTCAAACTGTCTTTTGCTAGAGGACATTACTATTATAGGAATTTTATTTCATGAGATATTTTATAATGCGGCCTCAACATTCTTCCTACAATCTTGCTTGAAGATTCAAGCCCAGAGTTCTCCTCCAATTATTGTAAAGTTCAAATTATTCTAAAAGTTTATTGTAACAGAATTTAATTGTAACATAATAAATAGTAAGTAATAAATAACAGAAAATGAACACCACATACAAAGATTTCTCGTCCCTTCTCTATCTACCTCCCCTTTGTCTTTTATACTTTCTCCCTCTTCTAGATTGGGGTACCCCTTTCTGATTGCCTCTCCAAACTGCTATTGATAACCTTTTGCCCAGTATTTTGCTATTCCTGTCAGGCCTATAACCAGGCTTGCCCCCCTCCACGCCACTAAATTTTCTATGCCCCCACCTAAATTTCCTACAAACAAAAAATGAAACCAACAGGAAAGCCTTTGTTTCCCCCCCCCCTTCCTTTCTTAAAGGTCCTTTTATCATGTTTTTTCTCTCTGAGAGGCAAAGCAAGCCCCAAGGCACAAAAAACAAGCTGGTGGGTGAGGGGCTACACCAATCAGAACCATGCGTTCTTGGAGTGGCTGTTCGCTCTTTCAAGTCTGAATACTTCATCAGTATGTACGGAGGGGGGAGAGGAGGAGAGAGAGGGGGGGGGAGTCAATTTTATTTATTTTTTCATCACAAGGCAAAGGACAGGACCCACAGGCTTCCCCTTGAGCAAGGCATCTTGAGAACCTATTTTTCCCCATTTGGGATGGAGACTTGCAAGGAGAGGAAGAGAGAATTCTGGAGGCTTCTGTTGAAACGCCTGGGAAATCCTTTGCAGCTGGAATGACTAACAATCCAATACATTCTGGGTTGTGTTCAATCCTACTTAAAAGAAGATCCACTGAAATTAAATGGTTCTGAACTAATAGCCATGTCTATTAAGTCCTATGGGTCTGTTTTGAGTAGGACTAGCACGGAATGAGCCTGGATAGCTCAGTTGGTTAGACCATGGTGCTGATAACACCAAGGTTGCAGGTTCGATCCCTGTATGGGCCAGCTGCATATTCCTGCATTGCAGGGGGTTGGACTAGATGATCCTCAGGGTCCCTTCCAACTCTACAGTTCTATGATTCTATGATTCTATGGAATACCACCCACTTATGCAGGAATACATGGGTATTGATAATGATAATGAAATGGGTGGGTAGGGAAGGGAGAATTTTGGAAGCTTTTGTTGAAATGCAATGAGTTATTGGAGAGAGGGGGCATATTTATTAAGCCCTTTTCTCTTGTTGGCCTCTCTAAGTTCAACTTATTCAGAGGCAGACTGCCTCTAAATTAGAAGGTTCCATATAGCAATCAATTCTCAGATATATTCCCTTTTCCAGGTTCAAAGGCCATCTTTCCTCTGAATATGCAGGAGACAAATAACAGAAAATAATTATTGTCCTCAAACCCTACTTTGCTTGCACCCAATTACCACTGTGGGAAGCAGGAAGCTGGACCTGATGGACCTTTGACATGATCCAGGATAGTTGATCTTATAATCAAAACGATCCCTGCTCTCCTTTAAATAAAATATTTTTCTGTCTGGTTTCTTGAGTCCAGTTTATTCTTATTGTTGCTAACTTATGAACACAACTCATTGCTTCAAGAACCTCAGCAAACTCCACTGTTCTCAAGCTTGAAGATTTTTATTCTACAACCAGCAGAAAAATGAAGCAATTTACTCCGCTCTTCAGCCCAACTCTCAATTCAACCCATGATAAACACTGCAGATTATCATGTCAAAGGCTACCACTGTGATCAAATTGTCAGTCTAAAATTATTAAATTTGCCACCATGTCATCAGCCACCTCCTGTATACTACAAAGCTAGAGAACCTGTGGTCCTCCAGATGTTTGACTAAAACTCCCTTAAATCCCTGGCTGCACTAGCTGGGGCTGTTGGGAGTGGGAAGTTCAACATCTGGAGGAGCACAGGTCTCTGGGATTCTAGAAGCCATGCAATTATTGTTATTGATGGTAGACATGGGACCAAATTCTTGGGATAATGATTTGCTCCTCCAGGGCTATTCATCGTTTCCTTGGTATTTTTTTATGTATACTGCTGTGCAAAGTTACCAGGACTGATATGTGTATCATTTTACAGCTTGTCCGACCAATTCCATTTGCAAAAACGAAAATACTGTCTGCTGTCTTAGATATAGCTGAAGAGAGGTGGGCAAAGTTTCCTGAAAGCAATAAAATCTACTAACATAGAATCCTCTACGTTTCCCACAACAGTCATTTTTAAAAAAAAAAAAAAAAAAGCGCTGAAATTAGGAAGTAATTTGAGAACCACCTGCCCTTTGTCATTTATCTTACCATTATCCTAAGACCAAGGACTAAAAAATAGGTAAAACAAATCATTATTATATCATTTTAATTCACTGTGCCAGATCTTTTTGATACCTGAGGGCTGTGTTGGCTCACGATATTCTCCACTGCTGATCTGCCTGATTAGATTTTTGTGATCAAAGCCATCAAAGGGCATGGTTCCATAAACGAGGGTGTAAAGCAGTACACCGAGAGCCCAGCTGTCAACCTAAAGCAAAGAGACAAGAAACATAACAGACAGAAAAGTGGTCACCTGACGTCTATGACATTCAAAGAAGCATTGAACATCCAGCAATGCTTAATATCCTACAGATATTACAGGATAGCTACAAGAAAATCTGGCGGTTTGTACGCAAAACTAATGAAAGCAATATTTTAACAGTTCCTCATGCTAAAGATGAAGAATCTATTTGATTTATCAAGGCCAAGGCTGTGATCATTTAATCAAATTCCAAGCAGTCATTGCCCCAGACAGGTACCACATTGCAACGTTTTGTTGCAGGGTCTCATGTGTGATAATATTTTCATTTCACTTCCTTTCTTCCTCATTCTGCTTACCTCTGGGCCTCGGTAGGGTCTTCCATTGACAATTTCTGGAGATGCGTACAGTGGGCTTCCACAGAAAGTCTGAAGAAATTTGTCTTTCTGATAAAGATTTGAAAGTCCAAAGTCTGCAATCTGTGAAGACAAATGCAACCAAGTCCTGTAGTGTAACTTACCAAAATGTAAGATAGGGAGTGTGATTTACTGATCACACCAACCTGGGCATTGAGTATCAATCTGGGGCCCTGGCTAATTAATCACTTTGATAAAAGCTTTCTCCTCATTGCTCAATGTGTTTGCTCTGCCCTGTATTCCACTTATTCTAAATTCAGTTTTAACTAAGAGATTTTCTAAAATAAATTCCAAGTTTCCCACAGTTTTCAGTTCCTTCTGTTCACCTGCAACTTTTCCCAACTCTACATTACAAATCTACACATACATTGGAAAAAACAATGTTGATGTGACTGTTCATCCAATATTATTCTATTTTATTTTTTTTACTGATGTGCACATGTGGTCCTGTGCATTGGTAAAACACAAAAGATTCTTGGCACGCCTATATGATCAGTCACATCAAGTTTGCTTTTCTCTGCTATTTATGAATGACTAAAATGAACACAAGTGTTGGTAAAACCCCCACCCCCAAAAAGCCTGATGCAAACTTCAATACCGCTTTAAATACAGTATTTCAACAATACATATGTGAACTTTGGTAATAGTGGAAGAGATACATGCAGCAAACTATGGATTCATGATGTGCTGTACAAAATTCAGAAATAAAAAACCGGAATGTTGATGGCTATCTAATGCATCAGTTCTACTTCAAAAACACAACCAAGTATATGGAACTCCATATCTGGGGAGAAAAATCAGGAAAGCAAAAACAGAATTTCAGAAGCATCCTTAGTAAAAGAATATGAGAATTCACATGAGTTTATTTGCAATATGTAAAGTTCTAGGCCTTAATCGTTTAGAAAGGATTTATTTTTCCTTGTGGTCTTGGTCTTTTTTCCTTCTCTAGGTCATCAGAGGTTGGTACAGCCCAAGAATCGTTCCTGAATGAGGTGGACTTGTACTAAAGAACAGTTTTATTTTGTTTTATCTTGGGTAAGATTAGCACATGGCTTTTGTTCCATACCCAGGAGTCAGGATCCAAGTGATCCCTACATTTCGATGAGGAAGTAATTCTCTATCTTGTCAATTAGGCAATGACCCCAAGGAATGTTGCCTTTCTTCTGCAGCATGTGGATGGACTGACTCATTTGCTTGAGTGGCTTGCATTTTTTATGAAATGATTCCCTGAACCTAGAAGGAATTTCTGGATAATCATTACCTGCTGTTGGCATGCTATTATCAGGATATTACCTAATCTGGAGAGGGTGACTACATGGGTTAAGGTACTACTTTAGAGCAGAGAATTGCACTTGGTGGCCAGTGAGACCCTTTTCACTGCTGTGGTTTATGACTCTTCATTGCCCTGTGCTCCATTATATGCAGTGTACATTACTGCCATTTTGACTTACATCACCTTTAAATACTATCTACTGTATGTAATCCAGTTATACATCTATGTACCAGTTTGTTGGCTGTCACATCTATATTTGTGGTGTATCTGTGATGTATCATCTCATTTGCAACAGGACTCTAAAAACAAACCTGGTATCTCAACCCATACTGTAAGTAATCCTTTAGAGGAAAACTATGGGAAAACTGTGTTCTGTAAAACCTTCACTGGCCTAGAATCTCATTAGAAGCAGCTGGTGTACAATTGCAGTCTGCAAATGCATTCTTGGGGCTTAGGTTGCGGTTAATTGTCTTAAATAAATTCCACTTTCTTATCAAATCACTCTGATTGGCTGGCAGGAATTCAGTCTTGAGCAAAAGAACAGTGGTTTGGTCAATCTAAATTTAATCGTTTCAGCATTAGAGATTGTGGAGTAGTCAGTGGAACTGACTTTATTTGGAGGGCATGCCACAGCTCATGCTAATTCTGATACTGCATGGTACACTCTGCTTAGGACAATCTGTCCCCTAGCATAGTCTACAAAATGCATGAATATCTATATGCATATATAAATATATACCATTTACGGGGGAAAGCCAGCTCCTAACAGGTATCCATGTTTTCAATTCAGTCATTCAGGAAACAGTGTTTCTATCACGGCCAACTCCCATAATCACAGACTGATGTTTATCAGCTTTTCCCATTAGAGCTGTCATTTTCCCTCCCCCCCAATATGGGAAAAAAATCATAGTAGCCAAGATTCCTTCATGTTCCTGGCACTTAAATGGAGCCAAAGTATTAATTCAAAAAAGGTTTCCAAACAGGGAGGGGTTGCTGCAAAGCCAGACTTTGAATTCCCTTACCTTCGAGGAAATGACTGTTTCAACTACTTACAAAAAACATGATGAAATTTACTCATTCAGTATGAATCCTGCACTCCCTTCAAGTATTTGGGCTCAGTGTAAACTGACATTGCTCCTTTACTTCAGTTTGCACCAGCTAAGAAACTGGATCTTTTTCTATTGACTCACAGACTAGCAAACACAGCTGAATTATTGACAAGCGTGTACAATGTTCATGAAACCCAAGATTTGTCTATGGAGTGCACAGTTCTAAACAAATAAAACAATACTTATAAACACACAGTCAGAGCCCTGTTGATTTCCTTACCAGGTTGATACATTTATCTTGCTTCCCCTTTTCATTTTCCAACATCCCACTGTTTTAATTAAATCTGCATTTTTGTCTTCTGTGGTTATTTAGAAGAGAGAGGCGGTAACTTGGTCAGTTGTTTAATTTAGGAAAAGATTATCATCCTTTGCCTTTGCATCCTTGGGCTTGCTAGCTTCCTAAGTGCCCACTGTATGTTATAGTAAATAACACTTTCAAGGTGCTGTGAGAACTTGTGGGAAACTGTTTAGAGCAAAAAAAGTGCAGCTTGCTGTGGTAAATTCTTGCTGACTTCAAGTTAATAAGAAGTGTAGAAGTGCATCATAACATAGGCAGCAGTCATTTTCCACTATTGAAACTGAGATTAGGAAGAGATTCATACCACAGGATTTTGCAAAGTTTAGGTATTTGTATTCCGGTTCCTGGTAATGTGGGGACTTCCCTTGCATGTAAGCTGGCACTTCCTACAATTATAGAAGAACAATGACATACCCTGATGTCATTGTGCAGTGTAGGAGTGTGTCTGCAAGTGAAAGCTCAACAGCAGCTGCAGCAAAGGGCTAGAAAACTTCATTTCCAGAGAAGGTGATAAGAGTCATACTCTTTCCACCACTTCACAAAAGATAAACTGAAAACTAAATCCTTTGCACGGACCACTTGCAAGTTTGATTTTAAATATTTTCATTTGATATTAAACATTTTCATTTACATATCTGCTTCAACTGATAGGTTCATTCTATCCGAAACATTTATAACATGCTTTGAAAATCACTGGATAAACTGTATCATTTAAAACAAGTGATCAGGGTTAAATCTTTTACAAAGACAAAAGCAGCTCTATTAACTTGCAAAACGGTGCATTTCTAGTCTCCTAGAAATGTACACTTGCAAATGTTTTCGGAAATGAGGTCCTCCAGATTTACTCAACTGCACATCAATAATTTACAATCCCAGATGTGTTTCCTTGCCAACAAATATTGTTTAGTGAAACAGCAGGGAGGGGAAAGTCCCTGCGATTAATACAGAAACCACAAAAGCAAGATCTAAGCCTACAGTATCAAGGCTGATAGTGGAAGCTTGTTTGATATCAAACGCAGCAGACATGCCTCAGCGGTATGAGAAGATGGAAAGAAGAAGAAAATGAAGCGTCATTTGAGAAAATCCAAATTCTGTCACTGTAATGGGCTCAGTATGACTTTTCAGAAGCAGTAAGTTCCAGTTCAGTGGTATGAACTTTCTTCTTCACCATCAGTTCTTTCATATATGTTTCACTAGCATTGCTGTGAGCCACTGATCTCACAGATGACAAACGAGCACATGCTTAGGACTGTGTTGTTAACTATAAATGCCCCAATTACGTTCTATGTCAGAAACAAAGAATACACCAGGTGTTCATAAACACGCATCAAGGCTAAAGCGTGTATGACATGTAAAGAGCAGAACTTTCAATTGTTGTTCTTTATTTATATCTCATCTTCTCTTCCGCAAAAGTCAAGGTGGTTTATGTGGGATTTCCTGGTGGTCCCCTTATCTAGGCACCAACCAAACCCAGATCTGCTTTGTGTCACTAAGGTCACTGCTTTTCAAACCATGCCATGGGAAATTTGGTACCGATATAAGAAATGCTTGTATCATATGATTAAGCACCATTTGAGTTTTAAATAGCTGAAGGTGAAACTTGGGAACAGCACTAATTTCCCAGAACAGCATCACACATCTTGTATTATAGCCATTTTTATTTTCCTGGCAGAAAGCATGAAAAGGTCATTCCCATGCTTTCGCTAAGGATTTTTGACATAGTTATGACATCACCGAAAGCAAATCTGAAAGCTATCATTGTGCCTGGAGTTCCAAGGCCATTTCCTAATGAAGGACATGTGCTTTGCTTGAGTTTATTTTGTTACAGGGTTTGCTTATTTGTTAGATGTGATCAAAAGGACGTTCAGAGGGCTCTAGAGGATGCACTTGAACCTTGCAGACCAAGAACATTTGTATATTCCCAGCAGCCAGCAAAAATACCACCTGTAAAGTCAATTGTATTCTATGGCGATTTTCCTGTTTCTCCTGTTAATTGCTGTTACTCATCTTGAAGTGAAAGAGACTGTTCCCTTAACTCCCATTAATACAAAAATGTAATGCTGAAGTAGTCAGGAAAAAATTGTCTCTGCATTTCACTTTTGCAAACACTGAATGGGTTTAGAAGTAGCTCCTGTGATTTTAAAAAAAAAAGTTTTCAGACAATACACAGAGAACAGAAATGACCTTTACCTTAATATTACAGTTGTCGTCAAGAAGAATATTTTCCAGTTTTAGATCCCTATGGACAACACCATTCTGAAACAAGAAAGTAAAGGAAAGAAGGTGAGGAGGGACAGAAAGGAGAATACTGGGTGGATTAAAAAAGCAAGCCACCGGGGTGGTCTTTGCATTTACACTTCAGTCATAACACTTGCAGTCTAGTAACTAGTGACAGGAGATGTATTAGTCACTTGCTGTGTGGTTAAGGGAAGAATGACTGGAATCTATCCTCCCACAAAGCCTGTAAAGCAGCAGGGGAACTCTTTTCGGAACTCAATTCCAACCCCAGTTCTTCCCTCCTCATTCTTCTCAGGCACCAGAAAACAATATATCTCAATACTGTAAGTTAGTCCATACAGAAAATCTAGTTCTTCCAGCTTCTGGCTTTTAGACAGGGCGAGTTATATCCCTAAAAGTGTGCTCTGGCTTTCAAATATTAATGTCTCAATCTATTCCCACATCACAGTTTTTAAAGATTTGTTAAAGCACTCAGAAATCTGCTGTGGATTTTAAGTTGTCATGTGGGATGGCAAGAACCTCCCCACTTTAAAAACAAACTCAATTAAGGTATTTAAAAGGGAATAAATGGAAATTTACAAAATAAGTTAATCCTTTGCTCACCTTGTGGCAGTAATGCACAGCAGAAACAATTTGCCGGAAGAAGTGTCTTGTCTCTCGTTCATTTAATCTTCGTCTCTCACTGATATAATCATACAATTCCCCTTTGCTTGCATACTCCATGATGATCACAATTTTATCTTTGTTCTCAAACACTAGAGATAAAAAACGACAACTGCATTTTTAATTTTTTAGATTTAAGCATTGAACACACAAAACACACATAATCAGCCTTGAAAAGGGAGGGAGCATTGCTCTTCTCTGCTGAATTCCCATCTGCTTCAGACCAGTTTCTTCCATGTTGCTACCCTGGGGTGCCTTTCACTGCCCTTTGAACCTGGGTTTGGCAATAAGGGTTGCTTTGCACTGATTTTGCTAGAAAAATAGTGCAGTAATGTGGCAGCTGGAACTTCTGCGCATGCACTCTCCCTCGCACAAAGCACCCACCCTTTCTTCAATCAATTATCCTTTTAGCTAGGAGAGAGGAAGCAAGAAAGCAATGTAGACCCAGTTACCAGGAAGACTGAAGAAACTGATTGTTATTTATCCAAGGCAACGATGCATTGGTTCCAGAAGGTTTAGAGGAATATAGTGAACTATCTGTATAATATTTAATATACTTCCAGTGTTTGAACGTGGTCTGGTACAGTCAAGTACAGGGATTTCCAACTGAGAGCAGCAAATGAGTTATTTAACATAGGTCAACTACAAATTTAAACTACCCCATCTTTACTTGGTCATGCTGTTGCAACAGGGGAAAACCTAAGTATTACAAGCACAGGCATGTAGTCCATACATGCAAGACATTGATTGATTGCTGATGCATTCCTAGAGCGGAAAAAGGCAAATTTCAAAATAATGGGTTTTTGTGGGTAACACTTGAAAGGTACTTTGTGGAAGATCACATAATAACTGAGGATAATTAAAGACATTTCTTGAAAAGAACCTTTCATTTCTGAGTTTTTACATACTGTTATAAGCTGGCTTTTACTGTTTTCTGCAGCTCCCGTTTTATTTATATGTGGCTGATTATGGCGTTTCTTTGTTGGTTTAAATTTATGTTAGCCACTCCAACAGACTTTTGTTGGAGGGGGGGTATAAATTCCCCATATAAATAAGCAATCTCAGACAGTCTTACTCTGATCCATTTTGAATTGCTTTAGCTGCCATAGAATACTTTTTCTTCTCTGTTCTCAATTCATCGGGTACATGGGAAACATTGTTCCATGGCATAAAGAAAAGACTGTTTACTTCTTCAAAGATTTATTATTGATTCATACAATATACAGAGACATCTCCTTGAACCAAGGTTGCACTGGGCAGTTCTTCCATGCTACTGTAATAATCCTAAAGTGATAGAATTAGTGATACAACCAGTGCACAGCTTTATGACAATTGCAGGAAGGCTCAGCCAATGAACATTTAAAGAATGTGAAACCAAAAGTTCTCAACAATAAGCCTGTAGCTTCATGGGCTTTGGCATATGTCTCTTCACACTTGTACAAGACAAAGGATTGCAGTTTTTTTCTGCCCCATTACAATGTTCAGTAAAATTCTCTCTCTCTCTCTCCCTCTCTCTCTCTCTCTCTCTCTCTCTCTCTCTCTCTCTGTGTGTGTGTGTGTGTGTGTGTTAGGAAGCAGACAGATAAACACTGGCTGCTGACTAGAGGATTGTCTAACAGCTTGTGAAGCACTGATTCATTCCAGTGATTACATCCTCATTAACAATGAACTTTGGAAGCTATATGAGGTGACTGTGGACGGATTAGACTGCAGCATCAAAATTGATAGGCTAAAGTAATTTTATCACCCTACTCCGGTCCTTACTGACAAAAATGACTAAGGTACAGTTTTTAACAAAATTGTAAAAGCACAGAAAAAGTGTATCACCTTCTAGATCTGGAACACCACATTAGCCACAAGTTAGTCACTATACAGGGGACGCGGGTGGTGCTGTGGGTTAAACCACAGAGCCTAGGACTTGCCGATCAGAAGGTCGGCGGTTCGAATCCCCGCGACGGGGTGAGCTCCCGTTGCTCGGTCACTGCTCCTGCCAACCTAGCAGTTCGAAAGCAAGTCAAAGTGCAAGTAGATAAATAGGTACCACTCCGGCAGGAAGGTAAATGGCGTTTTTGTACACTGCTCTGGTTCGCCAGAAGCGGCTTAGTCATGCTGGCCACATGACCTGAAAGCTGTACGCCGGCTCCCTCGGCCAATAAAGCGAGATGAGAACCGCAACCCCAGAGTCGGCCACGACTGGACCTAATGGTCAGGGGTCCCTTTACCTTTACTTTAGTCACTATACAGTACAGTAGTTCAGCTGTCATTAACAGAACAGACTAAATGGATTGGGGCCACACGCTAAAATCTTTGTTGCCACTGAAGTTTACATTCTTTTTATTTTACTGGAGTGAATTAATTACTCCAAGATGCAAATGCTGCAATACTATATAAGAATATACTAGGCACTGCACATATATGCAAATACTATCCAGGCTGACTGACAACAGCATTCCAAGATTTCTGGCAGAGCTGGCCCTGCTACTTGAAATACTTTAATTAGTGCTACCCCTGATTTAACTTATTTTTTTCAACATGCAAAGCAAGTGTTGTGTCACACAGCTATGGTCTCTCCTCAACAGTACCTGGAGAAGGGCTTTCATCATGCTAAACATATGTTCCATAAAATTTGAGATATCACTGCAATGCTCATATAATGCCATACTGTAATTTATAACACTACACTGAGAGATGTTATGGTATTCCCCAACACTTACATGCATTTGTTTAGACACAGTATTATTTATTCCAAATAATTATGAGATAAATAAATGCTATGCCCTTTTAAGACCTAATATTTAAGCTGATGATAGACTAATTGCTTCAGTATAACTATTTGGAATGCTTATTTCCCTCTGTATTTTTACTACATTTGATTTATGACCTGCCATTCTAATGCAGGTAAAGCTGGGACAGTTTCTAAAGTAGTTCTGTACAGTTGCTGCCACCACCTTGCTCACAGAAACAAATTTAATGAGGAACGGCTGCTTGGCTTTCTCCCGCTTTTTCGTTTGCTAAAATGGAAATGCCAGACAAAGAAAAACTACCCTGAACCATTCCACAACTGGGAGTCAGCAATTATGATGCACAGCATGTTATTCAGAAAAGGTGCTATGAACCTGCTCACCTGAAAGAGTCTGATCACACTTTTCCCCATAGGATCCTGTGAGTTCTGACTAAAATCTCTACGAGACCCCTAGAGACTACTTCTCCTCCAGGGGGTTCACTATTGGACAAGATTGCATAGGAAGGTGTGCTATTAGGTCATGTCTGGAACGTCTTCTCCCTAGAAATATGTTTTTTTCCACTGGGGCTTAAAGCAGGAACCTTCAGCTCTGTATGCAGTTTCCCTGCGGAGTGTGTATATGTACCTTTCAATGCCATGATGCTTTCCAGTAGAAAGTTAGGTCTTTATACAACTAGAAGAAAGTGTTTTGTGTTTAAACAATCAATATATTAACTTCCTCCCCTTAATTCTAAGAATAAATGTGTTTGTTTATTCTGATATCAGTATTTTTTTTATTTAAAAAAATCATGATTGTGGCCAGGTGGTTTTGACTTGGGATTTTATTATAGGATAAAGAATGTAAAACTGGGGAAGAATTTCCATGCTCATTACCAAAGATGTGTCTGAACTGAAGTACATTTTGTAACCACTCAATCCATTATTCTCCATCACATCTCCTTGTACTATCATAACTCCTGAATGCATTTTGTCAGCTATATTTAGAAGGCTTGAAATGATGAGTTCAGCTTCTATTCGGAGCTCCAAACTTCGAAGGAAACCTTGCTAGTACACAGACTTCTCTTTTTGTTCAGAACTTTGGAATTTCACTGCATCCAATGAGGCATAATTTTCCTCTTAAAAACATACTTGCTCATGAAAAAGTAGAAACTCTTGTGAGGCAAGCTGAAAATAAGAGTTTATATGTGTATACTGATGGGACAAGCACAAGCTAAGAAAAGCAAATAAAAAAGCTATACATTATTTTGGCTACATTTTTTATACACTAGCTAGGTTTTTTTTACAACTGTTTGTTTGTATATGTTTAAAATGGGAGTAAAACTATTCCCACGTCCCACTTTATTTCTGTTTCTGGAATCCTAAATTGAGAATAAAAGCTGTAGTTGTACGGTATTTTTCTAAACCGACATCCACCTTGAGGACTGAATGCTTTCCGTTTACATGTAACCCCAGGATAAGAATTTTAGTTTGTTGTTTTAAGAGAGGCAGCCAATCTCTTCACATTGGAACCATCTGAATTCTCCTCATGCCTTTGCTCTATATCAGAGCAATCTCCTAAATTAGTTCCAGTATGTTGACATTCCTTCCATCTGGTGTCTTTCCATAAAGTGGTATTTTTATTACCCTCCTTACAGCAGCAGACAGAAGTACCTTTGCAATGATACAAAGTGGTCTTTTATTAAAGGTCAGCCAAATCAGAGCAGCAAGTGAGTTGGTCTTTAATTTTAGGGACAGATGACAGAATAACCTTCTCATTCAATAAAATCATCTGAAAACTACTCAGTTTAAAGAATATATATTTTTTTAAAAATACATCTGAATAATGGAAAACCATTCATAAGATCTAAAATCAGTTGTATGCCATCTACTCAGATCTAAGTGGAAAGCATTTCTAGGCCTTTGCTTTAAATTAAAGGTAAAGGGACGGTTAAGTCCAGTCGCGGACGACTCTGGGGTTGCGGGGCTCATCTCGCTTTACTGGCCACGGGAGCCGCTTCTGGCGAACCAGAGCGGTGCACGGAATCGCCGTTTACCTTCCCGCCGGAGTGGTACCTGCTAGATTGGCAGGAGCTGGGACCGAACAACAGGAGCTCACCCCGTCGCGGGGATTTGAACCGTCGACCTTCTAATCGGCAAGCCCTAGGCTCTGTGGTTTAGACCACAGTGCCACCCACGTCCCTTTGCTTTAAATTACACTGATATAAGAAAACAACCAAAAAAAACTTTGTTAAGTAAGTGATTAAATTGCAGGAGTCTTAAGTTAAAGACACACAGACAAATATTTTCCCTGTTAACACATACTATCCAACTCCAATAAAACATACTAAGTTTAAGCATAATTTTAGGGGAGAAATGAGAATGGTGCTATTTAGCCAACCAAATCAAGCACAACACACACACACACACACACACACACACACACACACACCTACCTTTTTGTACTAGCATGATCTTTGCCAGTTTACCCAATCATATAATCCAGTTTACTGGATTTAAGCTGGAAGCTATTAAAATTGCATTGCATGTGAAGTCCACCCCACTAAATCTGAGTGTACTTGAGCTACAGTGTGGCTATTCTAATCTTTAATTGTGGCCATAAAGGATATTCTCCTTACTTTGAGAATCAGAGACTGCCTCAACTAAATGCAGAATACTGTACTGGGTTATATGGATTTTCCTGCCTCCCACCGCCCCCCAAAAAGGCAGTTGGGAATGTTCCAGTGATTCGTTTGGCTAGTGCTGCAAATATTTTGAATTAATAATTAATGATGGATCCCATCATTACCCAGATCCTGTCTGGGTAATAGAAAGGATACCTTCCTGCATTCTGTTATACTGCTTATTTCAGAGATTCCTGAAGCAAGAGAAATATGTGAATGGGGCCTAGCTCTAGGAGGCCCATGCTGGGTCACAGTGTATAACATAAAAAGTATATTTAGAAAAGAACACAAATTCTTTTGTGTTAGCTGTGTGTTGTGCTAGCTTTCCCCCCCACTTTCATAGCCTGGCCTCCTTACAACAAGTGAGTATTATTTAGGTGTTAAAGTATATTGAATGCAAGGAAGTCAAGGACTATGGAGCGTGAAGACTCTGGAGGTTAGTTTAGTTTATATTACTTCAATTTCCAATCACTAGCCTCTAGGAAAATCTATATTATAATCTTGGGTGTTATCAAATGTCAACAATGGAAATAATATAGCTAAAGCCAAAGGCTGAAATAAAAAGGAAGTGGGTTAGATAACTGTAGTTAGATGGTGTTGCTAATGATAAAGTAACAAAATCAAACAATTGGCATTCTGCATTGAATACACTGAGGACAATGTCAAAAGTTCCCACATCTTTGCTGTTTTTATATACACATTTTAGTCAGTTAGAGAAAGGACACTTCTGCATCAGACCATGGGCATTCAGAGAGGAATGGTATATGGTTTTTTCATTTTTAAAATATAGAATGGCAATAGAAAGAATTACATTCAACATGCCATCCCCATATAAATTACAGTGGTGCCTCGCAAGACGAAATTAATCCGTTCCGCGAGTGTCTTCGTCTAGCGGTTTTTTCGTCTTGCGAAGCAACCCTATTAGCGGCTTAACGGATTAGCGCTATTAGCGGTTTAGCGGCTATTAAAGGCTTATCGGCTTAGCGGATTAGCTGCTAAAAGGCTATTAAAGGCTTAGCGGCTTAGATAAAGGGGGGGGGAGCGAAAAAAATATCTCAAGACTCGCAAGACATTTTCGTCTTGCGAAGCAAGCCCATAGGGAAATTCGTCCTGCGAAGCAACTCAAAAACGGAAAACCCTTTCGTCTAGCGGGTTTTCCGTCTTGCGAGGAATTCGTCTTGCGGGGCACCACTGTAATGAGCCTGGTACTTTATACATACATTCCATTTATGTGAAGTAGTCTTCAGTCTGTTAAATGATCTACATCTCAACCCCACTGGGTACCTGGACAACTGTTTCCACAGAGCAGTACCGTGTGACTTCTGCTTAGTTCCCTGGCAGTAATGCTGCAGGGTCCCCCCATGTTGCCCCCATTGTTATTTGACATCTAAGCCACTGGGTATGGTAATCATAGAGTTTGGAGATCAGTGATATCAGTCACTGCACTCTATGGAGGGCTACCCTTAAAGATGGTAAAGAAACTGCAGCTAGTCCAGAATACCACCCCAGGGTATGAAGGAGTCCTCCAGTGCAGAGCCATCTTACACTGGTTTTAGATTATCTGCACTGGCTGCCTATGTTACCATGCCCAATTTAAGTTGTTATTATTAACATGCCAAGCCCTGAAGAACTTAGGACCTAGGTATTTGATGGAGTGCCTCTCTCCATATCAACCTGCTCTGGTGGGAAAGGGTGGGTGGGTGTGCTTCTTGCAGTCCCATTTGTTGCATGTTGCATGCTGTATTGGGACCAAAGACAGGGCATTTTTTATTATCATGCCCAGACTCTAGAATGTGCTCCCTGAGAATGGGTGGCAACACCATTGAGGGGCTTCCATTGCCTAATCAACACGTTTCTTTTCATTCAGCACTTTGGAGATTCTGGTTGGTTTGCTCTAGCGGTTGTAATTGCTTGCATTGTGATATTGCTATTTTATGGCTTTTAGTTGTATTTTGTTTTAATGGTTGGTGTTGTTGGTATCATCATTAGTATCCCAGCTTTCTCTAGTGTGGATCCTAAGACAATGTACATAGAGGCTCCTAGGCAGACATTGCTTATTCTTCTCCAGGCATTGATCTGAGCCAGACTAGCTTAACCTTAGCAAGGTTGCTGCACCAAATGGTTTCAGACCATGCTTTGAGACTTACAAATTACTTCCAGATTTGGTCTTTGCCAAATCTGGATTACACTCTTGCATTTACTCTTTTGCTCAAAGCATAAAAATTCAGATACAAAATTATGGGGGTATGCATTTCTGGCAATTTGGTTTTACATCTTCCTGTGACAGTAGCATACTGGATCTCGTATGGCTGATTACGGTGGTACCAAATCCAGCAAAGTGTGGTTTATTCATCATGTGAACGTAGGAGCAGTCTCACAATAACGGGAATATTTATCAATCCACTACAAGGCCAGGACTTCAGATTTGAATTCATTTCTGCTGTACCATTTAGCACATATTAGCTTCTTTAAACATTTATTTTTCACACAGCCATCATACAATGGAACTAAGAAGGACATTTCCAGGGCTGAAAGGATTCTAACTGCTAGTATGGCTGTGTAGGAATAAGGAACTTCAGGCTACATTTGTTTTCAGGTTTTAAACTGAAATAAAGTGCTGCCAGATGGGACATTATTCTGAGGTTAGCAAGTCCACAGAATAATGTTTCTGCTCAAAAAAATTTAACTCTTGAACATACAGATTTCAGGGGGTAAAAGGTAAAAAGAGCTTTGCTTTTTAAGTTAAAATTTATGTTCTGAAAATCAGAACACTTCTGGAAAAGTCAGCTTAATCTACTCAGTCCTTAAAAAATTATTTGAAAGCACTTCCCTTCCAGCTGCAGTCAAAAGGCTGCCAATTAGAGTCCTGTGGAGAGGATGGAATTTCTCCTGACTCCTAACTGTGGATCTGCCTATTGCAGATAATCCAGGAGATAAATTCATTTTGATCAAGTTACAAAAGGAATTCTGAAACAAGAAAGCCTGTTTACATACATGTGGATTTTGGCCACCATTGAAAACGGGTGGTTTGTATTGACATTGAGTTGACAAATGCAGAGGTTAATCACCTTTAGCCAAACAAGGTCAAAAGGGTACCCAAACATGGATCCTGTTTAAGGAAAGCAAGTGTTTGGAATCTTGATATAAAAACCTTACAGCAAAAAATAGTGCTCACACCAGCAAGTCTCGATACATCCATTAACCAGTAGTCGTCAATGTTTCCAGATGCAGAACCATAGAATCACAGAATCATAGAATCACAGAATCATAGAGTTGGAAGAGACCACAAGGGCCATCGAGTCCAACCCCCTGCCAAGCAGGAAACACCATCAGAGCACTCCTGACATATGGTTGTCAAGCCTCTGCTTAACGACCTCCAAAGAAGGAGACTCCACCACACTCCTTGGCAGCAAATTCCACTGTCGAACAGCTCTTATGTCAGGAAGTTCTTCCTAATGTTTAGGTGGAATCTTCTTTCTTGTAGTTTGGATCCATTGCTCCGTGTCCGCTTCTCTGGAGCAGCAGAAAACAACCTTTCTCCCTCCTCTATGTGACATCCTTTTATATATTTGAACATGGCTATCATATCACCCCTTAACCTCCTCTTTTCCAGGCTAAACATGCCCAGCTCCCTTAGCCGTTCCTCATAAGGCATCGTTTCCAGGCCTTTGACCATTTTGGTTGCCCTCCTCTGGACACGTTCCAGTTTGTCAGTGTCCTTCTTGAACTGTGGTGCCCAGAACTGGACACAGTACTCCAGGTGAGGTCTGACCAGAGCAGAATACAGTGGCACTATTACTTCCCTTGATCTAGATGCTATACTCCTATTGATGCAGCCCAGAATTGCATTGGCTTTTTTAGCTGCCGCGTCACACTGTTGGCTCATGTCAAGTTTGTGGTCAACCAAGATTCCTAGATCCTTTTCACATGTACTGCTCTCAAGCCAGGTGTCACCCATCTTGTATTTGTGCCTCTCATTTTTTTTCCCCAAGTGCAATACTTTACATTTCTCCCTGTTAAAATTCATCTTGTTTGTTTTTGCCCAGTTCTCTAATCTGTCAAGGTCGTTTTGAAGTGTGATCCTGTCCTCTGGGGTGTTAGCCACCCCTCCCAGTTTGGTGTCATCTGCAAATTTGATCAGGATGCCCTTGAGTCCATCATCCAAGTCGTTGATAAAGATGTTGAACAAGACCGGTCCCAAGACAGAACCCTGTGGCACCCCACTAGTCACTCTTCTCCAGGATGAACCAACCTTCAACCTATCCCATGCTAGGAGCTGAAGTCCAGTAGTACTTGAAGGGCCATAGATTCTTCATCTCCACCCAATGCCTTCTAAAACAAGGATAGGGAACCTTTGGCCTTCCAGATGTTAATGGGTCCTGTCTCCCATCATCCCTGGCCATTGGTCATACTGTTTAGGACTGATGGGAGTGGGCGTCAAACAGCTGGAGGGTCAGTTTCTCCATTCCTGATGCAAAGGTTACATAAAAGCTCTCTCTAGGATAAACTACTGGCTGATGAATCAATGCAAAAAGATTACAGTATTCCTTCAAATGTTTAAAGAAAAGAATGCTGCTTAAGAATTCAAGAGGGGCTGAGGCTGCTATATTTTGAAAATAATGAAATATATGACAAAACTCATTCACTGTGTAAGAAGAAAGCTGTACTTCTGTACAGCTGTACGACCATATTTTCTGCTCCTGGGCTAATAATTAAGGTGGTGAGGAAAGGGTTTCTTTGACATGTGTTCTTTTATTTTTGCTTATCTTTAAATGTACAGCCATTTCCTATGTTGTTATGCACACCACTGAAATCAGTAAGATTGGCCATGCCCAACTCTGCATGGATTCAGACTGTTCAGTAGTTTAACTGCACGGGAGAGACACACAACTGCAGCGCTGTGTGTGTGTGTGTGTGTGTGTGTGTGTGCGCTTGGGTAGTTCCAGTCTACATTCAGAAAAATGTGCTCCATTTGCAACCCTTGTGCTGGCGCAGAAGTCCTCCCTTTCCCTGTTTAGAAATTCTATTAAGATTTTATTTAATAAAAAAGTCAGATATTCATCTCCTTTCAACTAACAGAACATGTATTTGAACAACTCAATATGTGATACTGCAACATGATTCCAAGCAATTCCTTGTTTAAATCATTGGCATCAGCTGTCAGAATAGGGTTTCCATTAAGCCTGTATGAGTTTTAACTGATTTACGTAATAGGTAAAGCTTTAATTGCAGGTTAAAATATGCCCCTTTCCCATTATTCATCAGTGTGGCTGAGTCACAAAAGTATACCTCCACTGAGGCCCAAAGACATGCCAATTCCCTCCTCAGTGCACCACATTTGATTAAAGAGAAACTTCATGGTGGCCTTTCTTCTCAATCTGCATCTAACGCTAGCAGATTATTTCACACTTAATGGTATTTCTGGTCAGCAATGAATGACAGTTTTTGTTTATTAAATACTAGCAACCGCAGACTTGCTCAAGTCTAAGACATCAAAAAATCCATGCAGTTCTGAAAAGTTCAGTCTGCTATCTTGATTCAAAAGGATGCTCAGCTGTACCCAGACTTAGATGAAAACTTGTTCTGTGATCTCAGGAACCATTAGGAAAATTTTGGTTACAATATCATCATCACCATCACCATCATATATTCATCATCATTTATGAAATTTATACACCACCCTTCAGATGAAGTTCACAAGGCAGTTTACAACATAAACAAAATAAAAACTCAAAATGCATAACAATAATCTAGAGTGAGATCACCTCATTTACTTATGAGACACTGAATACGTAATCAGTGCCAGATTTTGCATCACAGTTCCTCTGCCAGCTATATAGTGACAAGATGCTTCCATGACAACTACCTATTACACTTTTGCCAGAGTAACCTGACAAAATGGAAATGCAACAGTAATGGAATAGAATGCTTTTGAATGGAGCGTCCTGGTGGTGGAGCTGGGAAAAAGATCCTATTAACCTAACCCCCCACCTCCTCAGGTAGAGAAGCAAAATGAGCACTTGATTTTCTTCCTACAGGTTCCCAAACACCATAACGACTGGTATACATCAACCATATCAACACAGTGGAATGGAAAAGATGTTTTACTACATTAATATTCGTGTACAATGAACTTTTATGATATTAAACAAATAAGCACATTTTCTTACAAGTAGGTAGGAAAAAAAGGTTATAGAGAACCCCTGATGTAAAAGGAAATAAGAAATTTAGAACTGAATGAGTAAATGGTACAGATGATGAAAAGAATACCAGTCACTAACCTTCATATATAGTGATGATATGAGGATGGCTGAGAGATGACATGATCTCAATCTCCCGTCTGATGTGAACCATATCTTGTTCATCCTTAATTTTGTCCTTACGGATGGATTTTATTGCAACCTATAAATTCAGGAAATTGAGTATTACTCTTGGAACAAAGCAGATGAAAGTAATCCATTAGGAGACCCCAGAAAATGAATACAGATGTTAGATGCTGGCAAAATATGGAATGAGCAAAATAAAGTTTACAATACATGCCCACAACCCTTTCCTTTTGTATCATGACAAATACAACCCACGTTTTAAGAGCTAGTAGTACTGGATCTTTATTTGCATAGCCATTCATTTCTACAGACTGCATTTTCAAAGCACATGCAGAGTAAGTGTACTCATGGTCCAAATTAAGTTAGTGTTAGAAGATAATGGGGACAAATTTAGGCCAAGCTAACTCTTGATGTAAACTTATCAACCTAAGTGTGTTAGAAGTGCTAAGAGCACATTATGATTTGCAGTGTATTAACTCTAAATGATGATAAATGCAGAATAAAAAGTGAACATGAGACACTTTAAAATTAATTGTGCATTTTAACCAATGGGGAACTTTATTCTGTCTACAAGAGTGGGTGATTGCAATGCCATTTGTGAAAATGCCCTAAGTTGGCTCCCAGTATGTTTCCGAGCACAATTCAAAGTGTTGGTGTTGACCTTTAAAGCCCTAAACGGCCTTGGCCCAATATACCTGAAGGAGCGTCTCTACCCCCATTGTTCTGCCCGGATGCTGAGGTCCAGCGCCAAGGGCTTTCTGGCGGTTCCCTCACTGCAAGAAGCAAAGCTACAGGGAACCAGGCAAAGGGCCTTCTCAGTAGTGGCGCTGCCCTGTGGAATGCCCTCCCATCAGATGTTAAAGAGATAAACAACTACCTGACATTCAGAAGACATCTGAAGGCAGCCCTGTTCAGGGAAGTTTTTAATGTGTGATATTTTGGTGTATTTTTGGTCTTTGTTGGAAGCCACCCAGAGTGGCTGGGGAAACCCAGCCAGATGGGTGGGGTACAAATAATAAATAATAAATTGTTGTTGTTGTTGTTGTTGTTGTCGTCAGAAATAATGTTTTATAGAACAGTTACAGCATTTGATGAAATTGTTTTATCACCTGTTTTGCTCCTAGGTTATTCAAAGCTATTGCCCTTTTCAAAACTGGCAATTAGTTTGCACAATACAGCTGAGTGGTAAGTGTTGGTCTGGAAAACCAACAAGATCTATTAAAGGAAGATGGGCATGTATATCTATTGTTGGCTATCTTTAGAAACTACAACTGGTGCAAGATATTGTGATCAGGGTGCCGACAACAACCCATATTTAGAGCAAACCACTACTTTATAACCCTTGGCTCTTGGTTTATCTTGGACCCAATTCAAAGTGCTGGTTAACATATTTAAAATCTCCAGTTCCCACATTCTCCAAAATGCTCTTCACCTTAATTTCTCTTTGGATTTCTGAATTTGATTTATCCAGTCATATTACTGAAGTAGAACTGGTATATCAGGAATTATTCATAGTTTTGTTTATCACAAGAAAAATCTTGGTGCACATAACATTCAAATTGCTTTTTAAAAGTATGTAACAAGTACAAGAGAATAAGTGCTGTTGTGTACATTGATTAAATACCACAAACATTAATGTGATTGTACATACAGCTGTATTAATATTATTTTGTGATATTTATTAACACATGTTCCTGCAATGAGCAGGGTGTTGAACCAGACAGCTGACATGTTCCCCTCCAGCCATATGGCTGCATCAGTAAAATACTGCATCAGTAAAATACTGCATGAAAAGAATATTAATGTAGTCTTGCATACAATCACATAAAAAATGTCCCGTCCCATCCCTCCACAATGCTTTATCCAAGTGCACAAGCACATCTGTAACACAGAATGGAGAAAAATGTAAGAGAACTAGAAGCTGGGGTAGACTTTGCATGCTCCAATTCCAAAATTAAGCTTGGACATTTTTCAAATTAAACCAGAATCAAGGAGGTGTGCCCCAGAGGGAGGAGTGAACTACAGGAACAACAAAGGATAGGAAGAATCCTATATTCCTAATTACTGTACAATGAAGCATGGGTGCCTTGCAAATGCATGTGTATCTCTGGTTCTTACCCTGTCTCTATTATCACTCCCTCCCTCACTGCGAAAATTCAGACTGAAAGCTCCTTGTGGCAGGACCCTTATTTGCATAACATCTTGTACACTGATTATGCAGCGTAAGTAAAAATATCAGTAGCAATATGACCTACCAACTCAAGATCAATTTCCATCATAATCTTCTTAACAAGCAACGCTCCCCCAAGCTAAAATAATTATTTGCACTTACGATTCCAGAATGAACTGAAAAAAATTCTAGATGCCCTCATTACTCTTTGAACCCTACATTTCATGTTCTCTGCATCACTTATGCAATCATTCAGTAGCCATATCCTTCCTGCATCCTTCCTAAATCATGGGAGTAGATGTCTTTCCAAAAGGAACTGTGGGAACAGAGGAAACAATAGCCAAACTTGAATCACAAATTCACAGGCTAAAAGCCACATGGGACTGTGTGTTCCCAGTGAAAGACAAGCTACAGAGATCAAATCAGGCAACATGATGGAACATGAACCATCCACACAGAGTATGAATGCTAGCAGGTATCCATCACTATATGAAGTCCTTGCGTGTCTGATTTGCTTTAAATTGTAAAACGTTAGAACACAAAGATGTAATCTTTTTAAGACTGAATGAAAAGACTTTGGAGAAGCCTCACTATATCTTACAAGTCCCGCCTTCTATTTGGTCATGGAAATCATCCTATTAGAAATATTTGTTTTATTTACTACATTTCTATACGGTTTAATCATTGGCACTCCTAAGCGGTGCACATAAAAGCCTCTGTTGCATAACTCGAACAGCAGGATTTGTTGTTGGGATATATTGATTTATTGAATCTATTTAAAAAGCAAGGCCAGATGTAGAACTTGGTTGCAAAAGACTCATGGGCACCTATTGCATAAGACGTATGTGCAATAATATGTTTTGTGATTTTTCAGTTTTATTTAAACTTTTTTTATATAAAAAAAAGAAAAAACCTTTAGATGTTGAGTACTGGCCTACAACATCAATGAAGCTCAGAAATTCACTAATGTACTCCTTCCATGTTGTTTTAAAAGTGGAAGATATTAACAAAGCTTGCTGCAATCCCCATCATATGGCAAGCCTTACTTTTTTAAAGACTTTTTAAGGCTGTATCTCCCCCTCTTTAACACTAAAGTTGATCATCACATTTTTGAAAAGAAAGTGGCAAAGATTGAGTACTTTTATTTATTCCCAGCATAAATACACTTATCCATCTTTAGCAAGATTTCCCCCCCCCCTTGCTTCATGAGGAACTAACAGAAAGCGGCTAGTATTGCATTAGTACTAGAAGTGCTAAGAGGAAAGTTGGGGGAGGAGCTTTCATATGGAAAGGTCTAAAAGTTAAGCTATTTCTTTCTTTCTTAAAGCAAAGCTTTGGCTTAAAGGATCTGCTGAGCAGCCTTCTTTTTAGCAAGGCTGGATGCAATTTTAATCATGGTAAGAAGGAGGAACAAATGCTTAAGAAATTCCAAAGGGTTGGAAGGCAGTTTCAGCTGGCAAACAAAGCTTGGCTTTTCTTTCTCTCATTTTGTTCCTCGGGAGAGGCTGCAAGTGCATATATGCTCTGCATGAAAGAAGGATGTGGGTGGCTTTTGGACCAGCACAGGCATTCCTGGGAAAAATAAATATAGACATTGATAAAAATATGCTTAGTATTAAACAGCCCTGCATTTGGCTCTCGAAAAGAATTTCAAATGGACCTTGTTGTCAAACACATAAGGGAGCAAATTCTTCACCATCTAGGGTCAGCGGGGGAATCATACCATCCAGTGAATGCAAAACAATGCATCTGGGTCCAGGCCAAATAGGACCAGCTTATAGGAGAAAGCTGCATAAACTGGATACTCTACCAAACACACATGCACACAAAAACCAACCCTCATTCTGAAAAGACATAATCAAAATGATATTCATATAACTGTTATTTTTACAAACCCTTCCTTTTTTAATGCAGTTATGTTGTCTATGGTCCTGATTTTCATTAAGAGTAAGACTCATCCTTCAATAGAACCAAGGCAATACAGTACTTTCGTTTCCATTTTCAATAAATAAATAAAACGTATCTGTGACTGCTGAGGATTTGATCCAACTATTTAAAATCACTTTTATTGAGACATGTACGCATATTCACCTATAACTGTAAGGTCTGTAATGGCTTCAGCTACGCAAATAAAAATAATATTTGTAAGTGTAAGGGTGCCCTTCAGATTATTATGGTGCTTTTAATAGTCATAGAGCACTACAAGATTCAAATGTGTTTTATTACAATATCAAAACATTAAGGAACTTTCTTGTAAGCACCATAAATACCACTAACAGAATTCTGTTTATGAATGAATTTTAACACAAATACTTTGAGAATAAAGAATCCTTTCAAAAGTATGTTTATACTTTAATACCAGAGATTTTGCAACCTTCATTTGTTGACATCTCAGTGATGGGATTGATGCCAGGAGCTATTCATAATGGACGTGTCTCATGTAAACCTAAGTAGCTATTATTGTCTTTAAGGAAGACATCTTGTGAAAGTGTTTGTTCATCAAGCAGATTCTTTCTTGGAGAACAATTAATTTAGACTATTCATCACAACTTTTAAAAAAAGATTGAAGTGGCAAAAAATTGCTTTTGTTAGGCCGCCCGTACTATCTACTCAAGCCTCTACAAGACAAAGTGCTGTTCTGCACCTGTAGGAAGCACAGAATATTGCTTATGTTTTTAATTTACCACTGCCACAAGAAATTCTGTCCTCTAGAAACTCAAACATTAATCAGAACAGAATCACTAATGCGAATACTTTTTGACTCAGTGAAGGGCAAGAGCTTACAAGGTTCTATATCCTCCTATGCACTGAACAGCAAAAAAAAGACCAATAATAAAGTGGGAACTAATAAAGTTATTTTATTTTTTTTTACTTTGATTTGTTTTCATTTTCATTTGCGATATAGAGATAACTGGCTATATATCTGCACATTCTTAGAGCCGTTCTTGCATATTGTAGGATAACCCACTCACTCACACATACCACTGATCTCTAATGAAATCATGCAGTGGAGCTTTTAAAGAAGTTTGTGCTGTGACAGTAATAACCAAGAAACCTCAGGAATCATTTAATTACAGTCTCAAATTCATTTGTCTAGTCAAATAACAAAATTTCCATTTAGCCTCATCTGGGCATGGAATTTACTATTTTTGTCATAGGAGGATCTATTTATTTTTTAATTTTAAGAGCAAACAGCTCATGCTAAACCACATGGTGGCTTCGCTACAAACATCTTATGAGCACAGGACAGGGAGGAGCCTGCTGCCGCAGTGCCACTGTCCCCTCTGTGCATGTTCATTTTACTGTGGCTCAAAGTCTGAAAGGGTTTTATGTCCCAACCTAACCTACATCACAATATTAGATGCTTTCAAGCATTTACTTGAACATGCTGGGTGAACAAGAGGCAGGGGTGTGAATGCAAGCCCCATCCCCAATATACCTATGCAATATTCCTCTTGCTCAGTCCCCAACTTTCCCCAGTTTGGGTGGGGTAGGTTTGCAGGGGACTTGTACTCACAATTCCTTGAATGTGCACAATTCCTAGAACTGTGCACAATCAGGGACACTGGCCTGATAAAGGAGGGTCCCTGACTGTGCTCCACTCATGTTCGTGCAAGTGCAAGTGCAAGCCCCCACTCAACATGGAGAAGACTGGAGACAGCGCACACAGAGAGATGTTGGGAAGAAGGCGGGTTTAGGGTCTTGCCCACGGGTCTTTGGGGCCCCCACAACTATGGTGTAGAATGGAAGGCGAGAAGAGGGGATGACAAATTTTGGCACCATGCCATTGAAATTTGAGACACCAAGGTCTGCCACTGAATAGGGCTTGCAAGCATGCCCCCTGCCTCAATAACCCCATGGATATTGCCATGAAGAAAAATGGAATATAAACTGAAGCAACAATCATGACAGTGGTTACCTATCTGAGACACTGTAGTAGTGGGTCTTCTGTCTCAGCAGTGATTTGACCAGATGACATCTAAATCCCCAATTCACTCCACGATCTGACAAGTGAAGGCATACTGATGCAATGTCTCCATGTCATTTTAAATTTTTGGACTGAATGATTTCAATAAATTAACTGAGATAGTTATACTGTTTTTGTTTTGTTTGTTTGTTTTAGTTTATAAAAGAAATGTTGGAAAATATGAATACATTTCACACGGCTACATTTTTGTTTATGGCTACAAATGGTTTGCAGAGTTATAAATATTTCATGGCTTGCTCAAGGCAGTTCCAAAAGTTTATGCGCATTTAGTGCTATTGCAGTAAGAAACATTCCTCTCCTTTTAGACTTTCCATCTTACGGGCCAGGAGTAAACAGAATTTAACCTTGAAGACACTACAGTGAAAAAGAAAACGTTTTAAACTTCCCTGCATTTCCCTAACACCCTACACAACTTCCCCTATGGAAGTTGTGGGTTTTAAGCTGATTTGTCTTGTTGTTGAAAAAATAGCGGTGGGATCTAAAGGGAATTTCAACCTGTTTGTGCTGCAGTAAATTAGCCTAGAAGGGAGTGGGATGAGGAAATGTAAGAGGAAGAACATAATCCCTTGACGGAGGAAAGTATGCAACTGTCAGTGTGAAACATGTTAAAAATGCATCATACAAAGAGCTTTAAAAAAAACCCCGATTAGTCTCATAGCAGCTCCTTCACCATATATAGATATTACTACTTATATATTTATGTTTATTTATAATCCTCGATTCTCTCATTAATTTACACTGCAGAAGTACAGCCATCCTAGCACTGAATGCCAAGCTGCGTTGAACCAAAAGTCATACAGGGCTGCCATACATCCGGAATTTCCTGGACATATCCGCGATTTGTTCATTGAAAATAGTGTCCAGGCGGAATTTCTGAAAATTGGTAAAAATGTCTGGGGAAACCATGTATGTCAATGTCCTAAAAAAAAAAAAAAAAACTCAAAAACTTATTTTTTCTTTTTAGAGTTTGTCCAAAGTTCACTTTTTAAAATATGGCAACCCTACTTTAAGGCCAAGATGGTTTAAGGAGCTCTCTTTTACTAGAGAGAATAAAGATTTCAAGAGTTAAGGCCAAGATAGTTCGATCATTTAAAATATTTACTGTTCAGACCATCTAAGCCAGATCATCTCCATGGCAATGCAACCTCAGCAAGAATCATGCAGCTAAAGTCAAATTAGTTATTTATAAGTGGCCCAATCCCATTGTTTAGAGTAATAATCAAGAAAGTTACTATACAGTGTTTCACACCAAGCTATCAGTGGGGCAATTTGTAACCAAAAAGATCCTGCTGATTTAAACCATGGGATCCTGTCTTTTAAAGACTTGCTGTTCCTTTCTTTTTCAAGTTACATACTGCATATTTGCTCTTTTCGTTACATTTGATATATTTTGTCTGATGAGGCCTACAACACTGAAGGGAAAGCACAGATGAAACTGCAGAGGAAATTGTACAATTATTATGTTTTCAAAGTTTTAAAAGTGTCTTTTTTGTTGTTGAAGAACTGCAGATACATTTTTGAGTGTTGGAGCTAGACTTACAGTGCAATGCTAACTATGTCTACTCAGAAGGAAGCTCTATTGAATACAGTGATTCTTACTCTCAGGAAAGCAGGGGTATGTTTGCAGCTTCCTAAGCTGGTTACATGGGACACGGGTAGCGCTGTGGTCTAAACCACTGAGCTTGCTGGTCGGAAGGTCCGCGGTTTGAATCCCCGCGACGGGGTGAGCTGCCAACCTAGCAGTTCAAAAGCACGTCAAAGTGCTAGTAGATAAATAGGTACTGCTCCAGTGGGAAGGTAAACGGCGTTTCTGTGCGCTGCTCTGGTTTCTCCAGAAGCGGCTTAGTCATGCTGGCCACATGACCTGGAAAAACTGTCTGCGGACAAACACTGGCTCCCTCAGCCAGTAAAGCGAGATGAGCGCCGCAACCCCAGAGTCCTTTGTGACCGGACTTAACTGCCAGGGGTCCTTTACCTTTACCTTTAAGCTAGTTATACACGTACAACTGACATCAGTGCAAAAAGCTAGTCTAGGTTATCTTAAACCCCATAATTTCAAGGGGAATTAAATACAACTAACTTAGTCTGTATCTCACCTAATAAATATAAATGAAACTGATGTTTCCAAAGATTGTTTGTAGCCCATGGCATCAACAAGCAATGAAAAAATAATATACGTACATGGGCCTGAGGAAAGTGATTCAGCCACCTTAGAGTTTACTTGTATACCAGGTGACCAGATACTGTATATTATCTTTCTTTTCAAATCACTGCAGACAATACATAGACACAACTACAAGAATCTGCTCCACAGTTTAGTTTCCCAATACACCGTTTTAAAAATATCATTTCCTAAAACGAAAGCTAATTTACTGCTACTGTGACACTGCTTGCAAAGGAAAGCAAGCAAGCTGCCTTCTCAGACACCAAAAGGCCTGAATGCGGATGATAAATGTCAAATCAAAGTTTTATTTGCATTAACTGATACACTCTGAGCTTGTGCCGAGAACTAAGATGCTTCTAAGTGTATGCATTTCACTTTTGCACTGCCAGTTTCTCTGGCTGTAAGTAACATTATCCTATCAACAGTGGTGACTCAGCAACAGAAGAGGAATTAGTGAGTGAATAAGAGGGAGATTTTCCTCCCTGTTATACACAGATTCAAAAGCTATTCTGTGTAACTGAACCAGGCACTCGGAACAGAGGATTTATGCTGCGCTCCCAAAGGATGGGAGGTACATTTGTAACTCCCTTCCTACCCTCTGCCCTCACCCTTAGGTGGTAACAGGATTTGAGTACGTACTTCCTAAGCATTGCCCTGCTGCCAGAATTACATCCCCTCATTGTTTGGTACTTGCCATATTTTGCAGACAGGGCTTTTTTTTTTCAGAACACACCCTCTAGGGAAAGGTTTAACTAATAAAAAATATTAATTGCAAGTAATCCCAGAAAGCCAAGCTCTGCCTAAACAACTCCTAAGAAACAACTGTCTTTATTGCTTATTTAAGTAAAGTATCCAGTTCTTTAAAGATGGGAATGGCCAAAGTGTTTTCTGTGTATTGCCAGCCGTATGGCTTGAAAGAGAAGGTATTTGAGTTGACATTATTAGTGGTGCTCCTCCAGGTGAGCTCAATCTGGAGTCATATTTATTGTGCTGTATGAGAAACACTGCCATTTCTTCCTGTATTACATCTGTGCTTTAGATAAATCAAAGGCACAAGTCAGTACAGCTCTCAAATTAGCATTATTTCAAAGAAATAATCTCAGGTTTGTTTGAGGGAAAGAAAGTGGTAGTAACTGAAGAGTTGTCAGAACAGGGGGGGTGCAGGCTTGTCACCTAGAACCAGGTGACCCCTTTGCAGATGGAAGCAGGCCCATCTGCCCTGATGGAGTGTGCATGTTTGCAATCTCAACATTCCCAGAAGGCAAACGAGTACACACGTCATCTTTAAAGTCTTGGTGGGAGGGACAGGGTAACATGTTGGAACATCTTTGTTGCTTCTGCCCTGTTCCGAACATGCCCTGCTCCTGAACGCTGATTCCTGAACACTTTGTCTGCTGCCGAGTCTGTACTGTTGCCTGCCTCAGTAAGGTTCTCTTTTTTACTTACAAATAAGAGAATCTGCTTGTGCGTTTTGGGGTGGGAATCTGGACAGTGGCCATCATTACATCTTGTGGGAATGAATTCTACTAACACTTCCGTTCTGGCAGGAGGTCAGTAGATGGGTGGGAGAGGTGCTTAACTCATCAACAAAGAAAGGAAAAATTTCAGGGGACAGTTAAGGGTAAAGAATAAGCAGCCTCTCACACCAGTCAATTCTCCCAGCCTCCACCTTAGCACTGGGAGGGTTAGCACAGGTTTAGGAACCCCACGTTTCCCTTGTAATATCCAGCTCTGCAAAAATAATGTTTGGAACATAAACAGGTGTGCTTCAGTCTTGCATGATCTGTGTTGCTGATTTTTTTAAGTAAGGCCCCATGGTCTACCAACGTATTTTAAGTTTGCAAAGTAAGCATGCACACTCAATATCTATTAACAGTTAAAGCTGATAGGCAATAGAGTTTGGGACCTCTCAGGGATGGGCTCCTGCTTTATGAAATTCCCCACCACCAGCACCCCCCCCCCAAAAAAAACCAATACCCCATTATGTGGTTGGCTGCATTAGTTCAGGTTTTGAAGAAATGTTTGAATGCTCTCCTCTTTTCTCTAGCTTTTAATTGAATCTTTTATTGTATACGGTGCTGGAGTTTTTATAGTATTTTCAAGTGTATTGTGCACAGCCTTGTTTCATTTTGTTTTATTTATTGGCTTATTTTTCTATATTACCATATTTTTCACCCTATAGGACGAACTTTTTCCCCTCCAAAAATGAAGGGGAAATGTGTGTGCGTCCTATGGGGCGAATGCAGGCTTTCCCTGAAGCCTGGAGAGTGAGAGGGGTCGGTGCGCACCGACCCCTCTCGCTCTCCAGGCTTCAGGAAGCTATCCGCAAGTCTTGCAAGCCCGGCGGGAGGTCCCGCAGGCTCGCAAGGCTTGCTTCTCCCCCCCCCCGCCAGCCCCACAAGCTCACGGGATAGCGGGGAGGCGGAGCGCCGCCACCCCGTTATTCCCCGACCTGATCTGGAGGCTGGCGGGGGGGAGAAGCAAGCTTGCTTCTCCCCCCTGCCAGCCCCACAAGCTCACGGGATAGCGGGGAGGCGGAGCGCCGCCACCCCACTATTCCCGGACCTGGTCTGGAGGCTGGCGGGGGGGAGAAGCAAGCTTGGGGATGGCTGCGCAAAGCCTCTGCAGGGCAGCGGAGTGCGCTGCCCCACAGAGGCTAGGGAGGCTGTCCCTGAAGGCAGAAGAGGGAGACGGAGCGCTCCGTCTCCCTCTTCTAGCTTGGGGATGGCTGTGAAAACCTGGGGGGGAAATAAAAAATTTTTCCTTGATTTCCCCCCCAAAAAACTAGGTGCGTCCTATGGGGCGAAAAATACGGTAAGTTTTACATCTGCTGTACGCTGCCCCTCCTGATGTGGCAAAAGGGAGGAGGTAGAGGTGTGATTTGAGCAGCATGCACTAGCACATTTGCTTGATCCTAGTAAGCTATAGGCCGCTTAATGGTGGCTTAGCATTATGTGTGATCCAGACCAATTTTATCAACATGATGCATTTGGACCTTCCAGTTGCATCTCCGTCTCCATCCACACTGAACAAATGCAGGCTTCCTAGAATGTATACACACACCATACTTAGTTGATGGGTTTTGTTCATGCTTTGCATCAGGCTGTCACCTTCCCCAGGTTTCATTAGCTATTGGCCATAGTTTGCTTTTAATCTGCACCATGTGACGGTTTTATTTCCTTGCTTGAGTAAACTGTTATACAAGCTTGACACTATAATGCAACTGTCTGTTGCAGTGTGGACTGATATGCAGGAAGGGTAATCCTGTTTTAAGGGGTTGGACATGATTTTATTGGTCCCTGCCAACCTTATTATTTATATAAATGGTAGAAGGTCACACTGATAGAATCCAGAGCTCCTTCTCTCTTCTAGTAGCTATTAGTGATAAGGGGGGGGGGGGCATGCAGGGCTGCTGAAATTCTATGTACTTTGCTTAGTGCCAAGCTGGTAGGAGCACAAATTCAATATAAGTATGCTGGAAACTGCTGGTATATTTCCTAAGCCTGTAGCCAACAGGAAAGGGTTAGAAGACATTGTAATAATTTGAAAATATCTAATAGTTTATGCAGAGTCTTCTCTTTGGCTGTTACAAGACATCTCTGTCAGAACATCCAAAAATTGAACTACCATGTGTGATCCTGGGAAGAAGGGAAGAAGTCACCTGAAGCAGACAAAGTAGAGGTTCGGAGGAACTATGAATAGATTAAAAACCTTTCCGACAAATTACATCTTTCAAAGCAAATTCACATTTGAATGAATACAATTCCTTTCAAAAGGAGGTGGAGTTCAAAACTGGAATGGAACTGAAAACTGTTTCACAACTTTAACTATAAAGATGTAATTCTGACTTCAGCAAATGTTGACCAATACTGAGTGCAAGATCTGCTGAAAGGACAAAAGCTTTAGTTATATTTAACTTCCTGCAAAATTGCCAAACAGATGTTTATGTTTGGCTTCCACACTCGCTGGGGCTAAATGCAACATCAAACTAGGATTCCACAAAGTGTAGGTTCTTTCCATCCAAATAAGTTCTTAAGAAAGTAAAAGCAATGGCTGACATGTTTTATAACCTGGGTAGGGCTGGGAGATTGATCATGCCCACCCTGTTCTTTATGCCTCTTTTCATTATTTAAATACATTTCTAGTTACACAATAATTGTTAATGATCAGCTTCCTAATACATCAGACATTTTTATTCTTTTTTAAAAAAGAAATGCTTTCTAAATTTCACAAAAATTAACACAAAAATTAAAATCTTGGCAAATCAGAGAAAAGAAAAGTGAAATAATTCAAAAGTCTCTGGAACAGTTTTGTTTTGCACAGTTGCAGCACACCTTCCTGCAAAAGTCAAAACATAATTTCCTGGGCAATTATATACTCTGACTTTTCACCCACCATATAACAATGAACGTAATGAAAAAAGAAAGAATAAGTAAAGAAGTAACTCTGTAGGATATACTGATAACTCAGACTGGCCTATATATTCAGAAAAAATGAGGTGGAAATGTGGCTTTTTTAGTAATAGCATTATGGAATGTCCTTTCAAGGGAAGAATGCTTAACACCAACCTTTCTGTCTTTTACATGCCAGGAAAGAACCTTTCTAACTTACCCAAACTTTTAAAAGCAGTAACACTTTTAAAATTTCTGACTATCATTTGGCTTTTATCTGCTGCTCTTTTGTGCCTATTATTTACTCTTGTTTTGCATGTTTTAATTCTCATTAACTGTCTGGAAATGATGGATTAAAATATTTCACATAGAAAAATGAATGAATAAAATGGTATCTTCCCCCTTCCTCTGACCTGCAGTCTGAAGTGGTAAGCTGTACCACAGGGGTAGGGAACCCTGTGGTTCTCCAGAAGTTGTTATGGATCCCAACTCTCATTAGCCCCAGCCAATGACCAACGGTCAAGGACGATGAGGTGTAGTCAAGGGAGCTATAGCCAGCAACATCTAGGGGGCCACAGGGTCCCCACCCCAGACCTACCATGTCAGTATTGTACCATCTTGTTCTACTGTGTAGACCAGGCCACATCAGGGAAGCTGTATCTGCACACTGTGGATTTCTACTGTTTTTAGTTTTAAAAGATTACTTTCTAAGAAACATTCATATGTCTGGATCATCTATCGTTTTGTTAAAGAAGAAATCAAAAGAACATTACGAGGGCCACCTTGAAAATACAGTGGTACCTCGGGTTACATATGCTTCAGGTTACATACACTTCAGGTTACAGACTCCACTAACCCAGAAATAGTGCTTCAGGTTAAGAACTTTGCTTCAGGATAAGAACAGAAATCGTGTTCCAGCAGCGCGGTGGCAGCAGGAGGCCCCATTAGCTAAAGTGGTGCTTTCAGCTTAAGTACGGACCTCTGGAACGAATTAAGTACTTAACCTGAGGTACCACTGTACCAGAAGGAATGTATGACAGGAAGGGTACAGGGGCAACCCACACCTACCTTTTGCAATATATACCAAGGTCAAGCACAACTGGAGAAGGAGACTCAATATTCTAAGTCTTAAAATCTCTTTGCCAATCCCCCCCGCCCCCCACAAAAAAAGTTAGGCAGAACAACAGCAGCAACTCAGGCTTCCCACTTCACCCTGCCAATGACCTTAACACAGACTTGGATGTACCACCTTCCCCTGAGCGCAGAACAATTCCCTGCTCCGGCTACTCCAGCCAGAATTTCATTTCAGCAAATACCACAAATCATGTCATACTGTGTAGAACTATTTAAAAGCAGGGTTGTGCAATGTGAACTGTTCACTGCATGAGAATGAACCGGAGTCTGCCTAAGCTAGCCTCTTTCACTCCTTTGTTTTTTATTTAAATTATCCTGAAGATGTGGCCGCACTGTTGTTCGGAACTTTAAACAGATTTTCCTCTAATTGGAGATTCAGCCTAAACTGCAAAAGCAATTTAATGCTAAAATCAGCATCCTAACAAGAGAATAGTTTGGACATTTTTTTCCACATGTATTATCAGCTGTTTCCTAGAAATAGCAAGCCCCTGGCTCAACTAAAATGAAACCAAATCCGCTATGTGTAATGGAATTATAACACACTATACTAAGGAACTAACAGAACCTGGTAAAAACATATATTTTCATGCATTAACTTTTACATTCCTCTAACAAGCACATGGGATTAAGGCAAAAAAAATAAAATATAGACCATTTCCAATATAATCTTATCACCTTGGGGTTTTGGGTAGGAGGGATTAATAACTGTTTTATTTCTACAGTGTCTTCTCTAATGTACACACCCGTTTAAAAGCATGCCATTATCTGAATTAGCTTATATAACAGGATATAAAATGTCATGGCAGGTTTTGTTGGAATGGTAATGAGAAGAATTTGTGTGCTCAATGAAACAAAGATGCTCACTTCTGTGCCAAATATTCATTTGATGGCAATACTTCAAATAAATTATTCCTTATAACAACTAGACTGTCATATCCTACAACCACATCCCGAGCAACCACCCAGCTGGGCTCAATAAAGCTATTTTCCAATGTGCTGTATACACACACACACACACACACACACACACACACACACAAACACCCATACTTCCCAGATGTTTTCTGTGTAAAACATTTGGTTTCAAATGCATAGCAAGTCTTTCCAAAAAGCCATTACATTTGTTTAATGGACTCATACAGTTCAGCTAAAATATCCTGGAGCAGACATCTGACTGCATTTCTGCTCTATGAGCCCCATCTGCAAAAAGCACAAAGAGCAAATGAGAATGTTTTACATGATTTATGCTGCCTTTATGATCAGCCAGTTCATAAAGCACAAGCTTTGTTCAACAGACAATAACACAGACTGCTTTCAAGTGTGTCATTAAGTGTGTTTTTTTCTGTTTTAAGAAATACTTTCCATTCAAACAACGGGCCCAATTCTAAAGCAGTGGGATCCATGCAACTAATATCAGAATTTTACTTACTGCACCACCAAAAAAGTAATTTCCTGTTTTCTCTCCTGAGGATATCCAAGACAGATAAATTCATAATATCTATGGTGGCACATTTTTATTTTCACCAGAGGAAAGCTGGAGGAAGGAAATTTATAAAATACATAAGGAATTGTTAGTGTTAATCTCATTAATCCTCACAATAACTGTGAGGTAAATTACTACTCTTATTTTACAGCTGGGTTACTGAAATTTAAGGTTTATTCATTCCAGTGAACTCATGGATGAGTTTAATTTTAACTCTGCTCCCTGAACCATGTCTGACACCAGTCCCATGTTTATTTTAATTCTATATATATTTCACTGTAGATGGAAGACCTATGTGAAGAAATTCAAGTCCTTAATTATAACATCTTCCCCTCAAAAACTTGAAAGAGATTACTAAGCTAGTTCAGCTATCATGGCTAAACCATGGTTTACTGCAAAAGGAACCATAGCCTAATATTGGGCTTGTGTATTCCAGCACTTCCTTTCCAGTGCTGCCCCAAAGGAAGAGTTTGGAAATGTTCACTTCCATTTTTTAAATTAATACTAAATTATTTTATGAGACTTATATATCATCCTTCTTCACAAGACCAAGGGATGGCTATGAAAAACAAGTAACTTAAAACAGTCATCATCAAAATACAAACTCAATAAAATATAAAATAGCAACTTTTGCCAAGTTTCAGAGAAAAGCCACACCAAAGTTTCCTAGCTAGCTTTTGTTATCATAAAAGAGCTATCAAATATTTTCAGCATACTGGTATAGGTCCAAATGTCTTCCCTTACAAGTATCTTAAAATATTTTTGTGGTCAGGCAGCAATATTGTGTTTTCAGACGTATTTTATGACTGAACTATGAAGTAGCATTCAACTGTACACAGATTTCTACAATGTTCTTCCCCTGGTCACTTTTTCTTTTGACAAATATTTTCTGCTCTGAACAGTTAAACACAGAATTGTTAAAGTGATTATGAGATATTTCTGCTTTCCAAGAATTATGGAAATGCAAGAAGTGCCCGTTCTAAGAGAAATTCAAATGTCATTTGCATACAATTGCCAAACTATAGATATTAAGCTTTGAAATGCAGAAACTGCACAGCACTCTCTGATTCTAGATCTCCAGGGCTGGATTTTGAGCTATTCAGATTTGCCCTCCAAATATGGGTCCCCTATTTCCTAAGCAGCACTCGCATTTAAGGAATGCCTATGAAGTTGCAATATCCTATGAACTCGAGTGGGACTAAGTCTCATTGAACTCAATGGAGCTTTTTGAGTAGACACGTATAGAATTGCTCCATGAGTTACCTAAAGCTAGAGGAGGGATATATACCTTTGGAAAATATAAAATTGTGTTGAAAAATTAATCCAGCTAGTGACAGTAAATTAGCTCTGCACAAAAATATTTTGATCATATCTACAGCTGTGAAATTATGGAAGAAATTGCCTATTTTCTGCAAACTGATTCCATCTTCAGATGGCTTTCTAGCCCAATCTTGTGACATTCCGATCCCACCAAGAACTTATCCCATAGCTCCTTTTTTCAAATAAAAAGTAACCAATAAAAACCATATTTTATTCTTATCCTCCAAAAGTATTAGAACAAGACCTGAATTGTATCATATTTAGGGCTTGTACTCAATCCTGGACCAGTGAAAAATTTAAAAGCCAGACATCAAAGCCCATGTATGTGCTCATCCTCAGACAGCTGAGATATCACCAATATTAAATAACATTAACAAATGTAGAAGAGGTTCATTGGTACACATGCTGGTTTCTTTATGTACTTTACTACAATTTGAACATCAAATAGCTTCATACTTAACTAGCCACATGGAGGTATTTTCTCCCACTTTAGACTGTAACGAAAGGTTACTGCAGGGTCTTTATATGTATTAAACATCTGGAAGTTTTGGTATGGATCCAAGATATCTGATCAGCATGGGCAGCCACTATACTCCCATGGCATATCTCACCCAGCCCCCTAGTGTTCAGTGTCTAGGCTCTCCTAATTTATACAATGTACAGTGTTGTCTGTGCAGACATGGTGATAAATATGTGCTGCTTAAAAGCAGATATTTCACAAACTATAACTTACAGATGCTCTGGGCTTTCATGTGGGCAAGACAAATGAGAATCCTATGCCTGACTGAAAAAGCAGAGTTCAGAAAACAACAGCAAGAGAACACAAATGAAAACCTGGGTACATTTGAGGCTTAAATAAATTGGTCACCCAGTGCTGCACAGATGCATTTATTTCACTTTGTAGTTCTTTCCACCGTAACTCAAGTATCTAGCAATAGGACAGGGCTGTTGTTGTTGTTTTTTAAAAAAATGTCCTGCCAAATGGACACACAAAATGTCGACATCTGTTAAAAAAAGATGGTTAAAGGCAGCATTTGGTATATATAATGGATAATTACAAGGAATCTGTGAGAAGAATTCTATGAACACTAAACAATCTTTAGCAGGAACTGTTTGTTCCAAACAGCTTTATCCAACATGTATGATACCAAAACATAATTTTATATATGCTTTCAGATATAATTTCCTCCATATGTCATACATAATATCCTAATCTTGAATTTAATGATACAAAAAACCCACACACATGGCTCAACACACAATGCTTTAATGTTACATACTCCCTCTATTATGATTTTTCTCAAATGATGTTTTGAAGCTGTTAGTAATAACACATTACAATGCAATTATGCTTTTGGTTGAAAGCAACTTGGCAAACAATGAACTAAATTCCACTGTGAATTGTACTTCAGGCAGCCAAATATTAGCCAGAGTTCCTCACCCTAAAAGCCACAATTCAAAGACCAAAACTTACATATCTGACCGCATCTGGCACCCACTATCCACAAACTCACCAGTCTCACCTTTCCTGTACACATACTACACTCAGCCACAAATACTTCAGATATCTATATTCTTAGATCCACTACCCACCCACAGATACTCAGACACATACATCCCTCATCCTCAACCAAGCCTTCCAAAGCTTTGGGTTTCAGTTCCCTTGAAACCTGCTACTGCCCATCCCATATTCCAACCTGTGCAAAGTATTGTTTTAATTAGGTGGCCAAAAAGGGCAACAACCCACCAAAAGCCACCAGTCTCCCCTTAACTCCAGAGCTTGCACTCTCTCTCCTTCTCTTATAATCACTCACTCTCTGCCCATCATGGTGTCTGCACTGCTGTGACCTTATTTCAAGCAATTTCCCATAAAAATTAGCATTCGGGCAGGACGACAAGGCCCACCAATCCTCTAAGTAACCTTCTTTCCTTGAGAACAGAAACACCTAACCAATCAGGACAGAGTTATTTCCTGCAATTTGCATAAAGTGGTTCCTTCCAAACGTAAACCCACAATCAATCTGTTGTAAACACTTCAAAATATTCCTTCTAATGTTACTCTTGATTGGTGTCCATTGACCAATCAAAATTTGTTCAGGATGCTTTCATATTATTGTTGCTGCAGTTCTGGTCCGACAGAGAGGGGATCGATCAGCCACCACACCACTTTGGAGACTGGGCGAAAGCAGGTGCAGAGAACCATGACAAGACTGCTGGCTTCTGTCAGTAGGGGATAGTGGAGTGGGGTGGCAGCATTCACCTAACCTCCCAACAGATGAGTCATTCCACTTACCAGGAAGGAAAGGGGAAGGTCGTGGGAAGGTTGACTCAGCGCAAACATACTAGCAGGAGTGCCAGATTGGCTCCATCTTTACATCTGCGCTGTGCCAACCATCCTGCTACCTTGCTCGTACCCCTCTCCTTCCCAGTAAACAGCAGCAACCCACCATGTTGTCCACTACTTCCTTTCTTGCAACACAGTGGAGAAAAGCTCTCTCCGCCTGTTACCCTCACTTTTTCTGTCCAGTCCCTTGCCTTACTTTTTCTCCCCACCACAATTTAAAACTTCTGCCTAATGCAATCTTTTCACCTATCACAACCTCTGCCTGTCAGGGACTGGGCAGAGGAGTAATGGTGGAGACTGCCTCCCCAGCCTGATCCTTCCAGAGAAGAAGAAGACAGTTCAGAATTACAACAGGGGTTTGAGGGAGGTCACAGCTCAGAGGCAGATGAGGGGGAAAGCTGGGAAATAATGGGAGAGGAGGAGGGAGAGGAAGCAGCAGGAGGGCAACAGCTGACAGACACAGTGTCTTTAGAAAGCATTTCAGACCCTCCCTCCCAGAACCTGGTGAGCCTTGAAAGTAGGAGAGCAAAGGGCTCAGAAGCAAAGGGCCCTCAGTGCCACCCGTAGAGGAGATGATGACAAATGAGGAAGTGGGATAAAAAGGGGGTGGAGAGTCACACGAAACAAGGCCATTATTCCAAGAAGCTGCATTCCAAGCCTCTCTCTGTAAATATTGAATAAAAAGCAGATGCTAAGAACTTTCCTTGTCTTACCCATTCCTGGCAACCTGATGTTGCTTCTTCTGCTGCTTGACACCACCTGCTGCTAGCTGCCCTGGCCCTCACCCTACAGCCCCAGTGGGCAGCCATCATTGGTTTTAATAAAATTTATAATTGGGGACACACTTTTTATGGTGACTTTGGAATCATCCAACTCTGTCTCACCACGTATGAAATATAAATATATTTCAGTGCTGGCTATCAGAACAGACCAGACAAGTAAGAAAAGCTCCCACTAACCTGGTAAAAAAAACCACAACACATTAATTAGGCTGTAACCCTTTATATGCTTACCTAGGAATAAGTCTCATTGGACTAAATTATGCTTACTTCTGAGTAAACTTGCATAGGATTGCACTGTAAGTTGATGAAGACCTGAGATACATGAGAGACCGTGAACGTGACTGTGTGAGAAAAGGAGAGTTAGATCATGGAGTAACTCAGGACACACATGAAACATTATATATGATCAATATGCTGTTCCTTTGTAACTGGAATGCTGCATCTACTTCCAAAACCAATATACAGTACAGTGGTACCTCTGGTTGCGAATGGGATCCGTTCCGGAGCCCCGTTCGCATCATGAGCAGAACGCAACCCGCGTCTGCACGGGTCATGATTTGCTGCTTCTGCGCATGCGCGTGACATCATTCTGAGCGTCTGCGCATGCACAAGCGGCGAAACCCGGAAGTAACCTGTTCCGTTACTTCTGGGTCGCCGCGGGACGCAACCTGAAAAGATGTAACCTGAACCGAAAGTAAAAAGAGGTATGACTGTATAGACTATGCTTTGTTCCTACTATGTAACTTTGTTGTGATTACAGCACCTTCATCAGCCCACACCCCTTTTTGATTGTGATGACCAAGCATGTACATCTGTCTGTTTCTACAGGCAATAAGGTGCAACAGTGTCATAGAGGTTCCCCACAAGCACCATTCCAACTCTTCCTTTCTTTGTGTATCTCTCATATGCTTCACATTGAATATGTTTGCTTAATTTTGCTTATATCTTATTCAAGTCAGACTGCAGTATTAAAAAAAGTTTTGTTTGACTACATCTGAGCAACTAGATGGAACTCCCACAAAACTTTCAAAATACACTCTACTTTGCAAACTTCTTCTGTCATCTCTTTATCCTAGTACTTACAGCCATTTGCATGTAACATCTCCCAACAAATGTTTGGAAAGTTGGCTGCCCTTGTACAGGGTGGTTGTGCTCTTATATTTCATGCATTACACAGCCCAGTCTCTAGCTGTTGCATTATTGAGTAAACATGTTTAAATAACAAGTTGTTGCCAACAACAAACTAAATATAACTAATCTATATTCCATCTAATAAGCTAAGGCCGGAAAAGTACTTCAGGTTTCTTTAAAAAATCATTTTTTGGCAATAGCCCTTTACAGAGTTGAAAAAATATTTCAAACTCCTAGATACTACTAATATTTATTTTTTTAAGTTGTACATTGTGGCATCTGGGATTTTCCCAAGCCTGATAAGTGTATATATTGAGGAGGGGGAAAATAGAAGCTTCTAGTGCATGCAAGTTATAATGCTAGATTGAAAAACACTTCTTTGTAAGACAATGCAATTTAAAGCCCTGCACTATGAAAATATAATGGAGAATATGTCATTATGTAGGCTTCATATTAGCATAGCTTCATGGACACTGGTGGAAATCCTTCAGATTCATATCAGGTTCAGATCACAATCCATCTGTCAACCCTGAAAATTTCACAATATCTGCCCCAGAAGCCAAAGAAAATTCAATGCCTCACATTTTATATGTCAATATCTGACTAATCAGTCAAGAACACCTAATAGTATGCGCTATACCTAAATTTCACTTGGTTAAAATATATACTCAAGGAAGGTATATATATAACTTTGAGAGGGCAGAGTACTAGAGTTGTTTCTAGGCTGCAAGCTGTTGCCATATGGTTCCAAATATTTACATGCTGCTGTGTAGGAAAAGGTTACCTAACCCAGTAATCTGACAGCAAGCAAATGACATAGGTGGGAGTGTGACCTGGGATTTCTAATACTTAGCTCCTCTTTATTTGACAATTTGCTGTGAAGTCATGATAGGAAATATGCCAGTCACTTTGCTTCAAGAACCCCCTCTGCTGGTCACAGTACAGAGTCTATTCAGAGCTTTTTAATGATGCCATAAATGCTGATGACTAAGGAGAACAGAAACAGAGCAAAGAAAGCAAAGGAAAAGCTAAATGAACTCCTGTGCCTCTGCTGGCCCAGACCTTTTCCACAACATTCTCCCCTAACGTATAAAGTGAAAAACTGAAGTTCTGCATTTTAAGAGCTTGGAGAAAAGGAAAAACTATTCAAGAAGTCAATGTACATCTGGCATGGAGTCATAGCAACCAGTTATAATTCCTTGCAGTAGTAGACCCTACAGAAATATGTATGTGCTTTTAGAGGTGAGAAAACAAAAGCACTTTGCCAAAAGCACTTTGCCATATTTAATACAAGTAAACACTATCCTGAGCTAGTCAGTTTGTTGGAACAAACAAATTAAACCTAGCATTTTAATCTTAAAATAAATAGAGATTATAAATGGCAATGCTGGTTTCCAATGAAGCTACAAAGTTACATCTGTTTCAAAGCAAATTTAAAAAGAATCAAAAGCATTCTTTTAAAAATAATAAATTTAGATGGATAATGTAAAAAATGTTAAAATGATGTTAAAAAATCTATAACTTAACCTAGATGCTTTAAAGCACTTAACCAGTGCTTTAAAATATCATGCATTTAAAGTCAGCATTTGCATTCATCTCTGCTTTGTTTAGCTGTCCTCTTAACAGTTTAACAAAATGGAAGAAGAATACATAACACAAGCTTATCTGCGTATAAAATCATTTAAATATAATTTTCATACTGTATTAGAACTTTTTTTTCATTCACAAATGACACTGCTGAAAAGCTGCAGTCTGCCTGGAATGCTTCAGAAAAATATCTGTATAGGCATAGCTGACTCAAATACAGAACCAACCCACATGAGCTGGAACATAGGTCCACTAATAGATATTAAATGGCAATGCAGAAAATAGCAATGCTTCTAGCTTATTGCACAAGCATTTCCCATCTGCCCATGAGATCTCCTGTGACAGAAGAACAAAAAAGTTGGGCTGGAGTTACAGTACAATGCCACATCGGGACAGCTGTGTTTAAACTGTTAGCCGGCAGACACAGATGAGCCAAGTGGACTCTAAGCTCACTGAGGTAGAGGAGCAGCATCAATGTGTTTGTTTAAAGAGGTCAGTAAAGTTCAGGTCATAAAAACCAGCAATGAAGTGTTTTGGTTTAAAGGAACTCTAAGCTGAATAGCATTTTCTGTTTAGCTTACTAGAAAACACAATACATTCCAGGGAACTTTGTATGCCCACACTTTGAAAGAACAGTAAAAGGACTGATCAATTTGGAGGGGAGGGGAGTGCCCATTTACAAACAATACTAAAAATTTCCTAAATGATCTGCACCTGACAGTTATGATTTAAGAGAGGATACAGTTCTAGGTGCAAATACTTTGGGAGAAATCAGACTTCACAAACACACCCCGAATAACTCTTGAATAGCATAACGGCGTGGCGGGGAGATCTACATCAAGACACACACACACACACACACACACACACACACACACACAGTGGGAGCTCTTGAAAGCAAAAGTTAGAAAAAGTTGAAGGGGGGGGCGATCCAGGTCCCAAGTTGTGAGGCCGGACACGCCATGAAGGGAAAAGCTCAGGAATGAGTGCAATGCACAGCAGCAGCCCCCCCCCCCGCCGCCGCCGCCCCCATGACATCTCTCCATCCGGAGCATCTCCAGCAGCCTCCGCCTTCCGCAGCCCTTACCACTCTGCCGGAAAACCTCTCGATGGCCCTCTTGACTTTGCCGTAGGTGCCTTTGCCCAGCGTCTCCTGCAGCTCGTAGCGATGCTTCAGGTTGTGCTTGTGGTGGTGCCGCTTGACCCCTTGCTGCTGCTGCTTCTTCAGCTCCGGAGGGGCGGCTGCTGCTGCGCGGGGGGCGAGGGCGCTGCCGGCCGAGGCAGCGGGGGCAGCGGCGGAGCCCTCCCCGGCGGGCTCTTCCACCATGGCTGCTGCTGGCGGTGGTGGTGGCGGCGGCGGCTGTGCACTTGCTGCTGCGGCTGCTTGGTCGCCGGCCGGCTCCCCGGGAGCCCCAGCATCCGCCTGGCAGCAGCCTTGCGGAGGAGGAGGAGGAGGCACTTCTGCGCTGCTGCCGCCATCCAGCTCAGCCCCATCCATCTCCTGCTGGCGCGGCGTGTGCGCCGGGGAGGCACTTCTAGCCGCGCGGGAGGAGCCTCGGCGACCCTCCCTTCAGGCGGGGACCGCCAGGGCCAGCCCCACAACCATGGCCCTTTTCTTCTTTTCCCCCACCCCACCCCCACGAGGGGCGGGGAAGGGGAGAAGGCGGCGCCCCTCGGCTTCCCTCCTCACCCGCGGCGGCGACTAGAGCGCATGGAGGCGGGAATGTGGAGAGGGAGGAGGCGCCCCGCTTGGCGATAGCGGGCTGAGGAAGGGACCCGCTCCTAGGTCTTCTTCCCTTCCGCCGAGGTCGGAGAGAGGAGCCCGAGTCTCCCGCCGCCGCTCTGCCCGCGAAGCATGAGGCTCCCGAGGCCTTCCCCCCGCCCGCCTTTAAGTGTCCTCCTCCTGCTCCTCCTCGAGGCTACATTTGGCGGCCGGCGCTGGTGTGACGGGAGCGGCCGAGCGGAGCCCCCTCTCCGTGCTCCCCCTGCCAGCGAGGCCGCCGCGCTTGCCTCGCCTCCACCTGGCTCGCCCCATGCCCTCCTCAGCCAGCCCCTCGCAGCTGGGGGTGTCTTCTCGCTGGGTCTGGGCTGGCAAGGGGCCGGGCTTGGCCCGGAGGAGGAGCCGCTCCCCGAGACTAGCGGATCTTCCTCCCGCCCGCCCGCTTTTCGCCTCAGAATTGGGCGGGATCTCTCAGGGCAGCCGCCGCCGCCGCCAGAATTGGGGGGGGGGGGCGTCGGCTCGGGAGTTAGAGGTGCCAGATGGCCTTTATTGCGGCGCATTCCGCTTTATTCCACAGCGCGGCAGTTAATGGGCCTCCTTTCCTCCAGAGTAGGGAGCAGGCTGGGCTCCCTTTGCGACGTGGGGCAACAGAAAAAGTTGTGCGTGCTTAGAGCTCTCTCTCTCTCTTTTTCTTTCTCTCTCTGTGTCCTACGGTGTATTGCGGTGCTTACGATCCGTTATTTTTTAGGATGGATACAAATGTAAGCAGCAATTTGATGGTAGATTTAGGGGCAGCTATGTGTAAAAATAAATAAAATCACGAGGATCTCAACTTCTACCTTTTCTTGTTTCCCTTGCCAGAAGAAAACATCAGGTCCCGGTCTCTGGAATGGAGAGGCTATAAAGAGAGAATGTGCTACAAGTCAAAAAGGATCATGCCACGCTAGTGTACACAATGGCGCAGTCGCATCCCCATCCACCTGTGTTCTCTTCTAAAGCACCAGGTGGATACAGCAAGCCCTCAACTTAGACAGGGGCTACATCCCAGGGTTGGCATCTAAAGCCAAAATTGCATATAGTGAAAACATTGGGTGCAGTGGGAGTGCCAAAATCATTTTTCCCAGAACTCCGCCCCCCCTCTCTCTCTATATATATATATATTGCCAAGTGTGTAAAGCTAAATGTGGATCTGCTTCTGCTGCTTGATCTCTCTGTGGCTTTTGATGCCACTTACTATGAACCAGCTCTTTGGGGTGGGTATTGGAACCCTGTTGCACACTGGTTCCACTCCTACTCACATGTCATGTCCAAAGAGTAGTATCTGGAGACTATTTTGGTATCCTGCAGGTATGATTTTCTCCCCACTGCTTTTTAACATGAAGCCACTGGGTGCATTTGTTCAGAGGTTGGTGGTGGCAGAGTTGTGTCATCAGTACGCTAATCATAAACAGCTCTACTCATGCCATCATAAGTCAAGAGAGATTGTGCATGGACTGAGTGTGTGGTGGTGAAGTGGATGAGGTCCAGTAAGCTGAGCTTGAACCCTGGAAGACGGAGGCACTGTGGGTTTGTGGTTCCCATGTTCAGAAGATTGGCCTGTTACCAGTTCTGGATGAGGAACTGCCTCTGAAAAAATAGGTGCATATGGGTGCCTCTGGATCCATCTTTATTGCTGGAAGCGCAAGTAGCCTCAGTAGGTAGGAGAGCCTTTCACCAGCTACAATTAGTACCAGCTATGGCCACTCTTAGACAAGATAGTCTAGCTGTGGTGATTCATGCACTGGCTACCTCAAAACTTGATTATTGTAGTGTGTTGATGTGGCAGATGAAGGTGGTTCTGCTGTTGCAGATACACAATGGCATTTCTTCTCTCTGCGCTCCTCCCAGCGGTCATTCCTCCTCTGGTCACTGCTATGGATACACAACATCTGTCTCCAGACACTGCAGTCGTCTGCAAGGGATTCCCGCACAGCAGGGTTGATGTTGCCAGCCTCCATGTCACATTTGCAGACCAAAGCATCCTTATTTTAAATAAAACTGTTTTAGAGTTTAGGGCAACCAGCCAAGAATTTACATGGTTATAAATGTTTGTTTTTAGTTTTAGTTTTTAATATCAATTTTTCCACAATAAAATTGTGCTTGTTTTCCAGTAAATGTGCTTAGCATCAGGTCAGCAGAAGCAAACTCCACTTTATTCCCATAGGCAGGATGGTGTTATGATTTTAAAATATAAAAAGCGCCCTGATCAGTCAGGCCATAGGCCCATCTTGTCCAGCATCCTCTGAGAAGCCTGCGCTCTCCCTACTTGTGATTCCCAGCAACTGGCAGCACACAACCATCACAGTTAATAGCCATTGATAGCCTTATTCACCACGAACTTGTCTAATCCTCTTCTAAAGCTATGATTTAAGTGAGATTTTAAAATGTGAAACTGCACATGGTCAGCATTTCTTTTTTTTAATTAAAGTTGGCAATGTATTGTTTCAGCATATCAGGAATGTACAAGCATGGCAGGAGGAGAGAAACGTTAATTGTGCGCCTCACACAAAAAAACAAAACATGGGCTTCACAGCTGAAGTGATACACCTGGCCATCTATCTCCCGCCCTGCATAAAGCCATTAAGTCCAGAGTCCTAAATGACCTAGCTTCACCTCTGTGCATGAGGCAGTCACCCTCTGGGTCTGCCCCAAATCTCCCACCAACCAGCTCCGCTGAATGTCCATGAGTTATAGAGGAATAATCTATCCATTTTCTCTATATCATGAATAATTTTATACATTTATACATGTTCCCATTTGTTTGTTCATTTTAGCTAAAAATCCTGAAATGTAACATTCCTTCTCAGGGGAGTTGCTCCATCTCCCTGAGTCTTATGAGTCAGACAGCAATGGCCTTTTGGGACCACTTTAAATAAAAACAAAAACTATATTGGTATGCTTATGAAATAGCTCACTTACCTCCTTCCCTTTGGTACTTCTTTTTATTTCCATTTATAGATGATCGTGATACTGAATACAAGAAACAGAGTCCATGGGGATAATCAAGGCTTACAATTGTTTGTGTATATACACCTCTGTGTGTGTGTGCACGCTCGTGTGTGTGTGTGCGTGTGTACACATACTGTATTCATGCAGACTGGATTTTTTAAAAATTAAAAAAATCCTTCCTGGTTTCCTTGAATATTATATATTTTTCACACCAACACATCATTAGCTATAAGCTGAAGTTACAGGGCTTCCAGGCCTCCTAATACAAACTAAAAAGTGTGGAAATATCCAGTACAGTCATTCAGCACCCCATTTGCATTCTGCTCATCACTCTCCTGCTTTAATTGCTTTCCTGGAACAGCGAACGAATCTGCCCAGGTCCTGAACAAACACATTCTGTGGCATGCAGCAGAACACTTTTTCTTGAGCCATCTTTTTATTTCACTAAACATATTCCTTGCCTGCAAGCATCATTGCCAGGCAGGATGAGCTACGTTTGCCCCAGATATCTACCGTATTTTTCGCCCTATAGGACGCACTTTTTCCCCTCCAAAAATGAAGGGGAAATGTGTGTGCGTCCTATTGGGCGAATGCAGGCTTTCGCTGAAGCCTGGAGAGCAAGAGGGGTCGGTGCACACCGACCCCTCTCGCTCTCCAGGCTTCAGGAAGCTATCCGCAAGCCTTGGGAGCCCGCGGGAGTTCCCGCCGGGCTCCCACGGCTTGCGGAGAGCTGCCTGCACCCCGAAGCCTGGGCGCGCTGAGCAGTCACGCCCGGGCTTCGGGTAGCTCTGCGCAAGCCGCGGGAGCCCTCCCACGGCTTGCGCAGAGCAGCCTGTTCTGGGGGCTGGGGTCAGGGGAAGCTCGGGCTTCCCCCGCCCCAGCCCCGCACCTGCGGGGTAAATAATTTTTTTTCCTTTATTTCCCCCCCAAAAAACTAGGTGCACCCTATGGGCCGGTGCGCCCTATGGGGCGAAAAATACGGTACATCTGGTTCAAACATCAATGTAGGAGAAACTGTAGGAGAGCTGGGCATGGGCAATTCAACGTCAGCACAGGAAGTTGGATCAAGTGGCTGACCAAAGTATTTCCTGCTCTGTTAAGCCAGTTTAAGTCTGTAGTGTTGATACGGCCTAAGTATGGTCCAGTTGCATATTCCTGCATTGTAGGAGGGTTGAATTAGATGATGCTCCTGGTTCCTTTCAACTCTACAATTCTGTGATTCCAGAAGTGGTTGCAGCCTAATGGCAAATTCCCTAATGGCTTACACCCAACTTACGTGGGGTTTGGATTGCAGACACAGTATCTTTCCCCCATTTCTAACCAGTAAAGTACACAATGGCACACAGGGTTGGGTTTTGTAAACTTGTCCAGTGTAATCATGAAAGATCAGCCTTCTTCAACCTGGTACTTTCCAGATGTTTTGAACTACAACTCCCGTCAGCCTCAGCTAGCAGCTGAGTCCCATTGTGTGGGTACCATTTTGGCTACATAAGCAAAGTTACTAACAACTTGAGCACTGGAAACAGAAATGATATAACATGATAAAAGCAATGGAAACATTCTGTGCTGGGAGATTCATGCAGATAAGATATGGAAATAGGAGCAGCTAATGCGCACACAAATCTTGGAAGTGGGGGCACTCTGGCAACAAAGTTGAAAATAGCTGAGTGGTAAATTAATCTTGTGCATTTTTACATGCAAACTTGAGATGTAAATTTTTGTTCAAATCTTTCTAAACACTCATTTCCCATGTTTTAATTTTTAATTTGTTTCTAAGTTGTATTCATTCAACTTGTTTTTATTATTGCTTGTTAGCCGCCCTGAGCCTGGCCTTGGCTGGGGAGGGCGGGGTACAAATAAAAGTTGTTGTTGTTGTTTAGCAAATCTACTATTTTAACTAATGGCTAACCTCATGGCACTGGTGCTGGTCCAGAAAAAAGCACAAAGTGGATTTGGAACAGAACTATACTGTTCTCTCTCTCTCTCTCTCTCTCTCTCTCTCTCTCTCTCTCTCTCTTGCAGTGTCCCAAGGGATTGGTTGCCTAAATAATGCATGGAGCAGAATCAATGCCCGGGAGCAGAGAGGGTGCTTGGCTCCTAGCTGCTAGGGCCTAGCATCACCATATCTGCTTATTCTGCCTTGCAAATGTTTCTCTGAGACCTTTTCCCCCACCCCTCCTGATGGGCTTACTTCAAATCTTGTTTCAGGATATAACCACAAGCATGCTTTTATAAAGAAACTCTAATGTGTAGTTCCGCTCTCAGACAACAATATTGTCTTCTCAACCCCTCCTCCACCCCACTGTGCCAGCAAATAAGTACTTAAGTGGAAACATACTGCCCAGAATCCAAAGAACTTGGCCGGCTAGTTTTGCATCCCCAAGGAAGCTTTGAGCTTCAATTTTGTGATCAAGC